AGCCATATGGCTCCCACCTTTCGGCTCCTGGACCATTGCACCCATCCAGCTTCTTCACTGTTATCACCGGCAATTGGCTTCGAGTATGACGACCGAGGTACCAACCCCAGAATCTGAATACCTTGTTAGATATGAGTTGGGATGGGAAGGGATTGGTCATACTGCTCGCTCATATATGCTCCCCAGAAGGTCAGGCGGCGAATCTCGGCATTTTCCAACGGGATGATGCCCTTGGCCACGTACGGAGCCATATCCAGATGAAGTCCAAGATCGAAGGCCAATCGCATAGCCATTCCTGACAATGTCAGTTATCTTTCAGGCTTCGATCTCGCTCGCCAACGTCAGAGACTTACCACTGTACAGCCACCCCCGCGTATCCCTCGTGCAGGAGGCTTCATACCCGCCCAAGATGACCAATGCTTGAACTGTAGCCAGTGACGGACTCTCCAATTCCAACTCAAGGAGTACTTTAGCACGGTCACCAAAGAACTCGGCGAGCGATCGAGGAAAGGTTACAAGACTCGGGTGGTATCGGGGCTCGTACGCAGCTCCGATCGCACACCTACAATATTGTCAGCGAGCACAAAGCGTATGGAAGATGGAGGGTAGACACCCACATAGCATTTACTAGTGTGAAAGAGTAGTATGGTGTATCCAAGTCATCGTCCAGATTCTGTGCTCTCGACCTCCAGAATACTTGTTCGTCTACGACATGGAGACAGGGATCTTGCCATGTGAAGTAGAGCTTCAGCAGATGCTGTTCGAATGTTTCATCGACCGGGGCATCAAGCTCCGCACTCTTTAAGACTTCGTGTGCTCCTTTCTGGGCATTTGTTGAGCATGGCGGAGTGACACCGACGAGGATATCCAGGAGGTTGAGGTTGGAGGTGGACCCGTAGTACCGGAGCTGTCCGTCATGCATCACTTGAAGCCGTCCTGATCGGCATGACAGCTGATTAGTAACCTCATCCTCTTCATCCTCTCCGGTATTATGAGGAGGGTTAGGCTGAGGTTGAGGTCCAGGTTCGGTGGAGTCAGAGGAGCATGCCGAGTCAGCAGGCGTCCTAGGGATCGCCTTCGTGTTCGGCAGTTCATCCCGTTGAATGCTCAGGGGCGTACATGTTATCTTGTCACCTTTCAGCACCGTGGAGCCTTTCCCCGAGACACTTTGCACTGGCTGTGCTGCTGAGGATACAAGGTTCTGCATGCCTAGAGTCTCCTGCGGATCTGCACCGGTCGACGGTGAAGAGGAATCGGCAACGGCAGTACAATGATCGGACGGTATTACATCTGGAGAAAGCGGACCGTCTCCCCCAGGTTTGGCGATGTCAATGTACTGCTTTGAAGTCGACGCATCCTTCCCAGCTGTTAGACCACAACATTCCATTCCAAGCGCATCAAATATGCTTCCGATCATCAAACTGTCGCTCTCGTCCATGCAAGGAAGTTCCAAGCCCTGCCCTTGAATATAAAGTACCAGCTGGTTTATTCTTCTAGCCAAAACACCGAAGCTCACTCGTACCGGGATCCTAAGAAGAACAGCTCATGAGCGGTGACACCGCAGAATCGATGCGTGGAGCTTACTTGCGCCTGTCATCAACTTGGCGATAAGAGCATCTCTTGCCTTTTGCCCCGCAATTCCCACAAGCGGGAGTAGCTCCGTCGCACTAGAATGCATGTTGGGATCAGCAGACGCATCTCTTCTGTACCTGGCTTGTCGAGTACCTTCACCTTGCCCTCTCTGCAAGGGTTGCAGGCCGTCGTCACATGCTTTCGAGCAGACTTTGGTGACTTGCTTTTCGGAGACATGACTGAGGATATGCGAGACACCATGAATGAAGTTTGAATGCCATGACTGCGGGGTCATGGCAAAAAGTGGGATGAGATGAAGCCTCGGGATATGAATTCCGTGATGGGTTAGCAGTCACTGAGGAGTCGGGATTCCCGCTCCGGCGACACCTTGGTGCCTCAGGCATGTAGCAGGGACGTCATACCTTCCAGTTTTGAAAGTGTGTTTGATGCGCATAGCAACGGCAGGTATCATTGAGCAGGTAACGGAATGTACTGAATGAGAATTGCCTCACGCACTGATACATGTTCTGCAAAACACATTAACTATATATCGTCGATCACTCCGAGAAAAGAGAGGTGACTGGTGGGACTAGCAAGTATAAAGCGAGAGACCAAAGACGTGGATTATGCAGCTACTGAGCTACTCCAGTCCCCTGCATCACAGAATCAAAACCAAACCCCCCCGCGGCCTGGCGTCATGCTAGCTCAGCCTTAAGCCGTGCAGGATGATCTGCAGCCCTAAGCAACAACCCTAGCTGATCAACCCTGATGGCAGGCCCTAATCTTATCAATCACCAGGGCGGCGGGCCAGTGAGCGCGAGACCGGATTGACTCATTGCCGCAAGCGGCGGGGCAAACCTGCACCAGTGGCTCTGGCTCTCGCCAGCGGCTTAAATTCTGCATCGTGTCAGGAACCTTGAACAACCTCCACAACCTTATTCTTTAACCTCCCCTCCTCTCCCCCCCCCCGGCGCCAATCCCTTTCCCTCTTCTTCAACCACCCAACCCCGACCTCTCCCTCCCGATTCAACATCCCACCCTCCACCAAAATGAGCTACATCCTCACCCTCTCCTGCCCCGACCGCCCGGGCATCGTCCACGCGGTGACGGCCTACCTGGTGCAGAACAACCTGAACATCATCGACTCGTCGCAGTTCGGCGACCCGACGTCGGAGCGGTTTTTCATGCGCGTGCACTTCAAGCCGGAGAGCACGCCGGCGCCGACGCTGGAGCAGCTGCGGGAGGCGTTCGCGCCGACGGCGGAGAAGCTGGCGATGACCTTCGAGCTGGTGTCGGCGACGGCCAAGCCGCGGGTGCTGATCATGGTGTCGAAGATCGGCCACTGCCTGAACGACCTGCTGTTCCGGGCGTCGACGGGCCAGCTGGCGATCGAGATCCCGCTGATCGTCTCCAACCACCCGGACTTCGCCGCGCTGGCCGCCACCTACAACATCCCCTTCATCCACCTGCCCGTGACAGCGGCCACCAAGGCCGAGCAGGAGGGCCGCATCCTCGAGCTCATCGCCGAGCACCAGATCGACCTGGTCGTCCTCGCCCGCTACATGCAGGTGCTCTCGCCCACGCTCTGCGACGCCATGTCCGGCAAGATCATCAACATCCACCACAGCTTCCTGCCCAGCTTCAAGGGCGCCAAGCCCTACCACCAGGCCTACGACCGCGGCGTCAAGATCGTCGGCGCCACCGCCCACTTCGTCACCAGCGACCTCGACGAGGGCCCCATCATCGAGCAGAACGTCGTCCGCGTCACCCACGCCCTCAGCCCCAAGGAGCTGACCCACGCCGGCTCCAACGTCGAGAGCAACGTCCTCGCCACCGCCGTGAAGTACTTTGCCGAGCACCGCGTGCTGCTCAACGGCCACAAGACCGTGGTGTTCAACTAAACACCCCGGAACAAAAGTTACATCCAGATATTCTATATATACAAAAGATTCATGTACAACCTAATGTGGCTTTGATTTTTGCAGCCCTCCCCCAACACCCAGGGGGAAAGGCCCCCAAAAACAGAATGGAATCTAATGTACATATCCCCGCCCATGAATGCATCCACGTAATCATACACCCGACCATAACCTGGAAATGGTAGACTGCACGACACTACAACCACTCTTCCCCATCCTCGCGCTCGGCCCTCTCCCTCTCGCGCTGCCGTCCAACACGGGCGAGGTTTTTCTCCCAGAGCCCTTCCAGATCCACCTCGGCGCGCTTCTCCTCCGTAAAGATCTGCACGACCACGCGCGTCCCCCACCCGGCATTCCCGAACCCCTCGAACCCAGCCTCCTCCTGCGCCGCCGCCACCTCATCCGCCAGGGGCGCCTCCTCCACGATCCCGGCGTTCACGCAGATCCACCCCGTCGTGATCCCATCGTCCTTGTCGTCCACCAGCGTCCCGGCCTTACTGGCCAGGCGCGCGCGCTTCGCCTTCCGCCGCAGCTTGATCTTCAGCTCGTTGCGGCCCAGCAGGCCGTCCGCGAACGGCGCCAGCTTGTACGTGGCCCGCAGCCAGCGGCACAGCCGGTCCGCCGAGACGTTCAGGTGCTTGACGCTGCGCGCGGTGCCGACGATCATGATCACGTTCGCGCCCAGCGCCGGCGGCGTGTCCAGTCCCCGCAGATCGAGGAGTTTCAGCCCGTCCAGCCCCAGGTCTTTGAAGGTGTACTCCAGCAGCGCCGCGAGCAGGGCAGGTGGGTTTTCTGGGAGGGCGGGGATCTGCTCGCCGGAGGTGATGGGGCGCGTGGCCGGCACGTCGGGCTCGTCTTGGAGGTACCACGGGATGTGGGATGGGGGTTCGGAGGCGGTGGTGGTGGTGGTGGCGGGTTCGGGGTCTTGCGATGGGAGTTCGGCTGTCTCGGACGGTGGCGTTGAGGGTGTCGTGGGTGGGTGTTCGGATTGACGGGAGGGGGCGGAGGTGAGAGGTCTGGTGTTGGCATAGAGGGTTGGGAAGCGCGGGGCTGAGGCTGCTGTTGCGCTGATCGAGGAGTGTGGTGCGCTGAAGATCACTGGTCGCAACCAGGGCGTTCGGAGAAGAGCTCTGTTCAGCATGGTCGAGTTCGACGACCGGGATTTTGGTGTTCTGAAGGCTTTTCTGAGATGTATGTGGTTTGGAAGTAAACAGATGACTCGATCAGAATAAGGACCAAAGAAAAAGGGTCAATTGAAGTGCTGATGATCGCCGAGTAAAGATGGCGACCAACAGTCGAATATTTCGCCCGCAGAAAGGAAGCAGTATCGTCGAAATGACGGAGTGCACGTGATACGCAGCAAACAAGTCAAAAATCTGCGCCTGACCGCCTGGCCTGGCCTCGCCCTGCAAACGCGGCAAACAACCCGCCCGCTGGGTTTCCGCCGAAAAAAAAACTGCCCCCGACTGTCGATCGCAAGCTCCTCCATTCAACCAAGGTCAATTAAAAATGCCGCGTGAGAATCAGAAGAGAGGTCGTCGGGCCGCCGACAAGGCCAGCAAGGACGCCGCCAAGCGCAAACGCGATGAAGTCCCCGAAGAGACCCTGCCCAAGCGCATGAAGCCGTCGACCGACGACGAGCCCGCCAACGACGATTTCACCCAGGGCGCCGACTACATCGCATTGGATGCCGAGCCAGCATACGACCAACAAGCCGAGCAGGAGGGCTTCGACCAGGAGAATGGCGATTCTGGCGAGACGGTGTTCTTCGGTCTCCTGGACCCCGAGGAACAGGAATACTTTTCCCGCGCCAGCGAGGTGCTGGAACTGAACCAGTTCGGCGACGAGGAGGAGCGGCGGGTGTTCATCGAGAGTGTGTACACGGAGGCTCGGGGCAAGGAATTGAAGATTGCGTGCAGCCAGTCGTGCTCGCGGCTGATGGAGAAGCTCATTTCACTGTCCGACATGCGCCAGATCCGACGCCTGTTCAACAAGTTTATCGGCCATTTCCTGCACCTCGTCCAGCACCGGTTCGCCAGTCACTGCTGCGAGACCCTGTTCATAAATGCCGCGCCCGGCGTCACGCAGAAGCCATCGAAGCCTAAGGCGGAGAAGATGGAGGTGGACGGAGAGGAGGACGAGGAGCCGGAACCCGAGCTGTCGCTGGCTGAGATGTTCATGACGGTGGTGGAGGAACTGCAAGGGAACTGGGGATATCTGCTGACCGAGAGGTTTGCGTCGCACACGATCAGAGTCCTCCTGCTGGTGTTGGCGGGGGAACCGGTGGATCTGTCGTTGAGCGACTCCGTTGTCGCTAGTCGGAAGAAGGAGAGATTGGGTCTTGCCAACACCGATACGCCGAAGGAGAACCCTGTGGCGCAGAAGAGAGGCGTCCCGGAGACGTTCGAGGCCACCCTGAAGAAGGTCATGAAGGACATGGTGTCTGTGTTGGATGATACGTATCTCCGCGCACTAGCCACCCACCCGGTTGGAAACCCGGTGCTGCAAGTGTTGGTGTACTTGGAGCTGTCGCATTTTGGGAAGTCCAGCGCGAAGGACCCCAAGTCAATCACGAGACGATTGATCCCCGACGAAGAGTTCACGGAAGGCTCTGAGAGCACCATCTTCGTCCGTGGGTTGCTGTACGACCCGGTCGGATCGCGACTGCTGGAAACCATCGTCAAGTGCCTGCCCGGAAAGTTGTTCAAGGCGCTGTACAAGAACCTCATGCGCGAACAGATGGGCTCCCTTGCACGCAACATCACCGCTGGATATGTCGTCCTGCGTATCCTCGAGCGTCTTGGCAAGGATGATCTCAAAGAGGCGGTCGACTTGATTGTTCCCCAGATCTCTGGTCTCATTGAACGGTCCCGGTTGATCGTTCCCAAGGCCTTGATTGAGCGTTGTCTGATCCGTGGGGTCGATACCGGCCCCATTGCCCGTGCCCTGGAAGCTGCTTACGACCGCGACCCCGCTCGCCGTCTGGATAAGATGCTGTGGCTGGAGGGCTTTTCTCAGGATGATGTGGAGCAGCCGAGATACGGCGAGGAGGGAACCAGCGCACCCAACAACCAGAAGGCTCTCGCAGCGGCTCGATTGCACAGCTCCCTGTTCGCGCAGACGATGCTGACTGCCCCAGGAGCGTTGAGCGGGCTGGTGTACTCTGGCCTGCTGGCGCAGTCGACGGAGTCTCTGATCAAGATCGCCACGGACCCCACTGCCTCGCATGTCCTGCAGCAAGCACTCACGCTACCCACCTCGACCACGCAATTCCGCCGCCAGCTGGTCACCCGCTTCACCGGACAGCTCAAGGATCTGGCTCTGGACAGTAGCGGATCGCGCGTGGTGGACGCCCTGTGGCACGCCACAAAGGATGTCTTCTTCGTCAAGGAGCGGATGGCGCAAGAGCTTGCGCAGAACGAGATGGCCCTGCGCGACTCGTTCGTGGGTCGGGCCGTGTGGAGGAACTGGTCGATGGATCTGTACAAGCGACGCCGGGGCGAGTGGGCTGCCAAGGCCAAGGGGTTGGATGCTGTCAACAGCACGGGCGAGCGTCCCAAGTCACGGATCGAACTGGCCCGGGCCAAGTTCGCTGCTAAGGCCGAGGAGAATGCTCAGAAGGCATCTGCCACCAGTTCGTAATGGATGGGCGGATGTGATGGAATAATGAACAATGCGGCTTTCCCACCTGTAAATAGCCACCGCGGAGAGAGCATGTGTATTATTAGCGGATAGAAAAAGTTTTGATGTCTTGCAGAACCATCTGACCAGCACAGTAACATGTAAATCATTTATTGGCATAAAAGTCTGTAGAGTCTATAATACATTACGAAGTATAAATGCACAGGGTCACAAGGTCGATCTACTTCGACTCCCTCAAAATCGACCGATTCAAATGCTCCTTCCGCACCGAAGGCACGCCCGACAAATGCAGCGTCAGATCCAAATCGCCCAAGAGACACTTCAAGACATGGCTAACCCCGGCCTGACCCCCCATGGCCAACCCATAAACGTACGGCCTCCCGATGAGCACCATCTTCGCCCCGAGCGCCAGCGCCTTGACGATATCGGCCCCACAGCGCACCCCGGAATCAAAGAGCACCTCAATCCTGTCGCCCACCGCATCGACGATCTCAGGGAGGACCTCCAACGAGGCGACGCCGCCGTCCTGCTGGCGTCCGCCATGATTCGAGACGACAATGCCATCCATGCCATGCTGGACGGCCAACTCCGCATCCTTGACGGTCTGGATCCCCTTCAACACGATCGGCCCCTTCCAGTGCTCCTTCAGGAACTCCAAATCCTCCCACCCGTGACTCCGCCCGGGGAAGACGGTATGCGCCCACTCGCGCGCCGCGGCGCCCAGATCCTCCTCGACCTCCTTGCCATGCTTCTCGCGGAACTTCCGCCGGTACACGGGATCCGTGAACCCCAGCTCCACGCCGATACTATCCGCGCGGAGGAACGGATTATACGCATTCCCCAGATCACTCGGCCGCCAGCCCAGGATATACGTATCCAGGGTCACCACTAAGACTTTGAACCCCGCGTCCTGGGCGCGATGCAGCAGACTGGCGGTGATGTCGTTGTTCTCGTTCAGCGGCCAGTAGAGCTGGAACCACCGCTTCCCGGCGGGGCCGTTGGCCGCGGCGGCGTCTTCGATGCTGGTCGAGGCCGCCGTCGAGAGGATGTAGGGCACGTGGTCCTCGGCGGCGGCGCGCGCCACGGCGCCCTCGCCGTCGCGGTGGAAGATCTTCTGCACGCCGACCGGCGCGATGGCGACCGGGTAGGGGTATTCCTCGCCGAAGAGGTTGACCCTCAGGTCCGGGTAGTCGCTCGGCACCAGGCGCGAGGGCACCAGGTTCCATTTCCCGAAGGCGGCGCGGTTGTTCGCGTCCGTCTGGCCGGTGCCCGCCGAGCCGTGCACGTAGCCGAAGCTGTCCGCCGACAGGCGGGATTTCGCCGTGGGTTCCCAGTCGTGCGGGTGCGGGGGGAAGCGCGGGCGCTCGTCGCCAAGGCCGGCGCTGTAGATGGCGTTTTCGTAGGTGTAGGGCGTGGGGTTGGGGGTCATTTCGATGCGTTGGATGTGGTATGTGGTATGGGGTACAGGTGGTTGCACTGGCTTAGGTGGTTGTTCTTATAAGTTACCGTTCATACGGTTGGGTCTACTGGAGAGTAAGACAGTTGAGGTCATTGGCACACAAAGTACTCCGTAATCGGCCGAGATTTAAGATTGGGTTCTTGACTACGCTGCAGCTGGTGACGTTGTGTTGTCGACCATGGCGAGGGATGGGTGATGTCACCAGCTGGTTAGGGCACGAGTGGGGATCACAAGGCCAGGCACATGCGGTGCGGATCAACAAGGCCAGTGGTGATCCAGGCATTGTAACTTACTCAGTGCATACTTGTACACATCAGAGCCATGCCCTATTAGCCTTACAACCATCCGGTCTACCCGATCAAACAAGCATTTCGTATCTCGGCATGCCGATCTACCCGGCCCAAATTCGTTGCACTGTTCCAGTTGCACATCATGGCCTTCACTAACAGCCAAGCTTTCTGCCACGGCTTATCTCTTATCCCACGTGACCAACTTACACCTGAGGACTCAGGCACCGAGAAAAATCCCCCCCGTCGCAAACCGCGGAGCTCAACCCCTCCAACTCCATTCCTCCACACCATCTCCATTCTTTTCCCCAAACAGAAAAGGAACCACAAAATGGACCCCTCGTTCCCCTCCTCCCTCGCCGCCCTCCACTTTCCCTCCTCCGAGCAGCAATCCATCAGCCAGACGCTGACGGCGCTGCGCCGCTCCGCCCTGACCGTGACCAACCGGCTGACCAGCATCGCGACGGACGCGCAGTTCGTGGCCGAGGTGCGCGACCACTACGCCCTCCCGTTGATCGCCAACGAGCGGTGCGGCAGCTGGTATATCGCGCCGCGCGACAAGACGGGCAGCGTGTACTTCAAGAGCACGGACGGACACACCGGGGTGTGGGATTTCAGCTCGCGTAGACTCAATCTGCAGGTGTTGGGGGTCGCGGGGCAGTATGGGGGGTTAGTCTACCCTCCCTTGGACTAAAGATATGGTGTTCTGGTGCAGATGGATGCTAAGATCTTCCGGGGGGAGGGTTATAGATGCATAATCGTAGATTCGACGCGGCGGGGTAAATGTAAGTTGCCCCTGCGTTGCCTTGCCCTTTTACCCACCCCCCTTCCCTCTACATAAGTCGAGTCAGACACTAGCATGACCACGACACCCGTCACGAGAGGATAGAGTAATGACGAAGGATAGTAATGCCGGACGCCCTGTCGAAAACAATCCCCATCTGGACGGCCGTGCTCAACCGCGCCCTCTTCCCCGACGCCCAAGCCTACCACCCCGTGCAATTCCCCCCGAACTTCCTGCCGGCCTCGGAAGAATCCCAGATCGAGCGGCGGATCGACGGCTTCGTTAGGGACTTGCTGGTTCGTCTTCTTCTTCCCTCCCCTACCTACCTCTCCTATTACCCCCCGGATGAAAGTAGGGTATACTAACCCCCAAAAAAAAGAACCTAAACCTCTCCCTCCCCACCCTCCGCACCCAACTCGCCCGCCCCATCCGTCTCGCCTGGGCCAACAGAGCCTACTTCCACCCGACCACGCTCACTGCCTCCCCGGACGGCGAATACAACCTCTTCGTGCTGTGCTCGGCCTCGAAGCGCGTGCACGGCGCCGAGATCTCCGCCGGCGGGTACATCCAGGGCGCCGGGGACGACAGCGAGAGCTGGGCGCTGGGGCTCACGCCCCCGCTGTTCTGGGCGCACAAGGACGAGCTATTGCGGCGGAATGAGGAGGACATTCCCGGGTTGATTGCGGAGTTGCTGGCGCGGGAGAAGGAGGGGAGATCTCCTCCCGGTGGGCACGAGCAGGGGGCGGAAGGGAAGGCGGTGCGGATTGCTCCCACGAGGAATCTGTTTCTGGGGCGAGCGGGGGATTTTGCAGACACAAAGGGTGGGGTGGGGTTCGATCTGGTGGTGGATTGTAATGCCAAACCCGTCCAGTCTGACGCTCCGGCTGACGAGGAGACGACGGCTGCGCAAGGCAGGAGGCTGGATCTGGGCTGCGGACCGGCGAAATTGGGCAGTCGAGATCTGCGCAAGAACCTCGACCGCGTGCGGGAGTTCGTCAGGGAGCATCTGTTGCACAACCCGGAGGCGTCGGTGCTGGTCGTGTGCGAGTCGGGCCGGGATCTGTCGGTTGGCGCGTTGTTGGCGATTCTGTGTTTGTTTTATGATGACGAGGGTGGGTTTCCCATCGGTTGCGTTGTGTTGATGGGTTGCATGGGGGTTGGCTGACCATGTTCGATGCTAGGAAACTTCACCCCCACCGAGAGGAAGAGTATCGGCAAGCAGTTCATTCGGCAGCGGTTGGCCTGGATCACCCTGTGCAAGCCGGATGCGAACCCCTCGCGCTCGACCTTGCAGTCGGTTAATGCGTTCTTGATGGAGAGGCCGGATTATTGAGGTGGACAGGAATGGTTGGATGGAGTATCGGCAGTGCATGCGGGATAATGGATAAAATTAATACCAGGTTTCTTGATAAAGCTCAGGAGTATGCGACATGGAAACGATTTCTTGGACTCGTGGTGGTTGATGGCCAGTATAGCTATTTGGCTCCAAACGTATGGACACGCTGAGTGCATCGCTGGATTGATGGTTAATGGTTCGTATAGCTGACTGACTCCCTCAATGTGAGAACTTACGCGGTGGAAGGATGGGTTGCGCGCTGTTTATGTCAACTGCCTTAGTCCAGATTCAGGGGGAGGCAGACAAACTATACCCAGAAGCCCACACGCCCTGGGCATACATCCTGCCCAAACAAAGGATAGAATAATGATAAAAATCCATTAGAAGCACAATAACCCCCCCAGCCATGCAAAACCTAACTCCATCCTGAAATGCCGTAGTGAAGTCGCTATCTATGTTACAGACCCATGAAATGTACATTTATTATCCCCACGCCCAAAACATCCCCCCAATCAAGGAGCCTGCGTCAGGACATCCTCAGGCGTCTCCTCCAGCCCCTCCGCCGCCACAGGCGTGCGACCCACCGTCCCGGACCGATGCACATACATCAGAACCCTCAGCACTCCCGCAGGAGTCACGCCCTCCAGTCGCCGCGCCATCCCCACGCTCACCGGGCGAATGCGAGTCAGGACCTCGACCTCGCCCGCGCTGAGACCATGGACCGCCTTGTAGTTCATGTCCGGCGGGAGAAGCAGGTTCTCGTCCTGCAGAGCTTTGCGAGCCGCAGCCTCCTGGCGCGCGACGTGGGGCGCGTACCGACCCTCGATGGCGACACGGGTCCGGATCTCCGGAGCGAACGAGTTCGCATTGTAGACGGTGCCCGTCGGGGACTCGATGTGAGGGATCAGCGAGTCAATTCCCGTCTCCTGAAGACACAGGATGTCCATGGCGGAGCGGACGGACCCGTCGATGCGGGACGGGAAGCCAAGCCGGGCCCAGGCGGAGGACGACAGCCGGGTGTTGGTGAGCAGGGACTGCAGCTCCTGGATCTGCGCCTCCGTCTCGGTGAACTGGCGCCAGCGCGTGTCGGAGACCACGCCGGCCTCGCGGGCCATGCGCGTGAGGCGCAGGTCGGCATTGTCCGCGCGCGTCGAGATGCGGTACTCGCTGCGCGTCGTGAACATGCGGTAGGGCTCAGAGACGCCCTTGGTGATGAGGTCGTCGATCATGATGCCGATGAACCCGTCGGAGCGGCGCAGGGTGAGCGGCTTACGGCCCTGCGCGGACAGGCCGGCGTTCGTGCCAGCGATGATACCCTGACCGGCGGCTTCCTCGTACCCCGTCGTGCCGTTGATCTGGCCGGCCAGATACAGCCCGCTGATCAGTTTGGTCTCCAGCGTCGGCCACAGGTTGCGCGGGTCGATGTAGTCGTATTCCACTCCGTAGCCCGGTTGCAGCATGGTCACGTTCTCCAGCCCATGGATCTTGCGGAGCATGGCATACTGCGCGTCAGCGGGGATAGTCATCGAGATACCGTTAGGATAGATGACGTCGTTGGGCGCGAATCCCTCAGGCTCAAGCCAGATCATGTGCCGGTCCTTGTGTCCGAAGCGGATAATCTTCGACTCCAACGAGGGACAGTATCGCGGACCCTTGACCGTCTCGCGGATGTGAATCGTCTTGTCGAGATTGGCCCGCACGATATCATGCACGGCTTCATTAGTATACGTCATCCAGCAGTTGAGCTGGCCCTCATCGCCAACCTGCACCGCATCATTCAGATACGAGAAAGGCTGGGGCGGGTGATCGCCCTCCTGGACCTCCAACGGCGCAAAGTCGATCGTCTTCCGATCCAACCGCGGCGGCGTCCCCGTTTTCAACCGACCGAGCTGAAACCCGGCTTCACGGAGGGACTTGCTCAGCCCGAACGTCGCCGCCTCGCCCATGCGCCCCGAGGGGTACGCCTCAAGCCCGATATGAATCTCCCCGCCCAGGAACGTGCCCGTCGTAATCACCACGCGACTCGTCGAGATCACCTCGCCGGACTCCAACCGCACCCCGACGATCTTCCCCTGCGCCATCCCGGGCACATCCTCCACGCCCTCCTTCGACACCACAATATCGCCCACCTTGCCCTCCACAATGCTCAGCCCCTCGGTGGAACTCAGCTCCTCCAGCATATACTTCTTGTAGAGGTCGCGGTCGATCTGCGCGCGCGGGCCCCAAACGGCGGGCCCTTTCGACCGATTCAGCGTCCGGAACATCACTCCGGCCTTGTCGATGGTACGCCCGGCCACACCGTCCATCGCGTCCACCTCGCGGATCATCGTGCCCTTGCCAATGCCGCCAAAACTCGGATTGCACGAGCAAACCCCAATATTCGAGCGCGAGGGGGTGATCAACGCCGTTCGTGCGCCGGAGCGTGCCGCCGCCGCACACGCTTCCGCGCCTGCGTGCCCGCCGCCGATGACGACGACGTCGTATCCTCTACACCCAGATAAAAAGAAATTAGTATGCGAACGCAAGTGCAAGTGAACAAAATTGATCGAAAATCATCCATACCGCGCGGCATCTGTCACACTCGCCAATCCACGAACACTCCCCACCCACCGAGACCGGGACCCCAGGCCCCATCTCCGGAGAGTTCCAGAGTTTGCCCGAAAAGCCATGGTGATGGCGTGTATCGAAATCCGGGGCAGGCTGAAAAAGAAATGGTGATGTGGTGCTGCGCCGGGCTTGCAAGTTTGTTGCCCCGGAAGAGAAAAAAGCGCCGCCCCCCAGTGCTTATTTTGCATCACGTGTGTAGAGCTTATTGCCGCTTATCGCCGGGGGCGGTGAGGCGGTCCGTTTTGGACTGTGCAGGCAGAGGTCGCCAGTTGGCTGTCGACCATCATGAACAACAGTAACTTACGGGTCTACCTGAGCTGGGGGGATGATAGCTTTGATGCGAATGGCAAGATATAGATACTCCTTTGCATTCTGGGACCATACAGCTGACACGCTCACTGGGCACCGCTGAATATCTACGAAGCTTCCTCAGGAGAGTCGCTTCGAAGGGCTCACGGAGTAGAGTGGCCGTGGTGCCGTAGCGAGAACAGGCGTTCTTCTGGAGTGGGCCCGTGGGTGGGTGACTCCGACTCCGCTGGCTCGGATGAACCGCTCAATCTCATACGTAACAGCCAAGGGTACTCGCGAAAAGGAGAACATTCGTAGAAAACCCTCATTCCAAAGCACCTGGTCGCCCTTCGAACGGCCATTTGCTGGAGATACACGCGAATAGATTAGATCTCCTGATCCAGTATCAGATCCCAAGCGCATGGCCATGAGGGATATATCCCCTCGATAACAGTGTACAGTGTTTCCCCGGCGTGGCGTGCATAGTAATGGGGGCTCGCCATTGGTGAATCTGAGATCCGATCAGACCACACCAGATACGGGTCTCGGTTAGCAAGTAGAAGGGTGATTGTTCTACGACACTACAGCCCCTACAACCGCTACAACTACGCAATATCCTCCCCTGCAAAGACATCCCGCCGACGCCCCGTTGCCTGACCTTGCTCAGGATCAAGGTTTATGACAGTGTCACAGTGGTTGCAAGTGGTTGCAAGTGAGCGCAAGCGAGGGCAGGGAGCATCTGACAGCGGACATTGCCGGTGGCCCGGTGAGCCACGTGACCCGGTTTGAGTGGTTTGCAGGCCGGATACCCGAAAGGAGACGAGACTGAGTTGGCCGCGCCTCAAGCAAATTGCGACCACACCCTCGTCAGCTTTTTCCCTCAAGATCCTCATATACTCCTCATTTTGCGATCTCAGTCCTTGCCAGTCCTCTCATCAGTTACCCTGAGTAGCACCAACAACCATGGCTTCCACCTCAGGTGAGTGCACAACCCTTGTACCACAGAGATGCCAAGAACGAAGTTCATCCTCAACGTGCCCTGCGAAATCGGCGACCGCCCGCCAATTTTGCCTTTTTCACCTCCCACCTCCTTCTCCCCTCCCCTGCGGAACTCTGCACTCGCTGCTTCATTTTGTATCCACGCTGCAGTCTTCATCCTGAAATTCGAAAGTCGGTGTAACATCCTGTTCTCAAGGTTTGAACATCGACGAAATCATTTTTTCCTTGTTCCCTCTCGGTCGTTCCTGGTTACCGTCGGGGCATCGAGTGTGACTCAGGCCTCGTTCCCCACCCATCCCAACAAATGTCCTCCTCAATGCACTCTCTCTCTTCCACCTTGACAAACATCACCCGGCTAGCTCCTCGATCGCTACCATCGCATCCCACATCAAAAATGCCACAGCGTCTGGGAGCCAGCATGTTTCGTTCCTCTTTCCTTCGCGTTGCACACCCCCGCCCGGCGGCGCCGACCCGACCGGCCCGCTGCTTCTCAACCACACGGCGACAAGCCTGTGCTAACATGCCATCCTCCCCATCAGATCGCTTCATGTCGGCTCTGCACCAGAACAAGGACTGGGCAGCCAAGATCGCCAAGGAGGATCCTCAACTCTTCCCCACGCTCGCCGTAGGCCAGCAGCCCGAGATCCTGTGGATCGGGTGCTCCGACTCGCGGTGCCCTGAAACCACCCTGCTGGGCCTCAAGCCTGGCGACGTCTTCGTCCACCGTAACATTGCCAACGTGCTGCACGCCAGCGACCTCAGCTCGTCGGCCGTGATCGAGTACGCCGTGAAGCACCTGCGCGTCAAGCACGTGGTCGTGTGCGGCCACACCAGCTGCGGTGGTGTCGCTGCCGCCCTGGGCAACAAGCAGCTGGGCATTCTGGACCCGTGGCTCATGCCCCTCCGCCAGCTCCGCGAGCAGCACCTGAGCCTGCTCAACTCGCTTCCCACCGACGAGGCCAACCTTAAGCTCGTCGAGCTGAACGTCCACGAGGGTGTCAAGACGCTCAAGCAGAAGAGTGTCGTGCTCGATGCTATTCAGGAGCGGGGCCTGCGCGTCCACGGCCTGATCTATGATGTCGGAAGCGGTGTGCTCCGGGAGTTGGATACCGATGAGCCCGAGGAGGCCATCAAGGCGCGTCTCACTTCGTTCAAGACCGACGTCTAGACTCGACTGCGAGTTCACATTTGGGAGGTTCGGTATTGGTTCTTGCGCTCTGGGTTCAGAGATGGTGTCGTGGGTCGTGTCGTGTTCATTTCAGCGATAAGTGGGGTTTTGCATATTTGTTGTATTTAACTGCTCGGTTGCTTGCTGCTTGCGAGGGCGAGCGAGATGGAATCTGTATATCTTGGGTTAATAATTCATCCAAAGTTTCAACACCCGGTACTGGTGACTCACTCATCGTAGAACCATCGTAGCACTTGCATCATCGGGGAGACATCACTCCCCGTCAAAGATATGTGGCGAACTTCTGCAGAGAGCAGCCAGCCATGACTTGTAAGACCTCACCTGGAGGATATGAGAATGAAAGACAGAACCGGGTACCGCCTGGGTGAGAGGGGAGAAGTTGAGGAGAAGAAAGGAGAAATGAAAATCCTGCTGCCATTGAATAGGTAATCAGGATCGGGCACCAGTGACTGGGGATTTGCAGTTCACACACACACACACACACTAGACTACTGTTCCACGACGGTCGGAAGATGGTCTCCGCACCCTTAATCATCGTTGGCCACCTCCCAATCAGGCAGGCCCAGGCTACGGTGTGGAACTCGGTGGTGGTCTGAATGGGTTTAGCCCCGGCCGAAGCGGCTGTTCTTCGGTAGAAGTACCATTCACACTGAGGTCAGGCGGTAACTCGTAGTAAGTTACTCATAACTTAGTTATGCTAGGTGATGATGACGAAGCAATGAGTACTTCTATTCTACTTTGATTCCAATTAAGTATAAACAACTTATTGTTATCAGGAGTAGTTTTGAACGACTTTAAGAGTATACTCCGTATAGTTGATTTAAATTTATCGAAACCAATACTAATGCGTAGAACAAAAAGCCTAGGTCCGCTCTGATTACACATAACTCAGCACAATCTTCCAACGGAGAACTGATACAGACTTATGCCAGGGCTACATACTGTTCGCAGAACTGTACGATCATGTCCAGGCATGCTCCGAGTCTGAAAATAGACATCCGCGGTTAGGAAGCTGCCAGTGGTGATCCTGGTACCAGGCGGGTCGTCTTCTACTAATTCTCCAGTCTGTCCCTATTCTATGCTTGAATGTGATTGTTTGGCTTGAGTTGTTGACAGTAGACTCTTCAGCAACAGGGAATATTGTCTTGTGTCCTCTCTTAAGAGACCAATTGACTACTTTTTAATTGCCTGCGATGGCGAGCTTTCCTCCCGTCGGGCCGCGAGAAATACTCTAAGGCTCGCCACATGTACGGTAAACGTCTACAAGCTGCTCCAATGACTTATCCGAATACTCCAAGATCAGTCTAGGTCAGGGAGCTGTCTCCGGCTCCCCCGATGGAGAAGTAGACGATTGATCCTGGACCCCATCACCATCCTTCACAGCAACAGCAGCAGTAGTAGCAGCACCACCACCACCCGAAGAAACAGCAGGATCAGCATCAACCTTCGCCCCATCTCCCTTCCCACGACCACCATTCTTCCCCAAAACCCCCCGATAAACCTCCCCTTCCTCCCCCTTCAACCCCACCCCGGTGGGATCCCGATCCAACAAGAACCGCTGCACCTTCTCCTCGAGCCCCTTCCCCCGCTCCGCAACGACCGACTTCTCCCGGCGCCCGTTCAGGAACCGCTCCGACTGCTCCGTGACCTCCCACAACCGCTCCTCATACCCACTGCTGAGCTGACTGATCCACGACGCCTGCAGCGCCCCACCCAGCAGCGTGAGCAGCACCACAAACGAGATGAACGTCCGGTTGTCCACCATGTGCTGCTGCCGCCCTTGGTGGCGGTTGTGCCACCGCTCCCAGTCCTCCCAGGTGGCGTTGGCGAAGATGGGCCCGTAGTCCTTGGAGCCCGGGCGGGCCCACGGCGGGACCTCGTGTTCGGGGTGCTCGTCAGCGGCAGCGTGGTGGCGGTCCGGGCGGTGGACGTTCCATCCCGTGCCGAATTGGTCGTACGCTGCTCGTCGGGCGGGGTCGGAGAGGAGCTCGTGCGCGGCGACGAGGAGGTGGTACCGTTGGATGCGGACCTCCGGGGTGAGGTTTTGGAGGAGGGGGTGTGGTTGATGGTTGCTGGTGCTGGTGCTGGCGCCGCTGCTGCCGCTGCTCGGTGAGGAGCGGTCCGGGTGGTAGATTTTCACGAGTTCATAGTATCGTGCTTTCGTGTATGGGGCTTTGCGGTCCAGGTGGAAGAGGTCGTATGGGGTGAATGTTGGGCTTGTTGGCCATGTTAGGTCGTGAGGGTTGGGGTTGGACTTGGTGCTGCTGGTGGCGTAGCGCTGGCAATGGTGCCGCCGAGCGGGGAAGTGCGAGCAATAGCTTGCGTTCAGGAACTGTAGGCCGCTCTGGTTGAAAAGATTGGGTTTCCTGGGCATGGCCGCATGATTTCGTAGGAGAGAAAGGACGGGATGTTCCTTCTCTCCTGCTGTGGTGGGTGTACTGTATATGAGTGTAGTGTATGCAGTGGTGGTGGAGAGATACAAGCACCGCGGCAAGTTCGGGGCTACTGAGGCCCAGAGTGACGAGCACAGTCCGGTGCGGAGACCCACAGTTGGCCGTCACGTGCAGCGGCATTCAACAAGCTCCGCTCATCTTCAATCTGTAAACACCTCCATCTCCGTTCCTTAGACACAGCAACCATGCCAGATTCACCAGACCCTCACCCGCGGCGGCGCCACCGCTCGCCCTCCGGCTCGCCCGCTCCACCTCGCGACCGCCGCGACCGAGAGCGAGAGCGAGAGCGATTCCGCGACTCCTCGCGCGACAACAGATCCCACCGCCACGACAGCCACCGCAGCTCACGCAGAGACAGCTCCCGCCGCCGCGAGCACCGTCGCTCGTCGCGCAGTCCCAACGACCGTGAGCGAAGCCGCCGGGACGACGACAGCCACCGTCGCAGGGAGCGAAGGGAGCGCGCAACAAGCCCCCGGGACGAGCGAGACCACGACCGAGATCGAGACCGAGACCGAGACCGCCACCGCCGTCGACACCGGGACTACGACGATGAAGACTCCTCCCACCGATCCTCGCATCGCCGCCGTCGCGATCGCGACACCAGCAGAGACAGAACCAAGCCCCCCTCTTCCTCCCGCCGACACCGCGACAGTCCCTCGCGCTCCCGCTCCCGCTCCCGCAGTCCACACACCACCACCGCCGCGCCCTCCGCCCCAATCCGCTCCTCCAAGCCCCTCCCCTCCCAACAAACCGCCTACACCACCGACCTCACCCCCTCAGACTCCCAAGCCCCGGCCGCCGAAGTCGAAAAAGAAAAACCCAACTTCGGCACGACCGGCCGCCTCGCCGCCGAAAGCAACACCGTCACCGTCCACGGCGGCGGCAGCGGCAACGGCCCCACGACCGTCGTGCTCAAATACCACGAACCGCCGGAGGCCCGCAAACCGCCGGCCAAGGACAGCTGGCGGCTGTATGTGTTCAAGGGCCAGGACCTGCTGGAGATGGTGGAGCTGAACGTCCGCAGCTGCTGGCTGGTGGGGCGGGAGCATTTGGTGGTGGATTTCCCGCTGGAGCATCCGAGCTGCTCGAAGCAGCACGCGGCGATCCAGTTCCGGTTCGTCGAGAAGAAGAACGAGTACGGGGACCGGATCGGGCGCGTCAAGCCCTACGTGATCGATCTGGAGAGCGCGAATGGGACCACGGTCAATGGGGACAGGATCCCCGCGGGCCGGTTTGTGGAGATTATGGATAAGGATGTCTTGCGGTTTGGGTTGAGTTCGAGGGAGTATGTGCTTATGTTGACGAAGCCGGAGTAACTTTGGTATGAATTTTGGGGGGGGGATATAGATAAATGGTTCTGATCGATTCAGTTTTTTTGGATGTTTGATGCCAGGCCTGGCGATGTGTATGATTTGGGTTTGGTGTTGTTATCCCGGGTTGTGTCTCCGCAGAGCCGACATACGTTTCAGGACACACCTAGTTGTCGCATTGGTCAGAGCAGCAAATACCCTCAATGACATACTCATAGCGGACTACCCAGTCACTAGGTAGTTAAACATCGCCTACCAACGCCACTACATCAATCCTGGCACCTATTTGCGAGATCCAGAACGTTACATGGGCAAGAAACCAATTAATAATGCCAAGCATGATAGACAAAAACTATGCAATGAGCCGTTGATATTTCAGTAAACCTCCATGCCATGATCGCAATGCACTAGAAAAGAATAAAAGAGTAATCATAGGTATATGAAAGTGGGTGGGGCCTCGAAACCCGGGGGTACTCAAAAAAAGACCACAATCTCTCCCCGCTCGTTCATCTTGAGGCGCAGAGTACGCCAAAGTTCCTTCTCGTCATCGACTCTCCGCTCGCGGTCTGCGCGACTGCGACCCTGGTCGCGGCCCCGGTCGGCGTCGAATTCATCGGTGAAGTCCTTGTGGAACCGCTTCAGCACCTTGTTCACGGAGAACCCGCGCGAGCTCTCGGGGCCCTTGGTCACCAGCGACAGGAAGTGGCTCGCCATCTGCCGTTGCAAGCCATCCGGGACCGTGCTCTTGGGGTACAGCGTCACCTGCCGGCCGTCCTCATCGTGGTGCGATTCGGGGTACTCGATCTGCTTCTGACGGCGCGACGGCCGGTCCCCTTCGGTCTGGGCGCTGCTCTTGCGCTTGGACTTGCGGGCATCCGCCGACTCGGCGGCCTTGGCATCGCCATTCTCGCGGATCTTGTGAGTCTTCTTCGCGCGACGAGTCTCCAGCTGGCCGTTGGCGCTGCTACCAGAGACAGAGGAGCCCCCGAACATCGACGAGACAAACCGTTCGGCACGGTTCTTCATGGAGATACCCAGGCCCGCGTCGGCTTGGTTCTCCTTCTCGTCGCGGCGGGTCCGCTTGATCGGGGATGAGGTTTCCTGGTAGCGTCGCCGGGAAGAGTTCCCGTGCCCTTCCTCGTCGTCCAGCGACGGGGAGCGGAGCATACGGTTTAGTCCTCCCGTCAGTCCGGAGTGGTTCAGCATCGGGGTGCCGGGATGATTGACGACGCTCGAGGGGGCATCCAGCATGGGCGTGTCGGTCTCGGTGTCGTGGTCCTCGGTGCGGCGCTTGCGCTTCTTCTCGCTCGTGGCACCCTCGGCCTTGGAGGCGCGGTCCTTCTTCTTCTTGGGCGCAGGGGTCATGAACTCCATGGACACGTTGGGGGCCTTGCGGTCGTAGGGGGACTGGTTGATCGGGCCCGAGCCGTACGAGAATCCATTCTCTTCATACGCGACGTCGTAGGTCTTGTTGTCGTCATCGCCATCTGTGTCAACGCGAGCCAGCGACTTGCTTGACTCGAAGACCGAAGGCGCGTTGGCGACCATCTTCATCTGTTCCTTAGCCTCGTTCACAGAAACCTTAGAGGCATTGGGGGTGCCCTCGGGGACAAGGTAGTCGAAGACATTTACCGGCTTGTCGGTCTTTCCTTCGGCGCGCGGGGTCTTCTCCACGCCAGCGGGAGGAGGGCTAGGCGCAGGTGGGGGAAGATTATCGGTGTCGGTGCCATCCTCGACGTAAGGTGCCCGGTGGCCGTGGGGGGTCTGCTTCTGATTTTGGTTCTGTTGTTGGTTCTGGTTCTGGTTCTGGTTTTGTCGGCCGTTGTTCTGTCCTTTGCGTTGATTCTTGGCCGGCTTCTCTCTGTACAGCGCGCCTTGGTACTTTTGCGCCTCAGACATGCAGGACTATCACGGTGAGTTAGTTGTAGTTCACATGAATCAACAAATATATGGCAGATTTGCGACAAGAGAGTAAAGCACGATGTCTTGCAGGTGTAGACGCAGCGACAAAGAGGAATAGCGGGCAATCCAGTCCCCGAGGAGGTATTGAAAGGCAATCCCAAGGGAAAAGATGGTCGTACCGTGTGCGATCTGTAGCTAGTTCCCTGGAAATGCACCATACAGTCGATGCAGGTGTAGGAAGCGCCGCGACATTGGTTGCGATGGGGATCGAGCTTCTTCTTGGTGAGGACATCACCACACGCCTGTTGGGATCGTCGCATATTAGCACACGCCGTTGTTCAGTGACCAGAATGGCCTTCTGCAAAGGGGATGAGAGTGGGCGGCGATGTTGCGCGACTCACCTCGCAAGAAAATGAAACCATCTTGTCAAGATCCGCTGGATTACAACGCGATTTGTTGGAGAAGTCTCGATGCGCGACTTGAGACCTGCGCCGATATGAGAAGGGAAAAAAAGAAGAGGAAAATTATAAGTCCGGTGGATGGAGTGGATGGGGGTCCAGCAGAATTAAGCTAGACAGACTTTCGGAGGACCCGCAACGGACCTGAACTGAACAAGACCAGAAGACCAGCCCACTCCCACTCCGTATTGTCGGTAGTCAGACTGTCGGTTACACTGAGGTTGTTGTCCGGGACAACGGACAGACACGAGATTGTACTATGTAAGATGACAGAGGGAAGAAAAAGCAAAAGAGAGGTCCTGAAACCCTGTGGTTTGAAACTCGAGGACTTGGTGTCAGCTTTTGCGCCGTCCTCGTTCCCCGGCGCGTTCTCTTTTTTAAAAAGTGTAGCAGAAAGCGCTGCGCCGCCAAAACAAAACCCGCTCAAATCAATGTCTGGAAGAGGCTAAGCCTGTTGGGGACTAGTCACTCTTCGAGATGTTGGCTGCCCTTCCAATCAGGCACGGATCCTGCCTCCCCGCAGTGCAACACCAAATGTTATGGAATCGTTCAACAAGTATACGGAGTACACCTCTGTAGTGGATACAATGGCAAGACCGGTTCAAGCAATTTCTTCATCTCATCGGGACACCCATTGCAATGCATATCTTGACAAGTTGACCACTTGATCAAAGCAGGAGAAGGGGCGCACAGGGGGGGAATGTGGCGCTTGTGCATCGAACCACCAACACGGACTTGTCAGGAGACACCATACATTTGCAGCTGGCCCTGCACACCGGCCAGTCGCCGCCCACCTCGACCCTTCTTCGCAGCTCATCTGTCACTCTAGCCCCTGCAATCAAGGGGCCGACGCCTTCTGCCGGACAATAAAAGAAACCTATCCACCAAGATACGAGTGGCTTTCTTCTCGATTGTGCTCAAAGCCTCCCCTCTCATAGGATCGGGGCGCGGTGATCGTCGGTCTGCAGCGCAATAGACTTCCAGTCCGAGGTCGAAAGCTACCACTTTGCTCCTTAAGCGACAAGACACCACGAAGGGCTAGCTATATATAGCGCTCAGCGCCAAAACGAGGGCTTGAAGCATATGGCATTTATGATGTCGCGACGCTGGTTTCAGCCTTGTCACCATCTTAAATGGACACTGTTGCTTGTCGCTGTCTGAGAAATTACACATCTGTAGTCAATGCTTCCCACGGGCTCGGGAGAAATTCCTCCGGGAGTCCATGTGGGAGCTGAGATGCACAGTACTTTTGCGCTGAATGGTCAGCCGCGGCCGGCATAAGGGTTCCACTCTCGTCATGCGCACCATGATGCATGCTTCACACCCTTTCATGCAGCTTCCACACCATCTATCCAGGCCTGCCTTCTACAGTGTAGAGCACTGGTGAGCCTTCACTAAACAGTTCTCATGTGAGATTTGGGGGTGCCGTCGCAAAAGCCTTGCGCCCATGTCAGGGCAGCAAGACACAATCAGGATTCAGACGACCCATGACTGGTTCGTCCAGCAGTAGAGGACACAAAGACGTCATCCCTCCGGTTTGCCGTCTACCTCGCATGCGATATTGAACCTGTGGTACATTTAGTGCCCAAGGCTTTTAGGCGACGTCTTCTCGGCAAGTAATTACAGTCAAGCCACCACTACTATGAATCGCAACCCGGATCGAACTTGAGGCCCTTGTGCAAGACGAAGCTCCAGGGCCGTGGTATGTAGGTATTTTGAAGATGAATGTTGTAACGGTATATACAACTGAAACTACCGTGCACGAACCGGCTCAGTGCACCCAGCGATCCGGCACTGGCGGAGAGTATGTATAATGTGAAAGAAAGAGCATAAGTCACAAGGGAGTGGAATGGGTCAGAGATGTCGAGATAAGGGCGCGCAGCGTTCAACCTCGAGTAGTCCTATAGTGGGATGTGATCAGCAAGGTATCCATGATCATGGGATACGAAGGGAGCACGAACGGTCCCCTGTTGATCTCGACCAGCGGCAGTGCGTCGTCACGATCGGCCTCCCTCCGCGCACTGGGCAGATCCTTGTTTGTGGTCAGATCCTCATCCTCGTCCTCTTCGTCTTTCGCACAGCCGCAGTCATAGAAATCGCCGATATTGTTGCAGTCGAATTCAGGTTTCTCGAGCATGATGTTCACCTCGTTGTGGATGAAGCAGCCCCATCCAGCAGCCGCATTGCGCGACGAGACCTGCGGGGGATACTTTTTCAAATGACCTTGGAAGTGCGAGGCGCATTCGCCACTAGGAAGAGACCCCAGTCAGTATGCAGCAATAATAGAGGTGCAAGAGGGCGACGATACCATGGATAGAGTCGCGCAAAGAGATAGATGAAAGAGCGTAAGGTTTCCTGCTGCTCCTCGGTCGGATCTTCGGGATACCGAGCCAGCATTGTATGGAAGTATTTCCAGGTCGCACGGCCTAGTTCCGCCCTACAGTTTCCGACGACAATCCCTTTAGCATGATTACAGATTCCAAAACAGAGATTCATTTGATTCTCACTTTGCCGTCGCATTCCCAAGCTTGGGCATCACCACCTCCCCTTTGATCAGATCATCTTTGGACACCACGGCCGGCGCGGATTTGTCGAGGTGGCCAGGAGCCCGAGTGGCGGGACTCGGCGGACCTTGAGGTTGGATCAAGAAGAGAAAGATTAAAAAGATAGTGATGCATGCGCCGGCAAGGAGCTGCCGGGTAATCTGGCGGTGTGCCATCGTGGAGTGGCTGATCTATAGGACGCCCACGTTCTCCGTGAGGAAGACAGATCGCCCAACTCTCTAAAGGGGCGTGGGATGATTGACGGTGGATTGACAATGGGCCCGGCCAGGCTGACCGCCTCTCACGTGGCAGAATCAATACTCAATAGCTTCACCGCCTAGTGAATCGCTGTGTGTCCATTGTACGGAGTACTGTACATAGTAAGAGGTTATGTACAGTATTCCCTGGGAAAGAACGCTGATGTAGTAATACCTTCAGCCTAGTAGAGTATTCTGATCCTTGATAGTTCCAATGATCTGAGCATGAATTGTGAACATGGCTTTACTAAGACAAGTGGCTCAGCGAGATGGTATGTTCGAGGACCTGACCTGCGGGTGCCTCCCCAGGCCAAGGCGTTGTCGAAGCGCCCAGCAGGGCCCGTATCTCCACCTTTATAAGCACTTCTCAACTACTAGGTATAGGTAGCTGAAAGCCTATTCATAACCCAGCCTGCCTGGCCATCCAGACTACAACTCACCAAGACTTTCACGTGATGTCTACACACCATAGGACATGGAAGAGATCTCCAGGATCGCGAGTGATTGATTGATCCATTTTCGTTGAATTTGGAGCAATGATTTCGACTCACTGTGAGTTGTGATTGGCGTGGCCAGGGAGGGTACTTAGGTTGTGCGACTTGATTCTGGAACGTCCTCCGCGGGGACAAATAGGACCCGGTTTGCTTCGTGCTCTGGTGGCACCTGGTTGGGAGGTTTTTCGTCGATTTTGAACATCTTGAGTGTCTTCAAGCGCAATCCTCTGAAGCCCTTGGTTGCGAGTGCATTCAGATTTCCCGCAAAGGTCGTAGGCCTGGTGATTTCAGACAGATGATCCTCAAGCATGAAATGTCCCCAGTAGTAACGCCCGCCTGAGGTAATGATATAGTCCATATCCTTGGTACCTAACAGAACAATCTTAGCGTCTACGATGCCGAAGCATCGGGACCGGTAGGCTTCCAAGCTGTTGTAGCCGAAATAGAGCTCGAGGTGGTGTGGATCATTGGTCCAGCCTTCGGGAATGGCTTCGGACTAGATTCCATCAGAATGGACAGGAGGATAAACAAAGATCACGCAGGTGCCGACAGTACTCTTCCCTCGCTTTGTACTATGAGTATGCTGTAGCTTGTGACTTACTTGATGGTCCATCTCACTGGGCTTGTACAGATACTACTCTCGAGGGAGCCAGTTGCGTGATGGTGAAAAGTTGGACCGATCTGAGGGCGAGTAGTCAAGGCACCAGTAGTCAAGGCACCGACAGTGTTAGTACTTGCTACCTAGGTATACAGTACTGTGGGGAAGGGAGGAACACAAGGCAGACAACAGAGGAAACCATCGAAAGGCGCGGAGGGCGGAACAGGCGACTTTTTTATGCTTTCTTAGCAATGGAAGCAACATGAATAATGACTGTCGCTTTTCATTGATATCGATCGGTTTTCGGGGTTGATCTCCTCGGTGATGAATTCCAGCGATTCATTGCTGCTTATCGCTTATCCGGAGTGGGTCGTAAATTAGCTGTCAACAGTTAAGTTAGTTACAGTAAAGCTTCTACATTATTGTCGCCTGATCTTCGAGGCATCAGTAGAGATAGCTGAGTCAGCAGGAACTGCCGAGTTTCGCGATCTGCGCGGCCGCCCACCCCCCAAAAGTTTTCTGCCGATTTCCGGCACCTGAACGCCTGGTTCACCACGTTCGCTGCACCCCTCCTTCTCTCCCCCGAGTCGCCTTTGCATGTGTTAACGGGTCCCACGGTATTTCATCGGGCGTTATTGGAATTATACTCTGATGGATTTGGAGTACCGAGGGATTCTCGCGCCGAATGGGTTGGCTACACATGCCTCGCTCTTAACGCCTCCGGCCACCACCAGCGACCTTCGGAACAATCTTAGGCTTCCCCGGCCGATGACAGCTTTTGATTTCTCCCCCAGACCCTCGGAACCTGGCGCCATGAACAAGATCCCCGCCGTCCCGAGCAAACGGCGGGGTGGTTGTAGGAAGGCCTGTAATGAGTGTAAGCAGCAGAAGGTAAGTTAGTCTGTCTGGCTATACCTGTCATATCGCATTCCATCCTGCATTCCGTTCGGACCCATCGCCTAGCTGTGCATATTGATGTATCCGTTCAACTCGACATCGTTTAATGGATACTGTTTACTGCGCCTGTCAATTCTCATGCCCTCCCTCTAGACAAAGTGGTTGAACATAGGCTCACCGGACCCCGCAGCTTCGGTGCGATATTGTGCAAACGCCCGCTGATGCATGCTCACGCTGCCGGCGGCTCCAAATAGAATGCAAGGTTGAGCCCACTTTCAAACGGATCTCCAAACGCCGGTAAGGCCTTCCGAGCATGTCTTACCTATGTTTCATCTCTTGGCTGAACACTAGCTGTCTAGGCGCAATGCCGAAATGGAAAAAGAAATTGCGGATCTCCGCCGTCGGCTTGCCAGTGGAGAGCATCCCCAGCCCGGGGAGGCTAATGCCAGTGACGAGCTATCTCAATGTTCGGAGGATGTGTTCTGTTCTCCAGATGCGACTGTTGGCATCAAAGGACGGCCGTTGTCGGCTCCACTGGACCCGCAACCCATCGCTACTCCGCTGACCATCCATCGAGATGCCTCCATCTTGTCCCAGGATGAGAATCCGTGGATATTAGAGGACGTCTCGCTATCACGAGCCCGAGTAGCACGGTTGTTTGACCAGTACGATCCTCTCCCTGTGCATGCAGTAGCATCTTGGACAAAGTTACTTATGATTGGCAAGGTTTTTCAAATATTATCATCCCTTTCTTCCTCTTTTGAACCCACAGAAGCCCCCAGACGAATATATGCGTCGTTGTCCATTGCAGGCATGGACGATCATCTGTGTTGCTAGTCGAAGAGCACCTTCTGAGCCGGGTCTCCTCAGCGCACTCTCCGGGCCGTTTAGTCGGCTGCTCTGGTCCACCATTACTGGTGTACCACAAGACTACCGTGTGGTCAAGGCACTCTGCCTCCTCTGCACCTGGCCGTTGCCAACAACCAGTCAACGAACCGATGCTACCTTTATGCTCAGCGGACTGATGATGCAGATATCCATGCAACTGGGGCTACATCGTCCAGTTCAAGCTGAGGAGTTCACCACCTTCCGCATGGAAGTACAAGGGGAAGCTGTCAAAGATCGATTGCAGACATGGGTTATTTGTAACATTGTAGCCCAAAAGTAAGTGGCTTTCAAGCCTGCCGCCGGATCCAACTATTGACTCTATTTGTCCAGTGTCGCTACCGGTTACGGGCAGCCTCCGTCAACTATCTACGATTGGGCCCTAGAGCCCGCTTCACTGCGAGACGCCGATTACCACCCTTCGCATGACCTGATGACTCGGCTCAGAATCGAGAAGTTCTGTGACCGTGTCACAAAGGCACTGTACAGCAGCAAACCTGACCCGGCCGAGTTCATCAGTTCGGAGAAGCTGCTGATTGTACAGCTTCTCGAGAATGAATTGAGAGATATGGAAGTCGACTTTGGCCGGGACATTTCCAGTATGTTATGCATGGCCTGATTCGTCTTTGCTGAGTTCGAACTAATTCTCCAGACATCAACATGATCCACCTGCGAGCGGCCGAACTGCACCTACGGTATTTCGTATTCCTGGGCTCTAACGCCCGAAGCGACGATTTGACAAAGTTGTTCATCGCAACCACTTCCTTCCTCGGACGAGTACTCGATCTCGAGACCTCCCCCGGCGAGCTTATCGGCCACGCTCCCAACTACATCCTACAAATGATTGTCTCAGCCGCTTTCGCGCTCATGAAGCTCTTGAAGAGCGATTTCCGTCGCCACATCGACTTTGAACACGGAAAGCTTCTCTTCAACGGAGCCATCTCGGCTATCCGCCGCATCAGCGTCATGGACCACGACCGTCCCGTCCGCCTGGCCGATATCCTGGCGCAGATGTGGAACGCAGGCAGTCCAGAAGATTCCGCCGGTGGTGACGCATTGCAGCTCAAGATCCGTTGTCGCATGAGCATGAGCCATGTTTACGATACCGTGTGGCGGTGGCGCCAGCGATTCCGCCCGATGAAGAGCGTGGAGGACACGCAAGGTATGTTTTTGCTGCTTCCTCGGATTTACAGGGGCAATGAGATTGATATGTCGCAGCTACCATGGCCAATCCCAATGTGGCTCCCCTCACTGGCCCTCTCTCACGGCCGCAGGACGAGTCTTTGCAGAGTACAAACCTGATATACACTTCAAACTTTGATCAAGGCGCCTTCATCAGCGAGGCAGGCTTCTCCGAGGTATTCGATTCCCTGAATTGGGTTTTTGATGGGATTCCGGACTCCTTTGTGGCGCCTCCAATTCTATGAACAATGCACGCACAGCCTTCTGAACTGCGAGTACTGTTGACTTAAAAGCCGTGTTTCCCTATGAAAATGTACAGAGCACCACCATACAGCATAGCAACCACTTATGACCATTCTTTTATCATAATATACCCGGAGGACACATCAATTGAAATTACGACAAAGTTGGTACCATTTCCACTTCAACATAGCCACGACTGTAGCGGAGGATGTTGACTTGTTATATGGATTCTGTCGGCGGCCCTGAGGCCTCGATAGCCAGGCTGCTCGCGGCCATGCATGGTGATCGTTCCTCTCAGGTAGCCTCACGTAGCCTGAATTCGTCCACCATCCCACGTCCTTGACAGGTTCGCTTGTCCGCGAACATGGGACTCATCGCCTAAGTGATAGTGATAATCGTACAGGGCATATGGTGAATGTAGAGGATCATTTACTAGAGCTACATAATACTTCGTACTCGGGAACTTACAACTACAATTTTCCCCTCGAATCAGTGAATTAAATCCATTGATGTGAAAGCGTTATTGTGTATTTTAATTTCATTGCTGGATCGCAAATATCCATGTGAATATATGCCTTGTTATCCAGGCAACTATGAGAGTACCCTGACGATTCATCCGGAAGTGTAGTCCGGGGTATTCATAGACACCAATCTTTAGCAACTGCCCACCCTATCCTACATTGCTTCAACTCCAATCTACTTCCTGTCATCATGATCTACTAACATGGTGAAGACTCCAGTAAGTAATTAACCATCCTAATAGTATATGTTAATAGTCTACAAAAAAACGGGGAATGGTACACACAGTTCATCCTGAGATCCTGTCACCTGGGTTTATTTCTTCCCTCTCTCATGCCTTGAAGCAGTTATCCTTCGACCAAGTTATACATCTCTAGAATAATCCCACCTGCTTTTCTCTTTGCTTCAACACCAATATTCTTTCTTTATCTGTGTCCTCGGTCACATTTTGTTCAGTCTGCGAGCCAAAGCTGACAATCGTCAGTCCCAAACAAGTCGCGAAGAGCCAGCCGCGCAGCCTGAACCTCGATATCGGGGGCACTATGATAACCAAGACGGCCCAGGATTTTCTGCTGAGGACATCCCCGAAGACTGGACGAATGACCCCAAACTCTTGGAGTTTTACGATGATCCTAAATGTCAAGACGCCGATCTGGCCCGCTGCTGCAGAATCCAAGATCCCCGAATGGTTTTAATGGGCACTCCCGAGTCGGGAGAGATGCAGTATATTATAGCTTCTAAGGGCAAGTACTACTGGGGCCATTTCGAGCTTCTTCATCTGGAAGAGATCACCAGGCCCAAGACGTTGTCGGAAATAGTCCATGCTCTTCGTGATAAGGGATTCCGGGGCCTCCGTATGAAGACCCTGAAGCCGGTGTGGACCCCCGAGGATGAGGAGGATGCACGGTCTGCCACAAGCGAAGGACCCAATCTGTTTGTTCCGGTTGACCCCGATGCGCCTTGATGCACCATGTACTTTCGACGAGAGCGTCTCACGACTCGAGGAATAGCAATGCTTAGTATCCATTCAGCCGATGGTTTGCTCGAATGATGGCATATTTTGTCAAATTTGCGAAGTTTCATCTCGTCTACCTCGGGCTTAGCATTCGTTGCAGCCTCGTAAGAAGCACATGGAATCTAATACACTCTCAAGCACATCTAAACATGGCTGAACAAATTCTCCCCTGGCTGAATGGCGGTCTGGACCTCCGCAGGGCCTACGCGTATCCTCGCGAACAGATTCTTGCGTGCCTCGACCGGATCGTTACGTGCCTCAAGGACATCGTAGACAAGCCCGGGGGCTACGGGGTCCCAGCGCACAATAGGCCCATCCTCCTTCAGATGAACATGGACATAGTGCGCCTCCAGTAAGCTTTGTGTCTCTGTGAAAGCGATTGTGTCTATGGCTAAGCGATAAGAAAGCTCTCCAGATGGCGGCGATTGCGTCACACCAGCTCCGCCACAGAATTTCGACCGAGAAGATGACCCCCGGTGGCCAGCTGCTAGAGCAGCATTCCGGCTCATAAGATTTGAACACGATGGGCTCAATTATTGGGCACTATCAGACCTGCTAGGGCTCTTTCTGAGCAAGCTGGGCCCCGTATACAACCACCGCAGGCGGGCGGTACCAATGGGGTGAACTCATGTTGGAGGATCATCTATCTGAGATCACCGGGCTTGCAAACTTCCAGTAACCCTGGAAGCACTTGCAACCAAGGGCTTCAGAGGATTGCCCATGAAGACCCTCCAAATGGTCAGAATTGACGAAGAAGCTCCCAGTCAAGTGCGCGAGACAACTCGAAATATTGTACGAAGGCGTATCCCTTCTGTAAACTCTTAGGGTCAGTGCCTCTGAGTCTACACATCATCCCAAATTTGTGACTAACTTATGTTGACTATGTATTAGGGGCAGACCCAAAGAAGAGGCAGCGAGGGCTTCTGAGGGTTGGCGCTTTGCAGCGATTGTATATATTTTACGCCTACCTACGAAAACCGGTCGTCCTCGGAGATTCAAAGGAGCATTTGGGACCCGTGTCCAATTGCGAGGTCCTTATCAATATCCACCAAGGCGATTCCCGTCTCTGGAACGGATGCAAGGGCGTCTCGCCTCTGTTCATCGAGGTGGATGCCGAAAGTTCTTTGCGGACAATCTCTTCGGATCATTCCTTAGCGGGTGTGGTGGTGGATCAGGAACAACGGCCTGTCTATAGAGCTGTTCAAGAGCTGATTTATGCAGCTACTTGATGGTCTATCTATGTACATACTCGAGTACCTTCTTCAAGTGCCCATTCAAGTACCTATTCAAGCACCTGGTGAAGGCCATGTTTGCACAACCGTTCATCTACCCGCTTAGCTGATGCCTGAACATTAAGGCATTTACATGACTGTTCGGGAGCGAAGTGGTATGACATCATAGCTCTGATCATGACGTGACGACCCAAGCCCTGGATCCGCCCTGGATCCATCCGCTGCATCAGTCAGGGACTGCCAAGTTTGTAGTCTAAAGTACATCATCAGGCACATCGACCCATATTCTTTGTCCGATCACACACTAACCCCAAAACAGCAGAGTATATGGAGAGATCTCCAGGTTCAACTCCGAGCGAGTCCCCCAGTCACTGATGGAACTTGAACTATGCAGGGCCTTCCGCATTCGGCATCCCTCCCTGTATGAGTCCCCCGCTCCAGCCCCCGAGGAATGCTGCCCATGCCCGCATCCATAGAGGCCAAGTCTCCCTTTACCAAAGTCAAAACGTTTGCAGTCAACGACTTATCTAAGATGAAGTTCGAGTGCAACTTGTCCTGCGCATCCCATCATGCAAATGTCTTTCTCTTGCCATCTCCCCATGTTTCGCCGCGGCCTCTCCGACAACCCACCACCTAGCTAGCACCAAAGATTCAGTGTCCGTTCGAGTCGACAGGATGATCCGCGGAAGAACACAGATCTCGCGGATTGTGATTGCCGCCCTATTCAGCTATGGGCTCTTAATCTTCTTGTTCAGTCAGTCGGCGCGGAGGTTTTGGGCCACGGATGGAGTAGATATGGCCCGGAGTTACTTCGAAGACCAGGCTTTCGAGCACATCAAGAACGAAACGCTGGGGGTGCGTTCGGTCCACATACCCAGATTGAAGGCTTCGATGCTAACGAGTTTCTATCTAGTTCGAACACATCTTCGCGATCGGGTTGAAGGAACGAACGGACAAACGCGATTTCCTCACATTAGCTGCCTCGATGGCGGGCTTTCAGGTCGAATGGCTGGACGGGGTGCGACCGACGGAGATCAATCAGAAGTCCTTACCAAACGTGAGTTTCTTTCTAGACCACCCCCGTATGAAGGTCTGGAATTGATGCATATTGTGACATCTAGAAAAATAGCCTCAAGCCATCCGAAATCGGCTGCTGGCGCGCACATATGAACGCACTCACCAAGTACGGCATCTCCTTCCCTCCCCCCCACGGCACCGGAGCTAGCAATAATGAACACAGCTAACAAACCACCCCCGACAGAGTGGTCGAGAACTCGTACTCCACTGCCCTCATCCTCGAAGACGACGCGGACTGGGACATCTTTATCAAGCAGCAACTGCGGGAGTTCGCGCGGGGCGTGCGGGCGCTGACGGGCAACACGCACGGGTCGCGGCAGGCGCCCTACGGGACCAACTGGGACGTGCTCTGGATCGGCGGGTGCGCGTCAGCGGCCAAGGCCAACGAGACGCAGTTCTTCGCGATTCCGCAAGACCCGACGGCGCCCAGCATCGACCACCGCGGCACCTGGGGCGGACCGCTCAAGGAGTGGAAGACGCAGTACCCGGAGTTCCCGGAGACGTCGACGCGGTTCGTCTACCGGGCGGAGTACGGGTGCTGCACGTACGGGTACGCGGTGACCAAGCGCGGGGCGGAGCGGATCCTGGCGGCCCTCGCCGTCGACCGCATCGTCGCCGCCGTCGACAACTCCATGGGCGACCTGTGCGGCGGCAAGGACGGCCGCCCTCAGATCGAATGCTTCGCCCCCTTTCCCAACCTCGTCGGCACCTACCGGGCGGCGGGCCCCGCCTCCAAGGACTCGGACATCCACAATGGCACCGACGAGTGGCACGAGGCCCAGGCCTGGAACCTGATGTATAGCACCCGGTTAAATATTCATAACCTGGTCGCCGGGAAGGATACCGTGTACGCGCAGTACGAAGAGAAGTTCCCGTGGTCCAAGTGGAAGCTGAGTCGGAAGAATTTCCACTATCCGCAAGGGTACCTGGTGCATTAATTCGTTGCGAAGCTACGGAGTCCACTGAGGGAGTACATTGACTGTTCGGGTGGTGGAGGTGGTGGAGGTGGTGGAGGTGGTGGAGGTGGTGGATGCACAGCGGTCGCATCATCTATTTGTACATTATTAATTCCTAGCATTTTGTTCATTCATTAGCATTGTTGGTGTTAGCCAGGTCTACTTGTTGTATCGGGAGCCAAGTCACTCATAGTGCTATTTAGCGTAGGAAATAAGACCGAGTAAACCCGAAATTGGAGTCCTTGCAGAGTTCGGCTTGGCGGGACTTGAATGTACGGTCCAGTCCACCCCTCCCCGCCCTTCCGAAACTTGACTGGCTTTGCGCATCCACCGTTGAGAACCTGGAATGAGGAATGTGTTGCTGGCGCTAAGTTTGTAGCATCTTGAAGGATCGCTCTCGTCTACTACGTACTACGTACATACTCACATAATATGTCTGTACTACACCACTGGTGCACCCATCTATCCATCCACCGCCTCACCACCTCTTCCCTCTCGCAGGAGCATATCCAGAGGAGATCGAGGAAAAGAACGGGGCAGATACGTGTGGCCTCCGCTCCGTTGGCAGAAAACCTCTTTACCAAGCTCCCAATTAACTTGAATATGGAGAACGGCCCCCGGCATGTCGCACGTCGAAATCGAACTGACCCATGAAAACTTCCCGGATACATTAGGCACCTTCCATTTTTGATATGCAAAAACTCGGGACTATTTTCCTGGAGCTAGAACTAGGTATACTCCGTACTCCGTACTTACCAAGTGACCGGTAGTCGGTCCCAAAGCGGGCTAGCCTGAATCCAACCCATAACAACTTGAAATGATTTGCGGTGGTTTTTGCCTGCCTCGGCGGTGAACAGGGGAATTTTCCTGGCGGGAAAGGGGGGGAAGAAACGCAGTGCTGTATCAGACCAGTCGCCGTCCAATTTCCAAGTCAAAATGTCGGACATTCTTTGGTTGAGAGTTTTTTCTCTGAAGAGCAATTCTCTGAAGAGCAATTGTTAAGAGTTCTAGTACTGAGATAGCTCCTACTGACAGACAAGCGTTTACACTTTGAAAAAGACCGAAAGAAAGAGCGAGTCTCAACCTTGATATAATGGGTGCCAATGTTCTAGATGCGCTCACCTGGCCCGCATCGACCAGATGGGCCAATTGGAGACAGCATTGGGGGTCTAGTGGGGTGGGCATCGGTCGATGGTTCCTGAGCCCTACATTCGCGAAACTTTCGCTGCACAGCTTCATCCACTGCTCCTCTCCCTCAGTCCTGCCTCTTGTCAGCAGCATGGTAGGTAAAATAGAAGAGAAAGATACTGTGACGAAGCCGTAAGGTGGCATCTAGAATGGACCGAATCCGCCAATCGATTGGCATGCCAGCCCGGCTGATAGCACAATACCTTAACACTCACTGAACTTAACGCTGCGCTGCAGTGCCCATGTCGGATGACCCCAACGGAGGGTGCCAGTCAACGTTAACTTAGGTTTCCATGTTTCCATACTTTCCATCCTTTTCCAGACTTTGACCACCACTTAGCTTTTTCGGCTCAGGTAATCGAGGGCTCACACTAGATTCGACTTGCAGCGACTGATTGGTGGCAGTGGCTGCCGTAGAGTGAATCGACCTCCCCGCGACCAAATCTGATCAATCAGAAGCCTCAATCGAGGAATCTGATTGCTCGTCAGAGGGATTGATGAATAATCGGTGATCCGGTGGAGCCACCAGGTTCAGTCAGTGCCAGTGCCAGTCCGACGACAACAACAACCAGGGCCAACAAGTCAAGACTTGACTGAACTCCCACCCCCCCAAGCCCAGCCCGGACAAGCAAGCCCAAGCAAGCCCAAGCAAGCCACAAACACCGCCGCTGGGTATGATATCATCCATTCCCCTTCACCCCCTGGTCCATGGTCCATAGTTAGTCTACCTTTCAGACCTCGGTCGTTTGTTAAGGGCTCGTTTGGCTGCGAGAAAATATGATCATTTTTTTTCCTCTTTCCTGCACAGCAAATCCTGTGAATTGAGGCCATCCCAGAATGCCAGAGACGTCTCCTGAAGCAGATGCGCATCCCGATCACCAACCACCAGAGACTGCCGCGAATTCGAGCTCGACAGATCTTCGCCTCAGTGGCCCTGGGAGGGTCTACCCTCTGCGATCGATTATTGCCCCGACGCACCCTTTAGCACTACCCTACCGATCCTCTTCAACGTCGAGCAGTTCACCACATGCTCACAGCCTGTGCAACGAAAAACCCGAGTTGAAGGACCGGGATGAGCCCTTGGAGCAACCGCCCGTTAGTCAGCCGGGCACCCCGCCCGAGCAACGATTCTTGTCATGTGACTCTCCAAAGCAACAACTACAACATCAACAATCACCACCGTATTATCAGCAGCAGCAGCAGCAGCATCAGATCGACGGGACTGGATCGATAACCCCTACCAAGTTATTTGACCATGCCTCAGGCTCGGAAGGACTAGACCATCTGAATCTTGAGAATCTCGGCTCACTCACTCCCTCGTCCTCACACCGAAGATATGACCCACAGGACTCCGACGAGGACAGCCTCGCAACCACCAGCACCACCAAGACCCTCCAGGCGTGCGAGGACGAGCCGATACACAGACCTGGGGCCGTGCAATGCTTTGGGGCGTTGGTGGTCTTAGAACAGGTGGATGAGGGGACGTTTATGGTGCAATTGGCCAGTGAGAACTCCGAGGCTATCATCGGGCATTCGCCGCAGAGTCTTTTCACCTTGAACAGTTTCTCCGATCTGTTGCGCAACGACCAGGATGGGATTCTCCGCGATCATGTGCAATTAACCGAGGACGACCAGTGGAGTCCGGCCGTGGACGGGCCGGAGATCTTCAAATTATCCATCAACGACCGACACGGCCATCCCCAGCGGTTCTGGTCGGCCGTTCACCGCAACCCAGCGCACTGGCACCTGATCATCTGCGAGTTCGAGAGCGAGATTGATCGTCTCAACCCAGTCAACACAGCCGGTCAGACTCTGCCCGCCAAACCTACCCATATCCTGGGATTCGAGCCCACCGCCGATCAAATAGCAAGCAGCACCGTCAAGATCAGCCAACCGTTACGGTTGCTACGAAACAGACGCAGGAAGCCGGGCGAGATGGCTTCGATGGAAGTCCTCAACATCATTAGCAAGGTCCAAGATCAGCTGGGTAGGACGCAAGACCCGGATACGCTGCTGAATGTCTCCATCGGGCTGATCAAGGAGCTGACTGGTTACCACCGCGTGATGATCTATCAATTTGACCACGAGAATAACGGGAATGTTGTTGCAGAACTGGCCGATCCACGATTCTCCAAGGACATTTTCAAAGGACTTTCGTTCCCGGCCGCGGACATCCCCCAGCAGGCCCGGGATCTCTACAAGAAGAGCAAGGTCCGGCTTCTGTACAATCGCGATCATATCAACTCCCCTCTAGTATCGCGAGACCTCGAGCATGCACAGGCTCCGCTGGATATGACCTATGCATTCCTGCGGGCGATGTCACCTTATCATCTAAAGTATCTAGCTCGGATGTGTGTCCGCTCCTCGATGTCTATCAGCATTAACGATCACGAAGATCTCTGGGGGTTGATCATATGCCATTCCTACGGAGAGCACGGCATGAGAGTCCCCTTTCCGGTCATACGCCTGACCAGGTTGATTGGCGATTCGGTGTATCAGAATATCAAGCGACTCTCCTGTATGTCGCACCTGGAGGCCGGCAGTCCCGCCAACCAGGCGGCTGCGTCCGAGATCCTGAAACAGGACAGCCACACATCCGAAGCGTTGCTTAAACTGTTCGATGCAGATTTCGCAGCTCTTTCTATCCGAGGACGAACGAGTATACTCGGCGAGTCAACTGACTTCCAAGAAATCCTCGCTGTGATCGAATATTTCCGGTCGAAGAAGCTTGACTCTGTCGTGGCTTCTAACTATGTCATACGAGATTTCCCTGACTTGCACTTTCCTCCTGGCATTCATGCCGTCTCAGGTGTCATGTATGCGCCTCTCTCCCTGCACAAGGAGAATTTCATCGTCTTCTTCCGCCGTACGCAGATGAAAGATATCCGATGGGGTGGAAACCCGTATGCAAAGCCGCCCATGCAGCCTCGCAAGGATTTTCGGGTCTGGCGAGAGACGGTCGTGGACCGGTCTCGGGAGTGGACTACGTCGCAGACCGATAATGCAGCTGTCTTGAGTATGGTCGGCTCTCAAGTGTCGAGCGACTGGCGAATGGAAACGGAACCCCCTTCGTCGTCTAGCCAGCATGCCAAGTCAGGCGATGAAATCCGAAGCACACTTAACACGATCATGAAGAACCTTGGGGTGGTTCTGGGAGGCTCGTTTGACTCCGAATTCCAAGACAGCATCACCCGTTCCTATTCTGCCTCCAAATCCCTCCTCTACGTGATCAACGACCTCCTAGACCTCACGAAGGATGAAGAAGGATACAACCTTATCAAAGATGAAGCGTTCGATATTTCATCCTGCTTTCACGAAGCCACCAAGATGTTCGAGGCCGAAGCGCAGCGCAAAGGGCTTTTCTACAAAGTCATCCATGAACCGGGTATCCCGAAGGGCGTGCTCGGCGATGAGCGGCGCGTGCGCCAGGTGATTTCGAACCTCATCTCCAACGCCGTTCAGCATACCTCCGAGGGAGGGATCACCGTCGAGATGTGGCGGGACACGGTCACCCCTGCGCCGGGGCGGGCTATCATCAACATCACCGTGGTCGATACCGGGTGTGGCATGTCGTCGGACAAACTCGACATGCTTTTCTGCGAGCTGGAGGAGATCTCGACGGAGCGGAAGAACGGCGGTGCCACCGAAGAAAGCTCGACCGCGCTGGAGCAACCGCACAAGAAACATGTTCTGGGAGTGGGACTTGCCTTGGTTTCGCGGATTGTCCGCAACTGCTATGGGCAGCTTGTGGTTCATTCCGAAGAAGGCAAGGGCAGTCGATTCGCAATATCCCTTCAGTTCGATACCGGGTAGTACATGCACCTGGATCGAACTCCAACCTCTACATTACAATCTGTCTCGAGCTGTGACGGGCTTTCTAATTTCTTCTTTGCTTGGATTTGGGCTAGCGCATATGAATTAGCCTGTGGTTTTTCATCCCCTTTTTTTCCGACGCAGAGGGCGAAACGCTCTGGAGATGATCCGATTTGGTCTTCTTCACGCCCTTGTCTTACTGCTCTGTATATACATATATATCTTTTTTTTTGGGTCTTTCTGGGATCTCCTTATTGTATTAACACACAGTCGATAGCGTTCGAGCAGGCCATTTTGTTTACCTTTCTGGAAGATTTTCTTTACTTCCAGGATCTCTTTTCTTTCTTCCGGAGTCTGGAATTTCGGGAAGAATGAATGATGACGATCTTGATGACATTGATGGTCTTTGATCACGTCGCGGCAGGACTGCCTGCCCTACCTGTTTTCTTTTCATATTGTGGATTACAATAGACACGAATCCCCCGAGAATATCAGGATTGTTTTCCTTTGCTACGGTCTTGCTGTCGAAACTGAAACTATACCCGATACCCTACCACCTCATACGTGTGACGGATTCTTTCACCGGAGTCTAGGTGGGTGATTGGTTGAGCAGCTCAAAGCGTCTACCATGGGTTTTCCTGCCAATGCTATGAGGTCCAAGGTTCAAAGCTTACCGTCAGCAAGCTTCCCTGGGCTTTGACAGCTGTCTAAGTTCTTTATCCACTGGCACAGCGATCAAAGCCTAACTTTTCAGCTTACAATAGCATTGTATGTCTACGAATCGGAATCTGATGAATGAGTGAGACTTTCGACTGGGTGGTCCAGGTTTCGCATTTGAGCTGAGTAATCCCCTTACCTACAGTAGCATGAGTTGGCTAACTTCTTGATTGCCTCGATGAAATATTCTTCCATCTTCTAGTTAACATGTTTGTTCTGTACAAAACGTTGGCCGCTTTTCACTTCCGTTCAACATAGATTGCACCAGTAACCTGACTAGTTTCATGAGAACTGAACATGATACGCATTTATCACCGTCGGGAGTCCGAGTGGGGATGTGTACCACGCACATGCAGCTGTCCCACGCGGACGGAATCCCAGACAGGTCTAAGACAAGGTACGAGACATGACAGCAGATCTCTATCTCCATTGAGACAAAGTCCAAGATGTGTTTCGAAGTCAAGGTCACGCGCCAGGGCCAGTTGTATCTGCCCACCAGTTGAATCATTCGATTCATTATCACGCATGGCACGTGAGTCAAGCAATAAGCACTAAGCGCCTGCTATACATTAGTCTAAGGAACAACAGCGGTTAGAGAACAGGGTCAGTACATAAAGGACGACCCGGTTGATCGCAATGCAGCGCAACAAAACCAGAAGAATTCCACCTTTGTTCGAAAACCCACGATGAGCGCCGCAACCGCCCACGCCCTCCCAACCTTCGACATCACCGCAGAAGGCCTCGCAGAAGAAGCCGCAGATCTGATCTCGTATCTCGAACACTCCGCCGACCAACTAGTCGCCTCTGTCGCTCGCTCGGAACACACCTTCGACACGGTCATCCGGCCGCTGGCCGCGATCGACAATGAGCTCCGCGCCCGCGTGCAATACATCGCGCTCTTCCATGGCGTCTCCCCGTGCGCCGCGATCCGGCAGGCCTCGTCCGCGGCAGAGAACGAAGTGGTCCAGGCGCACTTGGCGCTGTTCCAGCGGGACGACCTCTTCGCGCTCGTCGACGCAGTCCATGCCAATCCCCAACAGCACGCGTGCGTCGACGAGGAAGATCTGAAGCTGCTAAGCCGGCTTCATCAACTGTTCGTCGAGAACGGGATGAAGTTGACTGGGGCGAGTCGGGAGCGCTTTACGTGGATCACGCGGCGCTTGGTCGACCTGCGAGTCGAATTCATGCAGAACCTGGGCGCGGACCCGGAGTCTGTGTCCTTCAGCGCGGGCGAACTGGCGGGTTTGGGTGTGCAGGGATTTGAGGTTGTTGAGGCAAGCAACGTCGATGCTGCTGCCCCGACAAGGTATCAGGTGCCCCTCACCAAGCCAGTCGTGGCGAGAATCCTGTCTCAATGCAGCGTCCCGCAGACCCGGAAGGAAGTCTTCCTGCGCCATCAGAACCGGTACCAACCCAATGTCGAGATCTTCCGGGAGATCGTGCTTCTGCGCGACGAGGCCTCGCGGCTGCTGGGCTTCGAGTCCTTTGCGCACCGCAAACTTCAGCAGCAGCTCGTCAAATCGCCAGACCGTGTGGAAAGTTGGTTGAAGGAGCTGCACACCGCGTTGGAACCTCTCGCGCAACGGGAACTGGAGCAGCTGCGAGCCGTGTCTGGAACAGACGCCATCCATCTCTGGGACCTGGACTTCTACCATCACCGCATCCTCCAGGAACAGTACCATGTCGACCACGAGCGCGTGGCGGAATACTTCCCTGCTCGAGGCACCATCGAGCGCATGCTAGGCGTCTTCGAGGAGCTGTTCAGTGTGCAGTTCGAGAAGGTCGACCTCTCCGGCAAGCACACCTGGCATGCGGCTGTGGATGCGTTCGCGGTCTGGGAGGCCGATAAGTCGGCCTTCATCGGGTATCTCTACGTGGACATCTACCCCCGGCCGGGGAAGTACAACCATGCGGCCAATTTCAACATCTATCCTGTGCGTGCGGCTTTTCCTCTCCCTCGACCGGTCAAAACCGCAGCGCTATTGTGTGTGTGTGTGTGTGTGTGTGTGAACTGACGCTGCGGCAATCCAGGCCTACCTCAACAGCGAGGGGAAGCGAACCCCCGTCGTGACCGCGTTAGTCTGCAATGTCTCGCGCGGCGAACCGGCCCTGCTGCGCCACCAGGAAGTCATCACCATCTTCCATGAACTCGGACATGGTATGCCCCCGCCGGCGGCATTCTCCCCTCTCTGCTTATCGCCCCAAACCGAATCATCCCCCTGACACTAACTGAAATAAAAAAGGAATGCACGACCTCCTCGGCCAATCGAAATACGCCCTCTTCCACGGCCACCGCACCGTGGCCGACTTCGTCGAAGCCCCCAGCCAACTCCTCGAGAACTGGTGCTGGGTCCCCGACTGCCTCCGCCGCCTCAGCAGCCACTACTCTTACACCTCCACCACCTCACCCTCACCCTCACCATCATCACAACCATCACCAGCACCAGCACCAGCAGCACCAACCCCCACCCAACCCCGCACCCCCAAACAAATCCCCACCTCCCTCCTCACCGCCCTCCTAGCCGCCAAACCCCTCAACCTTGCCCTCCTCACCCTCCGTCAGATCGCCTTCAGCACCTTCGACATGGCCGTCCACCACCCTCCTTCCCCGACCGCCCTGCAATCCCTCGATATTGCGGCGACATACAACCGCCTCCTCGAAGAAACAACCGGTCTGCAGGGCCCGTCATCACCTTCCCCCGACCAGAAGTCGTGGACCTGGGGCCACGGCCACGTCACCACCGCGCACTACGTCTGGAGCCAGGAGGCGAATTACTATTCGTATCTTTTGTACGTTCCCTCCCAACATTTTCCTTGTGGGATGTAGCTTTGGCCGGTTGAATGCGCAAGCTAACTCTACCGTGAAAAGTACCCGCATGCTGGCAGCCGAGATCTGGGCGTCGCATTTCCAGGCGGACCCCATGAGTCGGGAGGCGGGGCTGGCGTACCGGCGGGGGATCTTGGAGCATGGCGGGAGTCGGGAGGAGTGGGGGTTGATTACTGGGTTCTTGGGGAGGGAGCCGGGCTTGGGGGCTTATTTGAGGGAGTTGGGGGTGGAGGTTGGGGAGGATGCTCTTCAATAGCTAGTACTCCGTACTGAGTAGTAGGTTGAATTGTGGAGGGGGGGTGGGTTTGCTTGGTGGAGGGCTGATGTGAGGTATCATTATTCGGTAAGTGAGTAGGAGATTTACTCTGGGTGGCTGAATACTCATAGAAGTGACTGGTCAGTTTTCGGGTTCGCCTTTCGCTTTTACTGCCTTTTTCTTTTCTCGTGTGGGTGTGTGAGTTCAGTGGCGTTGTTTTACCCTTCTCAGCGGGGATACTTCTGCACAAGTGGATAAAGTCAACCCACTACATACATCACAAAAGTCAAAACGGGAGTATTACACTTCTTTGGTTTTTGCTTATATTGATAGATTACATGTTATAAAGTGCAACCGAAATAGCTCGCCGCCGTGAGGGCATCGACCGGCAAGCAGTGAAGAGAAAATGGGATGAAGACAGTAGTCCCCAAAAAAAAAGGATTTTCGTCGGGCAGATCTTCCAGAAAGAAGGACATACAAAAGCAGATACTTACATAGTAACTTTTCGCCCATCAATACCAGATCGCCGATCCAGTTCCAGTATTGACGATCATTCCCAGATAGAGCGAGTGGCAGACACGTCTCATTGAAGAGAATGAGCAAGTCTACTCACCAGAAACTCTGGTTCGTGAGCATAGCATACCTCACCCTCACGCCTGCGAATGCTTCCACTTCCCCAGGCTGTCCGCCAGCGCCGTCTCCGACGAGGGGCTCGGCGTGCTCGTCACCGTGACATCCGTCCGCTGCAGAACCTGAATACTGTTATGTTGGTCTTTGACCGGACTAGTCAGAGCGATCTCGCCCTCCTCGAGGCGAGAATAGGAGCTCTCGGACGTGCGCCACGCCTTCGCGACCTGCTGGCCCGCGGCCGCGGGACGGAACTGCGGGTTCTGGATCGTCGACCGGGTGCGGCTACGCCAGTAGTCGCTGATCTTGAGCTTGCGGCGGAGGCCACTGTCCATGAGCAGCTTCGAGAGGCAGGGCATACTGAAGATGAAGAACCCGCAGGCCATTTCGGCAAAGGCCCAGAAGAGCAGCGGCGCGATCATGTACATTTGGTCAGCCGTTTTGGCGAAGGAGACAGTATGGGCCAGGCGGAAGCAGGCCGCGATAGATGCGCTGGGTGAGATTGGGTTAGTACAGTATAGATGGGGCGGTTGGAATTTGAGGACAGGAATGCAAGGGCAGACGATGGACGTGAAGAGGAATGAGGGCGAGGAGAGACGAACAGAATACCAGCACCAAAGATCACAGAGATGCCCATCTTTTTCTGCCAGCTCATCTGCAGACCCCAGATCATTCGTTGCGGAAGCAAGAACATAGTGATGTCAGAGAAGACCTGCACAGCAGCGGAGCAAAGCATCACGTCCGGCAAGGAATAGCATTTGCTGGGGAGGTAGAACTCCCAGATCGCTCGATGCGGGCGACACTGTGCATTCAGCAAGATCACGCACAGCAAGCCCCATAGGCACTGCAGTGCGGAAACTGCCATGCATGCCCACCAGAAAGGGGTCTTGGCGCCATCGACCGGCACGAAGATCCGACACCAATCGAGGAGAATGGCCGTCTTGATCAGGGGAAGGACGGCCGAATAGCAGCAGCCGTAGATCAAAATCAGCTAGGTCATATCAGCTGCAGTACCAGAGACCCGGGAGCTCGGCTGCCCTTACATAGAGGGGTCTGACAAGATCGCCCATGTGGAGATTCCATTGGTGGACGAAATAACCCGGTGTATGGATCATCTCGTAACCGGCATAGGCAGTACCCCAGTAGGAACCCTAGGTATGATAAGCATTGAGCGGTAGGCCGGATGAAAGGGGACACGTACAAAGGCACCGATCATCAAAACTATTGAACCCAGTTGTCAGTTTGGAAATGCGTTAAGCCGAGCAGCATGGGATGTCTAGCCAACTTACCATCCTCGAGACGAATGGAGCGATCCAGCCAGACCCGCACGTATATGCGCAGGCACATACACAGGGTCGCAACGACGGTGCAAACCGTAATGATGCCCCAAGCCAAGCTGTTGTGGTTCGGAGGATTGTCGAAGTCAGGGGTGACGCCTTCTGGGGCCGCAAGGGCCGGCTGGGCGAACAGCGTGGCTAACTCGTCGGTAGACATTGCGATGGATGAGACCCTCCCTCAATCAAGGTGGGCTCCATCGAATATAAGTTGTTCGTCGAGTATGACAGGTCGAAAGGGGGTCAGTGTTGAAGTACGAGGATCGGGAACACAACCACATGGCTACCGGGGGATCGTCTATGCCTCCCACTCCCTGGCGATTGACCTCTATCAAGTACTTGAAAAATCAGACTTTCTGACAGATTCCGTTTGCGTATCTGCATTCGCCTTGCTCCCCACTCACGGCCCGTTCGCCAGATGCTAGGAAGGCATCCGAACCAACCGTTGTCGGGCGGGTGGGGACTGGCCGTGGTGGTGAAGGACCTCCTTGCCAACGGCGTTCAATTTTGACAGCCAAATCTTTGGAGAATTGAGCCCACTGCGGTGCCACTACCACTCTGGCCGTGCCGATCCCTGTCGCGGAGGCACTCAGGGTTGGCGCCCGATTTGCAAGACGGGATAACACTCCCAAGTGATGAGCACAGCAATAGCCAACAATGCGGGAAAATCGGTCGATCTGTGCGCACTGGACCCGGGGGAAGTTGGACAAAGTCCTTTGTGTTGTTTATCTATCCATTGTTGATCTGGGGACCAGGCGTTCATTAAGTTAAATTGAGTGGACAGGCTGACAGCAGCAATGCAAGGGTGACAGCTGATCACAGATCCTTATTCCTTTCCCCACTTTAGTGCCAAGTGATTAGCAGCTGACGGACTATCTTGACAATTCCTTCGAAACGGCTGGGCCTCAAAGAACCACCTTTGGTACTCCAATCAGAGACAGCGGTAGCTCCTCCAAGAACTAGTCGAGATATCGTAAGCCGAACGGCCTGTGAGGAGAGGGAGGAACCATCCCCCTCATGGCGGTTCGTCGCGGCGATCTCGGGGCTAGCCTACTTATAGGCGTTGCAGTACCCCTCCTCTGCATCTCAATCGCACAGCCCCTGGTTTCTCAAGCATTATGGCGACCGGTAAGTATCCTTTTGTAGTCGATTCAGTTGTTCTTGCGACGCAGCGACTGAGACAAGAAAATGGGAACTCCTAGTCTCTCACAGCTCTCATGCGCCCGCAAGGGCCGGCGAGTATCCTGGTCAGGCTGACCTGCGCAAAATGATGGCTCAGCAACCCTTGCCTGCTCTAGAACCCAACCTCATCGACCCCGAGACAATGACTGGCGATGCACCGACCGTTGAGGCGCATGCCGTGCTAGATCGACTCAACACGGCCCTGTCCAGCAAGAACGTGGAGGCGCTGCAGAGCTGTTTCTATGCCAGCCAGGCCTATTGGAAAGACCAACTGGCACTCACATACCACCTCCGCACATTCAATACACCGGGTGTAATTGCTGCTGCGATGCTGGAAACAGCTCCCTTGCGAGGGCTAGGAGACGTGTCTGTAGACGGAGGCGCGGTCTTTATTCCTGCGACACCCACCTTGGTTAGTTTCTGCACACAATGTATGGTGTGACAAATGCTGACCGAGGATAATCATATCTTAGCAATTCATCGACTGTGGAATCCGTTTCCGAACCAGCTCCCCGGCAGCGGCAGGAAAGGGAAAGGTGGTACTCTTGCCGGTACAGACTGCAGAGAAGACGATCGAGTGGAAGATTTGGGTTCTGAGTACCATGCTGGAGAGCTTGGATCTTCATCCGGAGGACCAGGGACTGCTGCAGGGGGCGAGCAAAGAGTATGCTGATGCGGAGAGATTCGAAACCGAGGTGTTTATCATCGGAGGCGGAAATGCGTAAGTGAAAGAAAGATGGCAAGAGTGGGAGAAGCGAGGCTAATGGAAGGTGGTGGTGGTTTCCCAGAGCTGCCGCGTTGGCCGCGCGCCTGAAGACGCTGGGAGTGGAAAGTGTCATGGCCGAACGCAACTCCCAGGTTGGCGACAATTGGGCTCGTCGCTACGACTGCATGCGCTTTCACATCCCCACTTCCTTCTGCGATTTCCCGTTCATGCGTAAGTCATTTCTTTTCCCATGCAGGTACAAGCCATGTCTGTCTGACAAGGTGACTTGGCATCATGGCGTTATAACTACTATATAGCTTACGGCCCCGAACTCCAATCTCCCCATCTACTCTCGCGCGACGACCTGGCAGAGCAAGTTCGACGATACGTTGCGACCTTTCAATTGAACATCATCACGTCGGCTCAGATCCAGTCAACCCAGTACAACCAGGCGACACAGCAATGGCAGATCAAAATCCAAACCCCGACTGGCCAACGCACGGCCATTGCGAAGCACCTCGTCCTCGCTACTGGCATTGCATCCCAGCAACCCTTCGTGCCTTCCATTCCCAACAAGGACGCCTACCAGGGCATCAACATCCACTCAACTCAATACCAGAATGCCAGGAAGCTGGTGGATCAAGGCATTAAGGTAGGCGCCTGCTTAGTACCTCCTCCTTCTTCAGCCAAGCTAACCTCACCACCCCAGTCCGTTCTCGTCATCGGCTCCGCCAACACAGCCTTCGATATCCTCGAGGACTGCCACGCCGCCGGACTACAAGCCACGATGAACGTGCGCTCCCCAACCTACATCGTCCCGATCGAGTACCTTCTCGACAAGCGCAGTCTCGGCGCCTACGACCTCGGCGTCGAAGCCGCCGACCGACTCTTCCTCTCCCTGCCCGCCGTGATCGACAGCCAATTGGGCGATGGCCTGATGAAGCTCTTTTCATCCCAGGAACCCAACCGTTACGACGCGCTCGCCGCGACCGGCTTCCCCGTGCGCGACAGTTCCCACGTCGAGTCCGTCCTCATGCACAACCTGCTCGAGCGCGCCGGCGGCCACTACGTCGACGTCGGCGGCACCAAACTGCTAGCCGAGGGCAAAGCCGGCGTCAAAGCCAACGTAGAGCCAACTGCATACACGGCCACGGGACTGACCTTTTCGGACGGATCTTCGCTGGACGCCGACGCGGTGGTCTGGTGTACCGGGTTCGCCGATCGGGATGTTCGCGACACCACGGCGACGCTGCTCGGTGGGGAGGCCGCTCGTGCTGCGTCGGGGACAGGCGTCGACGACGACCTCACAAAGGCGGACGGTGAATCTATCCTAGGCCCCGAGGAGATCGCCGCCCGTGTCGAAGCAACCTGGGGCGTGGACGCAGAGGGAGAGATCCGCGGCATGTGGAAGCGGCATCGCCAGTTGGACAACTTTTGGATAATGGGCGGGTTCACGCAGCAGCATCGCTGGCATTCGCGGACGCTGGCGCTGCAGATCAAGGCCGCTCTGGAAGGGGTCTTGCCGCCGGCTTATCGGGATACTCCGCGTGTCTGAAGGATCGAATCTGGAGGATCGTCGTCCTGGTGGTGGGTGTTTCATGCATATAGTATTATCTCTTGGGTGGTTGTCTGATTTAGGTCTTGATGTAGATTCTCGGATCGGTACAGTGAGCTCAGGGCCACGGAAAGTTCCTGGCGGAGCTGTTAATCCCTTTAATGGTAATTCAGATCTAAGCAGACAAGCATACTCATGTCTGCACTGTTGATATACTCTAGAATTTTCCTAATGCTATGCGATGAAAGTTTGCCTGGAGAAGGTCGAGTCTATTCGTACTTGTTCTCAGAAGCTATGACAGCGCTGGGATATGGGTTCATAAATGTCTTTGAGAGGGAGTAAACTGCGCTTATCTCACAAAATAATTTCACACAGAGCCAAGAAATGCGACCGATATCTGTCGCAGCATCACTTAGTAGTTCTCAGTATAATTGAAAGGGTATCCGATGGGGACGAATCGTACCTGATTGCATTCCGTGAAGCCCTCTACCCCCATATACAATTCTGTCTTTTTGAAAATTAGTAGCACGATGTCGACGAGATACCTGAGTTGAAATAGTGGGTGGTCTGGACCTTGTGTGGTGCCATCGCCGGATTGATCTATATATCCCTCACGCGGGAAGCTCTTGCACGGCGCCGGCACAAGAATGCATAGCCAGATCATGTGCAAACGGAAAGGGGATTAGGAAAAAGTGAAATGCAAATTTGAACAGAGAAGAATACGAGCATACACTGTATGCCCAGGTGCGCTATTTTTTCTGTTGAGCCGAAATAGAGTTTGGAAATGAGGTTCATTTAAGGATGAACTGCTCGCGTGCTCTTTTCTCCCCTAGGCCTGGTACAATTACCTCTCAGCAAAATGAGTCAAGATTTGCCAGAAATCCAAAACTCATCAACCTAACAACCTCGATTGCAAATTGACCTATAAAGTCTTTATCTGCATTGGAATTTAGCTGCCAAGGCCGTGGTCCCTATGTCGGCTTCAATCACCAAGAGAATTTTGTGGCATGGGCTGCCCGGGAAGGCATGCACGATTCACACTGTTTCTATTCAGACGCAGCTATTCTATCGCATTCATTCTATAGCCATGCTTGGCGCAGTGACTACAAGATCCAAAATGGTATACCCGCTAGATTGCATCCAACGTCCGGAAGAAGTTCGAAACTGCAGCCAAAAAATGTCATGAAGATTGTCGTGTAGATCACCAGGATCCGCCAGACGTCGTCTAGTCAAAGTACTTCTTCATAAGGTTGTGGGCCAATTCCACACCAGCACTATTCATTGTCAGTATATCGTCGAAGTGAGGAACAAAGGACTTACAAAGTCGCTGCGTTGGCTGGGACCGCACGGGCCAGGGCAGGACCAAAGCCGGGGAAGAAGGCCTTAAACCCGCCGTTGGCATAGACAGTGCGAATGGTTCCGCCGATCGTTGGCCGACCGGGGGCGCTCTGCAGGCGAGACTTGACGGTATCGACGGGGAAGACCGGAATCCACATGGCGATTCCAGCAGCTCCACCTGCGGCCAATACAGCGGTCATCGACAACTCGCCCGTGACGCGTCCCTGCTCGTCCTTGGGCGTCAACGTCCGCTTGATGTACTCGTACGCGGCGAAGTATGCCGCGGAACCGGGCCCGTCACGAGCCAGCGTCATCGCGCTACCACGGAACACACTGCGAATGCCTCCCTCTTTGTACAGTTGGCGCACCACGTCCAAGCCGCCCGAGTACTTGGGCTTCTGACCAGGCGGAGGCGGGTTTTGACCCTGGATCTGTAGTAGCACCTTAACGCGCTCGAAGGGAGCCGTGATCAGAGTCATAGGAATCGCCGAGAAGAAGCCCGCCGCAGAGATCTGGCCGATGGTGTATTGGGGGGTGTTGTGCTTCACCTCTACGGTGGACAACTTGCTGACAAGCGTTTTTCCGACGTCGTAACCCTGCGATGGTCAGTTGAGAAATACCAAGTGCTTTACAAGCGATAGACCGTACCCAAAAGCTAACAGCAACTGATTCAAAAGTTCATCGTTAGTCAAAGACTTGACAGGGAAAATTCGCGCACTTACACATAGGCGTCACTCCCACCAGGGGAGCTGAAACACCCGCGTACAATCCCTGCGGCAAGTTAGCGTGACTGCACAAGACCGTAGGCAACATCCCGACTTACACGCGCAAGACCTTCGCGTGCGACCGTCTTCTTGACCACATCTATAGCACCAGCGTAGACGCCCCGTTCTGCCGTCTGCAACCGCACCTTGACCAAATCGAAAGGATGTCCGACAACGACGGCGCACACACCACCCACACCGCCCGCTACGAGGGAGCGGATCTGCGCGATTGTTTGGTTGACAGGCTTGGTCTCTGTAACGGGAATACTCTCTGGGATCGGAGGCGAGGCCGATGTGGATGTGGATGTGGTCGACATGGTAGAAAGGAAGACCGACGCTCGAGTGAAAGGCTGAGGCTAAGGAAGAGAGAGAGGGAGGGTGGTAAGGGGAGGAAAGAAGAAAGAGGAGGATCGTCTGGTTAGCGAAAAAAAGCAGAAGGATGGGGCTTAAAAAAGAATAAGAGAAATAGAACTGGAAAGAAAAGACAGCCAGCAGAGCTAAGTACAGTAGACCACAAGTACAAGCGATCGGTCAGTCGGTCGGTATTCCGGAGTAAGCTAATCTGGGGATTGTGACGAGGCCGCGGGGAGGAAGAGGGAACCTCGGCTCGGCATGCGGATCAAATATGGCTCCGAGAACAGGGGTCAGTCGCGGCCTATCCTTCCGAGGTCATTACCGTCTTCTGCCTAGTGACGGTGGTATCATGAGTGATAACGTTAGTGATTGATTGACTGACACTTCCCAATCTCATCATCATTCATTCCAACCCATTCCTCGTCATGGCTACCCGATGAAGTCAGAATTCTGACCGAACACCATAGACAATGTCCAAGCATGTTGCTCCTCGTGGTCAATGGCACCGGGTGAGCGGAAGTCAATCGTGACCGTGTTGATGATCATCTGTCCAAGGATCCAGCAACGGACGACAGGAAGATTGCTTATCGAAGGGAGGGGGGGGGGGGATGGCGGGCACATGACTGGTCATGACTGGTGACTATGCCAAGCCTTCACATGCCGGTTTCGGTCAATGCAGAAATGTGGCTAGTGTGCCAACTATGGCTGGTGTGGATGGACACTAACAGCTGTGGCTGGTATCCCCAGTCATAGTCTCTGTACTATGAACATATCAAGTACAGATCATGCTGTGGCTGGGTGGACTTGGTTGTTCGTCTTAACCAATGGTGATCTAAATTCTCTAAGCTTGGTACACGCACACTGACCGGCGTTTCATCACTGCCCAACTGTGAGCATGCCCCTTGCCCCTTTCCAACCTAGACTGCAATCTGACCCTCTCACTGCAGGGGTTCGTCAACTCACTGGTTCGGAGCCCCAATCTTGTCTCCTTGGCCGCGGAGAAGAATTCCTCAGAGATCTGGTATAATAGAGATCATTATGCGTCTTCCGCAAACAGTCAAGGTAGCCAGAGTTCAGGGGAGACGACTTTGCGGCAGATCGACCCTGCAGATCTATGACAGGTTCGTCGTGTCCGCAGTCTGCCGTTCCAGACTCGCGGCTCGGCAGCATACAGATCGCACGAACCGGTTCAAACTCTTGGTTTTATCTGCACCATTGCATCATTGATCCTAAATTGGTCCGATCGCGTGGTTGACAACTTGACAGCTGAACGCCATCGATCGATCACTCGCTCTTCTGTGATGCCTCTGGGTTCTGCCGATTATGCGATACATCCAGTGTTGGTTGCCTTCTGCTGCCTCGATCGATCGGATCTTATATATCAAAATGCAACCGAGGGCAGGATTTATAAAGCAGAGAAAAGATTCCTTTCACGAGCCATATAGACACCCAAACTTTTGTGCGACGCCGTGATGGACCAATACACCAGTTTTATGGATACTGAGTCGCTGCGCTCCGAGCCGTCGACCGTCGCGCTCGACAACTACCCAGTCTCACCGTGAGCCATACCTGCTCTCCGAAGGAATTCAACTCTTGCTTACTGGTGTGCAGACCTCCAGAGGCACTCATCGCTGGCTTTCCTCATCCCCCTAGCCGGGCGCGCAAGGATGAGGAGCATCCCAATCTAACACCCAAGCCATCCCTTAAAACTCTCCGTCGCAACTATATGATCCACGAGCTGCCTCTTCTCCACGAGCCCAATCCCTACTACAATAATGACAGCGACCAGCAGCAGTTCCATCCGCTTCAAGAACCAGGCCTCTCATATGATTTGATTGCTCCAGCCGCATCTGACGACGCTGCTCCCCTCCACAGCCTCGAGCGTCTCGCCGACCTCATGTTCTCTTCCGAACACATGCTCTCTATTCTCAATAACCCACGCTATCTTGCGCGATTTCGCGAATTTCTGCTCGAAGAGCGTCCGCGCTCGCTCGCCCTCCTGACATACTACCTCACAGCCCGCAAGGCTCTTCTAGCTATTGACTATGCCAACGCGCTCGTTCGGTCCGTCATCGACGCACCTCCAGTCACTATCGCGACGCCCGACCCAATTGTGGGCCAAATCTCCCACCCGGTGCTGTACCAGCGCGTCACAGAGGCTCTGGAGGCCCTCACAGCGGAGGAGCTTCCCGCTTTCATCACCGCCCGCTGTATCAGCTTGACGAGTAGAGTGGTCGAGGAGCGCGTACGCGGGACTCTCCCGCCCAAATTCCAGGGTGCGTCCGATGCGCTGGCGGAGGTGTTCTGCTTGACCGATCCGTCACGACGGGACAATCCTATCATTTTCGCCTCAGAGGGTATGCTCTCTCTTGGACTGACCGGCTACTGGTTCAAATTTTGATCCTGCTATTGACAACAGTTTATAGAATTCCATCGCACGACTCAATACGGCATGGACTATGTGCTCGGTCGCAATTGCCGGTTTTTGCAGGGGCCGAAAACCAACCCTAACAGCGTGAGACGCATTCGCGAGGGCATCGAGAATGGAAGGCATCATTCCGAGCTGTTCCTGAATTAGTGAGTCGCTTACGACCCGGACCGCCAGAGCATCAGGATTTTGCACGGGAGGAGAGATTAACTAATGCGCGAAAACAGCCGCCGCGATGGCTCCCCGTTTATGAATCTACTACAGTGCGCCCCGCTGTGCGACAGCCGTGGCACGGTGCGATACTTCATCGGCGCCCAAATCGACGTCTCCGGGCTGGCCATGGACGGTGCACAGATGGAATCCCTGCGCGCTCTGCAGGCAAAGCAACGGCGAGCCGAGGCCAAGGCGGCGGAGGATGCGCGGGACGAGGACTCCATGGAGATCATCCAGCCAGAGGAAGGGATAGAAGAGGAAGGCGGGGTGCAGGTCCGTTTCGACGACAATGATAATGCCACAAAAACCTTCACATACCCTCCTACTCAGCCACCACTCAACCACGAACCGTCGCAGGCAGTGATGCAAAATGACCGTCACCAACATCACCGGGCCGGAGAGAGTCTGGGCTCACTAGGATCGGTGTACAGCCAGCGGTACGACGGCGAAGATGACGAGGACGACGACACCGACCGTCCCAAGGACGAATTCAGGCAGCTGACCGAGCTGTTCAGCCCGCGGGAGTTGACCGTCACGCACGAGGTCGGCGGGACGCTCTTCCACCCCAGCGCGGTGTCCAGCACGGCCGGGATGCTGGATCGGGGCAGCTGGCAGGCGATGAGTCGGACGTGGTCGATGGTCGAGGATGAGGCCATCCGGGAGCGAGAGGTGAAGGAGTCCATGTGGAGAGGCTCGTTGACCGGGGTGTATGAAAATGTAGGCCTCCCTCTTTTTTCCTTCCTCTTTCCCGTCTTCGCTTGTTCCTATCTGCGTTTGTGGCAAGCGATTTGCGACTGACACTAAAACCAGTACCTTCTGGTACGACCGTACCCCTCGCTGCGGATTCTCTTCACCTCCCCCGCGCTCCAAATTCCCGGCATGTTGCAGTCCTCCTTCCTCTCGCGGATCGGGAGTACCTCGACCGTGCGTGAGGAGTTGCTGGAAGCACTGAAAGGTGGGCGGAGCGTCACCGCACGCATCAAGTGGGTGACGAGGTACAACACCCAAGGACGCGATCGATGGGTCCATTGCACGCCATTGCTGGCGAGCAACGGGGAGGTGGGGGTATGGATGGTGGTAGTTGTGGACGACGATTGAGCGGGGTTATTTTCTCTGGATTTTTCAAGAATAAAGGAGCGGGGCCCGGGGGCGGTGTTCGGTGTACAATAATTCGTTATTCGTGGGGAATCATCTAGACTAATACATCCATCTGTCTATAATATATATAAAACCATGCCTGCATCAACATAATCATGCTCAGCTTCGTCGAGAAAGCAAGCCCTCCGCTTCCTCGCCATCCCGATCAGCCAGACTTTCGGCAACCGCGAGCCCCTCGGCGCGGCCCCGTTCCGCGTTGATGATCCAGATCAGCGGGATCGGGAGCAGGATGAGCACCGCGACGAAGAAGAACCCGCTCCGCACCTGGCCCGTCTTGTCGATCATCATGCCCACGATGGCCGGGCCGATGAACGAGCTGCCTTTGTCCGTGGCGGCGTACAGGGCGTAGAAGGCTGCTTCGCTACCGGGCGGAATAAGCAGCCCGAAGAAAGAGCGGCAGTACGAGGCCAATCCGCCTCCGACCACGCCATGCACGACAGCCAGTGGATATATCTCCCAGGGCTGCTGCAGGCCGATGACGCCCCAGCGCTGGACAAAGGGCAGGTAGGCCAGCAGTCCGTACAAGGGGATCAGCTCGAACAGCGCAAGACACAGCATGATGGTCTGATGCGACTGCAGACCCAGCCGGCGCGACACGATCGGCCACAGGAACGCGCCCGCCATGCCGGAGACCGTGGCGGTGATCGACAGGAGCGCGATCATGGTGGTGCTCAGGTGCAGCTCGGTGCGCGCGAACAGGATCGCGGTGCTGGACACCGTCGCCAGCGCATCCGAGAGCAGGAACCAGGCCACGAGGAACAGACGCATCTCGCGCAGGCCCACCGCCACCCGCGCAGTTTTCCATAGCGATTTCCAGGCGAATCCCACGAGGCTTAGCCAGAGCCGCCATCTAGCGCGGGGTGGGCCGCCGTTGTGTGTTGCGCCGCCGGCCTCCTCTAGCGGCGGGCCGGGGCGGGTGCGCAACCACCGCCGGCTGACCAGTGTGAACGCGCACCACCAGAGACCCACCAGCAGCAGCACGCAGCGCAGCGGCAGCGTGCCCGATGATTTACCAATCGAGGTCTTCGAGAGAGTCAAGAGGAGCCCGATGCTGAGGATTTGGACGAGCACTGCGGCGCAATAACCAAGCCCCACTCCTTTGGACGATATGCGCGTCGACAGCTGTAGTTCGGGAGACACGGCCTTCGTTGTAGAGGACTGACCGGATTCGCCCTGATCATGACCATGCGACCGGGCGGAATGCGTGCGAAAGTTATCGTCATCCTCCTCTCCATCAGGGTGTAGCTGGTGAAGCTCTTCAGGTGTCTCTTTGATTGGTGAAGCGATGGACGGGTCGTTTGCGACCAGGACGGGCAGAAACGAGTTGAGCACGACGAACGAGGACCCCAGACATACAACCCCTACCACGACCAGGAGCGCACCAAGAATATAGACGGACGGGGAAATGAACATGAACAACATGCTCGTTACGGATCCGACGAAGCCGAAGGTCATGAGGAGGGTTTTGCGGTTACTCTCTGCAGAAGTGGAGCATCATGGTCAGTGCTGATGTATGGGGCAAGGCACCGAGAGAGAGAGAATCGAGTGGTCATACCGTAATCTGCCAGCGCGCTGAACGATATCAGAGTCAAGGCTTGCACAAGCACCGCCAGGGAGAAGGTGTACATGGCGAAGCTGGCGGTGGTGATCTCCAACCCCATCAGATGGACGACGCATTGTTCATTGGAGTCGCCCGATGGCGCGTTCGGCCCAACGCATGGCTGATGGCTGGATTGGAGCAATCCTCGCTCGCGAGCCAGTTGCTCGAGGGTCAGCGGAAGGAATGATCCTGGGACTAGTAAGTTTGTGCTGACATTGAGGTGCACATGGAGGTGCACATGGAGAAGGGAAGTAGAAACGTACCGACACCGCAGACAGCGAAGACCTCGGCAGCGATGCCATAAGCATACCAGCCCCAGATTTCCTGCCGGCTGGTCGGGGTGGTATCCTCACCGGCGTAGCGCGGCGGACGTGAGGAAAATTCCTCATCGGAAAGGGGATCAGAGGCTGGAACTGAAGCCATTGAGACGTTCCTGGGAAGATGGAAGACTGACAAACTGGAACTCCAGCTGTACCTGGTGAGAATGTCCGGCACTTCCGGAAAAGACGGTATGGAGATGAGTCAGCAAGATGTAATTAAGGTGCATAACTACGTCACTCGACCCCGCCCCGCTTATCTGCACTTGCCTAATTGAGACGAGGTTCCTGATGTCGGCATCAACATCGTGACTACAATTCAATCGGCCTCCCAGTTGCTTCTTTTTCTCCTTCATTCTTCTACTCTGTCTCAAAGGCCCGATGAAGAGCAATATGATCAACGAGTGACTAACTTATAGGGTCAGAGCATTCCCAGCCGTCATCAGCGTGTGAAACAATCTGCTCAACACGACACACTCTCCTGCTTCTCTTTAGATTCAGATGCCACAGAACATGTGCCAGAATGACAGAGACTGTCTTCGCTCGACGACCCAAAAAAGCTCTGCACGCCTTCGCAGTTTGGACTTGCTGGAGAATGCTCCATGACGCTTGGAATGCTGCTCAATGTGCCTTCCTTGCTGTGATTGACACTCTACACATGCGAAGTATGCAACATCTGCTAACACATGACTATCATAAGATGAGCTCGAAGATGTGAAATGCAAATGGTTACAGACCTTCAATTTTGTGACAATCAATCACGCCTTGTGAGGCGGCTCCTGAGCAGAGGAATAACCATGAAACCCAGCGGCTGACCGCAGCATCGGAAACAGGGCGGATGATCTCGGAGCTCTAATCGAGGTCCGCGCATACCCATACTTCTTCTTTGCCACTCGGTGTCACGCATATTCCGTAGCTTTGAGTCGTTCACAGGATGGCTCGGGGCGCCGGTGGCGGGTGAAATGATCTTCGTTGTGTAAGACAGGCTCCGACGGAGGCCACCGCGGGGGAACATGGTAGGGAACGCCCTGTGAGTGAGTGGCTCCGACGGGGCTCTAACTCTGGGGACTGGGAGACTTGGGGCTGATGATACCAATTAGGTATGTAGCACGATTTTAGCACTCGATTGAGCGGGTCTGTCGACTGGCGCTGAACATGACGATCACAGGCGGATAGGGCTCGGTAGTTCCGCCCTTCGGATCCGAGCATCTCTGTTCCTCGGCATTGAGAGAGCTTCAACCGCGATCTGCTTCGAGAAAATGTCAACAAGTTCATTAGACGACATTCCAGTGACACTTCCCGGTCTACCGACCTGGTCTTACGACAGTCGGAAGCGTACTGCACGATTCGCCAGCCTAGAACTCTAGTGTCATAGGAGACGCGATGATAAGCTGACCGGTCAATGCTCCCGACTAAGCCGTGAAACATGGCTATGTAACCTTCAACATCATGGTTACCTCAGGTGCTCTGCCTCGGTCTATACGCTGTTGGACCTGGACAGTAGTATCGAGGTGGTAGAGGCGGATGTACCATACTGCTGTTTCCCCCTATCTTTGGCACCAGGGCCCTTGTTCGTCTTTGCATTTTTCCTTACCAGTATATTACCTACGTCGATTGGAACTGAACCGCAATCTTTAGCATTGTCCTCAACCTGTGGGTTGTAGTATTTACAATGAATCAGGACAAGTCGTCGCAAGTCACCGCTGGTCCACTTCCCAAGAGTGTAAAGGTGCGAACGACTTGCAATGCTTGCCAGCAGGCGAAGATTCGATGCAGCCATGAGAAACCCTCATGTTTACGATGCCAAAAGCACAACTACAGCTGTATCTACAGCATTTCTCGGCGATTAGGGAGACCGGCCAAGAAAAAAGATACTGCAACGAATGGAAACCATTTCAACATGCCAAAACATGCCCGAGGTCCTCTGGATAAGAGATTCCGTGGGTATCCCAGAAAGAAGAGGATCATAGAGGAGCCGGTGCATGAAGCCAGGGCGAATCTATCAAGCTACCAGTGTGTCAATGAGAGAGCGATGCTTGACAACAATGCAAGCGAAAGCCTCGAAAACCTTGGTGTGGATGATGCAAGCCTACACCAAGACTGCTTTATGGATCCTAATCGTATGACTCCCTCTGGTACCTATTATTTACTCACACAATATCATCTGCTTACAAGATCTGAAAGTTTCCGACGGCAACGACCTATCTTCAGATAATTGGTTGCAGGAGTTCATGTCGAATCCTGTCGCGGATTTAGTGCAGGAGCGCGAACTGCTAGACTCCCTCGGCCTGAGCAACAACAAGACCGAGAGCGTCAACAACACGAGTCCCTCTCATTCAAGCCACTTTACAAGCCCATCAAGAAGTTTCCTTACCACGGACTCTCAAGACCAAGCCCCAGAGTGCTACTATCTGGCTCCGAGCAACTTCCCTAGCCATAGCCAGTCCCCTGCGGATGACGCCCACGGACCTGCAGACAGCCGGACCTCTGACCTTGAAGCTTTGAAGAAAGACTCGCTCGCCTGGCTACAGCCGGCTACCTCGTCTATCGATAGTATTCCACCAACGGTAACAAGAGCGATGTCAGCGACGGAGCCTTCCGGCAGTTTCCTCCCAACGAGAGCTCCGAAGCTTAACAACGCCTACAGCTATGTGCCAGAACACTTCAAGACAAACCCCACCATGCCTAGTTTCCAATATCAGTGCCAATGCCACGAACCGACGATACGCGAGTTGATTCAGGTCAACAACTTTGCATCGCGTGCGGGACCTGCAGCTACGATTGACTCCATCTTGAATTGTCAACGCGTGCTGCAGCAACTTTCGCACACCATCCTTCAATGCAACCTATGCTCCCGTACCTGGATCAATCTATTGATGATGGTTGTGGTCAGCATTGACAGCCTAGTGACCGCTCTAGAGGCGATTATATCTCTGGACAGCGGACTTGCAGAAAGGCTGTTCGCGGAGAACCCTGAGCCACTCCCTACAAGCAACAGGCCCGATAACATTCCCAACGCGAACTTTAGACGATGCCGAGCAAGCAGCCTCTATCTGAAGACACAGGTGGATGCCTGTCCGTTAGTGGTAGGAGGATTCTGTGTTCCATTTGAGGACAAATTTCTTTTCATAGCCCAGGTGCTGTACCTCCGGTTATCAGAGTTGCAGATGACCGTGCGTCGCATCCGTCTATGTACGCAAGAGTTTTTGGCAGTTCCTGCTGCCCGGGGCAGGCTGGGAATGATAATGGAGACCGATCAGCGGCTGGAGCTGATTATGATGAAGACTAAATTGCTAGCACAGTCATGATTTATACTCGCTTATCTCAATCGTATATCACTTTCGGCTCAGAGAGATTCCTCCGCTTCCATTGATTCTCTCCCAAAACAACACAGTCCATATAAGGTAATGTACCAGACTAGACCTGTGTTAAGTGCCTTATCTGGGCAGTCGCATGTGCTACGTACTAGACCCAAGAAAGTAGGAGCATCAGGGTTGCTGCCTGCGCGCTGGGGCATGGCCGAGAATCAGCTGTGTGACGAGTGCGCGGATCTCATTGCATGCTACGTCGCACAGTGAACTGGCTTGCGCAGGGAACAGACCAACAGAGCCTTTCCACCGGAAGTGATATAAGGTGAGGCTATTCTAGTACCTCCCCGGCACGACGGCGCGATTGGGCTGCAATGTAGAGTCGCCGCAAGGCATGTGAATTCAGGCGCCGGGCAAACCAGTCTTACTCAGGAGCCCAGGCCTGCGGCGACTGCGTGCGCGAATCGTGATCTTATTCGGCTCGAAGCTCCTACCAACAGGAAAGATGCGGTCGCCCATCTTATATTTCTCGATACAACGATGACCCTGTGTTCGGAGCAAACTGGACCACCCGGCTGTCAGAACGCTCTATTCGCTCTCTGAGCTCCGCCGTGCAGTCATGGACAGCAGCAGCAGCAGCAGCAACTGCTCCTGCTCGATCCGTCTCCTGCAGATCATGACCGAGTGCCGGAACCTGCAACCGGTCGTGGAGCTCGCCACCATCCTGGACCTGGTCCACCGGGTCGTCACCCACGGGAAAGCGATAGTCAAGTGCAAGGGCTGCCGCAGCAGCCCGCACTCGTCCTTTGCGATGCTGCCCGCGCTGGCCGAGCAGTGTCTGACCCTCCTCGAGGCCGGCAGTCTGGCCTACAGCATCACGAGTACCAACGGCAGCACGCTCCTCGACCCCACGGTGCTGGCGTTCGAGCAGCCGCTGTCGCAGTACATCTGCCTGCGCAGCCCGTCGCAGCTGGGCCGCATGGAGCTCGATGAGAAGGAAGCCACCCTCTTGGTCCGGACGCTGATCGGCCGCAACGCCAAGCAGTTCCTGGGTCTGCTGGAGAGTCTGCAGAAGCTGCTCCAGTCCCTGGGGAAGGACATTGAGCCGGCCTTGCCGCCAATGGGTCATGCCGTGCTGCACCCCTGCGAGTCGGTGGTCGAAACCACGCTTCGCCGGTTTGTGGTCTTCCTAGAGCAGATCAAGTTCGAGGTAGGTTAGTCCCTCGCGGTCGGATTGGCAAGATAGCTAATCAGCCGCTCACAGTGAGCTTGATCTAGATTATGTTCTTTTTTTCCCTTCGCAAGGATGGTTGGGAGATCAATCAATTGAAGAGATAGAGAGCGGGAAGATAGAGTACATTTTGTCTTGTAAGGGAAAGTTGGTGCGTTGATCACTCATTGTATGTTCAGTGATGTGAATCTTTCTGATCTGGTCTCTCACTTTCTGTCTGGTGATGGTGATGGTGATGGTGACGGTGATTTGATAGCCTCAGTCAGAAGAACTATTCAATGCCTAAGGTGTGCGCAGAATGGTCCCTGTTTGCAATGTTTACACCTCTGTTCCGTGCCTGCCGATCCCCTCAAATTAGGCGGTGTGCATTGTGTTTGTGAGCCCCCAAGCATTAATCGCACATGTCTCGATCCTGTAGATAGCGTGTACTTGTTACCTAGATAAGTTTGTACTGTATCTAGGCAAAATTTCTATGTAGCCTCATGTCATTTATCACTTTCTCAATGCACTGCAAGAGGTTCAATGGCCAACGGCATGATGGCTCTTTCACTGAAATAATGCCAAGGGAAGAATCGGGGGCAGTCAGGAAATAATGTGGGCTCCAGCTCAACGTTTGCCACGGATTCGAGCGATTTCTGCTAGACTAGCTCCGTGCTCCGAGAATTGCTCAGGGGGGTCTCGCGGGCTCCTCACCATGCTGCAGGTACAGTACAATTGCTGCTGGCGATGCCATCTTTGCCAGTGTTCGCTCCCCTGTCGTACAAACCCCGCGTACACTGTAGCATCAGTCTACATAGTTTTGTTGTCCATCGAGGTTACCTACCTTAACCTTCATCAACAACCCCTTAAATATCCCTCGACCGCAACAACGTCGGAACCTCCCAACAGCGCACAGGGACGCTAATGTACGGAGTAGTCAAGACCCAAACGCAACGGTGAGTTTCGATCAGATTAGACAAAAGCGGATCTGATAGCTGAAGGGTGGCTTGTCTGGTGCTGAACCGGAGAATCTGATTAGATCCATAGTGAGGCCCGAACACCGGAACCGCTGGAAATGAATTACGTACCCTGACGTGGTAAGGACACTGTAACGGACTAGTCTCAGACATCGTTACCGGTCGCAGGAAATTGGTTGTGTTTCGATGTGACTTACCCCTCACTGGATACGCATTTTCAGCACGTCTTGTTCAAGATTTCAAAAGCACCACTTGACTCGGACTAACAAGCCCGAGTAAGAAGGTTCAGTCCGCTTTCAGCGTCTCGCACATCCAGTCCGAGTGTGTCTGGTACCTTGGTTACGTTACGAAGCTGTGTGTACTGATTGATAAGCGACTGCTTCCTGGTCCCAGGGAACCGGCTCCTTCACAACAACGGGTCGGTCGGATCAGGTCGGGTCAAAGCAGAACCTCAGAGTGGCCCAACTGAAAAGAGCAAGCCAAACAGCTAAAATACCCACACAGCAATTGCCGGTCTCAGAAATACTTTCAGCCGAGGGAAAAGGAGAACGTGGCCTATGAATTCATTCCCCACAATTACGCGATAACAGAGGGGTTTGTTTTCTTAAAGGCCACCGCTGGCATCATCCCATCATTTGCGAGAGAACCCGAGAACCTGCCATTGCAAAAGCTTCCGTGGAATTTCTGGAAAACTCCCTCTCTCCTTCCACACCACAGACAATATCAGCTCTTCACCACCACACAGATCATGTTGTACTCCAAATTCTGGCCCAAGGGTGGTATCCCGGGCATGCTCCACCACTACGTACGTCGACGATTGACCCCTCCACATCCGCAGAGAAAAGAGGAAGAGACATAGCAAGAAGGCAACTGACCATTTCACCTCCCATAACAAACAGACTGAATCCCTCGTCACCTTCGAATACACAACCGGCAAGGTCGCTCAACCTCACAGTCTCCTCTTCGTCGGTGGTTTGGGTGATGGGATCGGTACCACGTCCTACGTCGCCGACATGGCGAAAATGATGGAGAAGAGCGATTGGTCCATTTTCATGCTCAACCTCACCTCCTCCTACAACTCCTGGGGTCTGGGCCACCTGGACCGCGACACGAACGAGATTACCAAGTGCCTCAACTACATCCGCGACTACAAGACGGAGAAGTACGGCAGCCCCGGCAAGATCGTGCTGATGGGCCACTCGACGGGCAGCCAGTGCGTGCTGCACTACCTCTACCGGCCGAACCCCTTCACGGTCGCCCACCCGTTCGACAGCGAGCTGGAGCACCTGCAGCGCATGGCCCTCGACGGCGCCATCATGCAGGCGCCCGTCTCCGACCGCGAGGCCATCCAGTGGGTGCTCCACTGGGGGTTCAACGGCAAGACGCCGGAGCAGGTGCGGGCGGTGTACGACAAGGCCGAGGCGCTGGCGCGCGAGGCGGTGCGCGACAAGGACCCCAAGTTCGACACCGTCCTGCCCCTGGACGTCACCGCCAACATCTGCTACGGCGCCAACGTCCCCATCAGCGCCCGCCGCTTCCTGAGCCTCGTGAGCCCCGACAGCCCCGCCACGCCCCAGGAGGACGACTTGTTCAGCTCCGATCTGAGCGACGAGCACCTGCAGACCACCTTCGGCAAGATCCGCGACTCGGGCCTGCTCCGCAGTCGCCTGATGGTCATGTTCTCCGGCGCCGACCAGGCGGTGCCGGACTGGATCGACAAGGAGAAGCTGATGGCCCGGTGGAGGAACGCGGCGAACCACAACGGCGAGGCCGAGATCTGGGATGACCAGCACAGCTTCATCATCCCCAATGCCTCGCACGCGCTGAGCAATGACGACCAGGCGGAGCCGAGAAGGCTGTTGGCCGAGAAGGTCATCAGCTATCTGAATGCAGTCAAGGGAAACTGAGATAGATGATTATGACCTCGTTTTGTTTTTAGCGTGCAATGTTAGAGATTCAACGGTTCAAATTAGAGCATAGATTTGTGAATAAAAATCGATGACTACATTCTTCATCATTGTATGTCAAAGCAGGGTGTTGGACCTTGACTTTTGACTGGAAATGACTTGTCCTTGGAAAGTGCGGACAATCTGCACCCCCCCAGTCCACCATCAATTGTGGGCAAAACAGATATAGCAGGAACATTTAACTGTAGAAATAATTGTCTCAACTTCATCACCACTCTCTATGCTGTACAATTCTCTCCTCTCCTGAAGAAACCATACCAAACCAAATCCCAACTTTCGACCCTCAAAACCCCCTCATCCCCTCTTGCCCAGCCCCATAAGTTACCGCGCAGGATGTATTGGACCGCGTACTGTACATACGGTCACACTCGACACCCCCTCCCCCCACCACACAATACGGTACGGTACCCGAACAAGCAAAACCTCATCTTATCACTGATTGATAAAATGATTTTTCCCCACCCCGCCGTGATAAAAATTTCTTCCACTCCCAAACCCAGTTTTCCCTAACCGAGGTGGGCAAAGGCTGCTGCTGCACTGAACTCGATTGGCACAATTTTTTCAATGCTCAATTCTCAATTGAGTATGTCCGTAGTCTAAATTCGCGCGAAGGAGATTGCAGCAGACTAGTCTTGGGTCAGGCGACTTCTTATCAATCTCCTCCGCCCCGCCGAACGTCGGAAGGGATGGGCATGCTCTGTGGTGGGTTGAAACCGAGAGTGGATTAGGATGTGGTGGTGGAATTGCAAACTGGGTAGCACTCTAGCCCATTCACTCACAGCTAGCTGTGCACTTTCCCAGCCCCTCTCGGCTCTCCTTAGGAGTCAGGACTCAGGTAGACTTTCAACCTGCAGAGATCGGGTACCTACTTACTCGTCTGCAATATGCAGTCAACAACCTAATTAATCTCCAATGTCCGTAGTTGCTCTCCGAGTCTCCGTCCGCACTTTCGGTCCACTGCTCGAAAACAAACAGCGCCAATCTGCAGGTTCCTCCTTCCCGCAGATGTGATGAAGGGAAACATGATAATCTCCACCACACAGCCGGTGCGCGCGGCTCGCGCTGCACCTGGTGGGGAATCTCCCTTTCGCATCTTGCACAATTCCCCATCCACAAAATCTTGGCTGGCAGGCCAGCACCTACTATATAATTTCACACCATACCCGTTTGGTCACAGAGGGCCGAACTCGCGCAAGCGGTGACTCGCCGGTCTGGTCGGAGAGCGGGCAAAGAAGGAACCTACTTTTACTACTTGCATCTTTAATAAATCCACCTTCCCCTCCTTCCCCCACCACCACTACCACCACCACCTCCTCCTCTCAATCCTTCTCACCAGACAGACACAAACCTTCAGCTGGACTGCTGGGAGACGAAGACGACTTATATGACCCCCCTTTGACAGGTAACTCAACAAGGGATTTCAAAGCTAGAGTCATAATGTCGCAACAACAACAACAACAGTCGCAAGTCGACGCCGACGGTTTCCACCTCTTCCAGGTTGCCGGCCTGGAAGCCCCCTCCACCTCCACCTCCACTATTATTCCGACAGGCATGAGAGAGGAGATTCTGCTAGTATCATGGATCATTCTGCTGTTGCAGTCCTGCGAAGACGGCCAGGTTCGCTTCGAATGGGCGTATTCGGGCGCCGAGAAATCGTCGCTTTCGACACCACAAGTGATGCCGGGATTACAGAGCACTATCGGTCAGGTCTCGGCCGCAGTCGCCCAACACATCGCCGCAGCCACGCAAGATCAATCGCCTGTGACACCCACGACGCTGTTATTAAGCACGGGCACATTGTCACAAGCCCCCGAAGAGGTAAAAGATACAGTGAATCATTTGTCGAGAAACTGCGAATTCAAGCTAATGAACGACCGCGAAACAGGGTGTCACCCATGTGGAGGTTGGCTTTGAGAGCGGAAACCTCAAGATTCGGCCAGCATGGCACTCACCCAGCGTGCTGGAATTCACCGTGGGGCTACATGTCACGAAGCTAGCGGAGCTGGTTCAGCGATGCCTGAGCAATCCCGAGAGCACCATCGAAGAGTGCCTTCGAGCGACCACATCCGATCTGGATGAGATCTGGCGCTGGAACCATGAGTTACCACCAACATATAGCTTCTGCACGCATGAAATGGTAACGGAATGGGCGCAAAAGGCTCCGGAGAGCGAGGCCACTGCGTCCTGGGACGGCAACCTCACCTATGCACAGGTCGACCGTTACTCCACGCACGTCGCCTGGAAGCTCAAGGAGATGGGGCTTCGACTGGATGATATCCTGCCCATCTGCTTTGAGAAGTCGCGGTGGACCATTGTGGCAGTTCTCGCGGCGATGAAGGCTGGCGCGACCTTTGCGCTCATGGACCCGACGCTTCCGCTGGCCCGTCTCCAGAACATGGCGCAACAGGTTGGGGGCAAGATGATGCTTTCGTCGCGCAAGCAGCACGATCTAGCGACCTCGATTTTGCCCGGCGGTCCCGTTCTAGTTGTAGAAGAAGACACTTTCCAGGGTTTCGATCTGAACCAGGAGCTTCAAGCGCTTCCCACCGTGCCCCCGACCACTCTGATGTATATCATCTTCACCTCGGGCAGTACGGGTACTCCCAAAGGCGTAACCATCTCCCACCAAACCTACACGAGCAGCGCCATTCCACGTGCCAAGGCCGTGGGATATACACCCGAGTCCCGGGTCCTGGACTTCGCCTCCTATGCCTTCGACGTCAGTATCGACAGCATGCTATTGACTCTAAGCAACGGTGGCTGTCTATGCATTCCTTCGGACGAAGATCGACTCAATGATATCAACGGAGCCTTCCGGCGGATGAGGATCAATTATGCTGGATTGACGCCGTCAGTGGCGCGCATTCTAGATGCGGATGTGATCTCATCGCTGACTGGTCTCGGTCTTGGCGGTGAGGCTGTCTCAGCGCGAGATGTGAAGCTGTGGGGACAGGACACCCGCATCATTATTGGCTACGGACCTTGTGAATGTACGATTGGATGCACAGTCAACAGCAGCGCAGCGACTGGCAGAGACTATATCTCAATCGGACCCGGCAACGGTGCCGCAATGTGGATCACCGATCCCAACGACCACGATACCCTCATGCCTGTCGGCGCTGTTGGCGAGCTGCTCGTTGAGGGACCGATCGTCGGTCAGGGCTACCTCAATGACCCTGAGAAGACCGCCACGGTGTTCATTGAGGATCCTAAATGGCTTGTTGCGGGCCACAATGGCTACGAGGGTCGTCGCGGCCGTCTGTACAAGACGGGTGACTTGGGACGGTACGACCCGGACGGCTCGGGTGGCATTGTCTTCGTTGGACGCAAGGACACCCAGGTTAAACTGCGCGGTCAGCGTGTTGAGCTCGGGGAGATTGAGAGTCAGCTCAAGGATAGGTTGCCTTCGGATGCTAATGTGATCGCTGAGGTGGTTGTGCCGCAGGGAACCGGTGGTCAGGCTACTTTGGTTGCGTTCGTTACTTTCCAGTCCGCCAAGGCAAATGAGCAGGGCGACCTGAGCCTGGTTGAGCTACCGGATGAACAGCAGAAGACGCTCTCCGAGGCCAATGCCGACGTAGCCAAGGTCCTGCCGCGATACATGGTCCCCACGGTCTATATCCCTGTGAACTATATCCCAGTCCTGATTTCCAGCAAGACGGATCGCAAGAGACTCCGACAATTTGCTACCACGGTTGACATTCGCCAGCTCGACCAAGGGGCTGAGACAAACGGCGCCGGTCGGGAACTGACCGACCTCGAGCAGCGTCTTCGCCAGGCTTGGAGTGTGGTGTTGAAGCAGGATGCTGAGGGCATTCGGGCCGAGGACAACTTCTTTGCTCTTGGAGGTGACTCTGTCATGGCGATGAGGCTGGTGTCGGTGTGCCGCGAGCAAGGTCTTGACCTCACCGTCGCCAACACCTTTGGTCACCCTACCCTCTCGGGAATGGCCGGTGTTGTTCAGATTTGCGCCACTGAAGCCCGCGCTGAATTGCCCCCTTTCTCGATGATATCACAAGATGTCGAAAGCGCCTGTCGCGAGGCAGCTGCCGCTTGCGGAGTTGACCCAGCGGCAGTTGAAGACATCTATCCTTGTACGCCCACGCAGGAGTCGCTCTTTACCTTCTCGCTCAAATCTGTCAAGTTGTACGTGGCACAGAGAGTTGCGCGCATCCCATCGCACATCGACCTCGATGCTTGGAAGAAAGCCTGGGAGGAAGCCGTGGCCGCCAAACCTATTCTGCGCACTCGTCTGGTGCAGCTGCAGGATCCCGGTCTCCAGCAAGTGGTGCTCAAGGAGAACATTACCTGGAAGCATGCAATCGACTTGGCGCAGTACCTGGAGAACGATCGCGAGGAAAGAATGAACTTAGGAGAGAGCCTGGCTCGCTATGCGATTGTGGATGACGCCAAGGAGGGCAAACACATGGTCTGGACGATCCACCATGTTGTGTACGACGGGTGGTCTGAGCCACTGGTGCTTAAGGATGTCAGTGATGCGCTGAGCGCTAAGCAGATCGAGCCACAGGCACAGATGCGAGACTTTGTCAAGTACGTGCACGATACGGATGCGGCCGCTATGAACGAGTTCTGGAGACGCGAACTACAGGGCGCGGTTGGTCCCCAGTTTCCCCGCCTGCCGTCCAGAGATTTTATGCCCACTCCCGACGCCTTTATCGAGCATATGATTCCGCTGAAGCCCGCTGCGAAGTGGCCATTCACCATGGCGACCCTGATTCGCGGTGCCTGGGCACTGGTGGCTGCTCAGTATTCTGGAAGTGACGACGTCGTCTTCGGCGAAACGCTCACCGGTCGTGATATTGCTTTACCGGGCGTTGAGAGCATCATCGGCCCCTTGATTGCTACACTTCCCGTTCGCATCCATGTCAGCCGTACCAGTACGGTCGAGTCCTATCTGCAAGCCGTGCAGCAGACCATTCTGGCTCGTGTCCCCTATCAGCACATGGGCATGCAGAACATCCGCAAAGTCAGCCACGACGCCCAACACGCATGCGAGGCTGGCACCGGCTTGGTCGTCCAGCTGGAACCGGAGTACGTGGGTAGTGACCTGGGCTTTGAGACAGGTGATGTTGTTCGCGAAGCTTTGCACTTCAATCCCTATCCGCTTATGCTGGGATGTGCTGTGCGCAAGGGTGGGTTCCGGATCTGTGCTAGCTTCGACGGCAGCTTGATCGAAGTTGCACAGATGAAGCGTATGCTAGTGCAGCTGGAAGTGGCCTGCGTCGAGTTGACTAAGGGTCTGCAGCGGCGCATTGAAGAAATTTCGTGTCTGCCTGAGGTTGAGCTGAACCAGATTTGGCAATGGAACCAGACCCCTCCTCTGACGCGGGATGAATCATCGGGACGACTTCGTGCCGATGCCACTATCAAGCAGGGAGCGCAGTACCCCTCTGCAGTTGTTCCTTGGGTGGTCAACGCTCGCAACCCAGCTTTGTTGTCTCCCATTGGCTGTGTCGGAGAGCTCTGGCTCGAAGGCGCTTTTGTCTCCGGCGAAAATGTTCAGAACCCGGCCTGGCTGGTTGCAGGAAGTTCGACTAGCCCTGGTCGCAGTGGCACAGTGCAATCGACTGGTGATATGGTCCAGCTGCGCGAGGATGGTAGCCTGGTGTTTGTTGGCCGTAAGGAGAATGTTGTTTCAATCCAGGGACATGCTGTGGATATTGCCGATATCGAACTGCACTTGAACAGACAGCTGCCCGCTGCAGTTCGCGCCGCTGCGGCTATTCGACAGTCGCTCAACGAAACTGGACCGGAGTTGGTCGTTCTAGTAGAACGGCCGTCTTCCGATGAGGAGAGCCTTTCCATCCTACCAGCCACACAGGAGATTAGCGGCGAGTCGGCGGCCACTCTCAGTGCCACGATTCCCGTCAGTGCTGCTGTTGCTCTGAAGAAGCTTGACAAGTTCATTCGCGACTCGCTTCCCTCTTACATGTCTCCGTCTGCATACATTGTGGTTGACAAGCTGCCTACCCAGGGCGAACAGAGTGACCACAGTGTTCTCAACCAGCTGGCCTCTAAGATCCCTCAGGATATCTTGGAACAGACCCGCAACGGGATTAGGGAGGTATGGGCGAAGACTGCTATTCATACAAACCTGACAGCTCCCGAGAAGATTCTGCGGTCCGCTTGGGCCAAGATTCTTCGATTGCCTGAGGAAGAGATTGATGTTGATGACAACTTCTTCCGCCTGGGTGGTGACTCCGTCCTGGCAATGAAGCTGGTTTCCAGTCTTCGTAGCCAGGGTCATAGCCTGTCCGTGGCCGACATCTTCCAGCGTATGCGCCTGGGTGACGCGGCCCGAGTGTTGAGGGTCGATCAAGCCTCTAAGGCCAAGCAAGCTCAGCCCTACCAGCCTTTCTCCACTCTTGGCCGTTTGGATGTTGAGCAATTCTTGTCCCAAACCATCCGTCCTCAGCTGGCAGAAACTTCCTGGTCAATCAAGGACGTTCTTCCTGTGACGGACTCCCAAGCGCTGGACATCCGCGCAACCGTGCATTCCCCGCGCACCTCGATCCAATACACCATGCTCATCTTCGACCAGGGGGCGGTTGATCGTGAGCGACTGCTTCGCGCGTGCAGCGACCTCGTCAAGACCCACGACATCCTGCGGACCGTTTTTGTCGAGCACGAATCGGCCTTTTATCAGGTTGTGCTGAACGAGCTCGCCACCCCTCTGACGCAGCACACGGCCGACAAAGAAGACCTGCAGCAGTACATCACCGAGCTGTGCAACACCCACATTGCCTCTGACTTCCCTCTCGGTTCGTCCTTCTTCCAGTTCTTCCACGTCGAAGCCCTGGACGGCCGCGAAGCCTTGGTCCTCGGTCTTTCTCACGCGCAATATGACGGCGAGTCTCTGCCCCACCTGCTCCGCGATCTCGAAACCCTTTACACCAGTTCGCAAGCGACCGATCAGGTTCCCTTCTCCGCGTACATGGCACACATCACCAAGCCGGAGACCCAGACCCCTGCTCTCACCTACTGGAAGAACCTCCTCCACGACTCGACGCTCGCCGTTCTCCCCTCCACCAGTCCGAAATCGCCCGCCTCCAGATCCATTTTCCACACTCAATCCCTCGACCTGGACCTCACTTCTGTCCAGGAAACCACCGCCACAACGACTGCAACCCTCCTTACCGCCTCGTGGGCTCTCGCTCTCGCCCGCCTCCTGCAGACACGCGACGTCACCTTCGGCGGCGTCACCACCGGCCGTACCCTCGACCTTATCGGAGTTGAGAACGTTGTTGGTCCTTGCTACCAGCTCGCGCCGATCCGGATCAACATCCAGCGCGAGTGGACCGCGGTGGATCTTCTAGGGGCTGTGCAGCGCCAGAGCGCCGAGTCGGCGGCGTACGACTTTGTGGGCTTCGACAAGATCGCACGGGAATGTGCGCCCGCATGGCAGGGAGCCGGGTCGTTCGACTCGATCGTGCATCACCAGGACTTCGAGGACTTTGACACCATGCCTTTCGCTGGACGGGAGTGTGCGGTTGATATTCTGAACCCGCATGGGGACGCGGCGTACCCGGTCAAGGTTGTTTCGTTCGTGAAGGGAGGCCAGTTGCAGTTGGGCGTTGTTGGCAGCGAGGAGGAGGAAGTGAAGCGTTGGTTGGGGTTGGTGTCTGAGACGGTGCGGGAGGTGGTTTCCGGTGTTGAGGGAGGGAAGGTTTTGCTGGAGAGTTTTGAGTGATGGTTGATTGATATCATTGACACGTAAGTCATGGAAGCAAAAACATAGACTTAGAGAATAGATCATGTTTGTTCTACCTAGCCACCTAGCCTCTAAGTCGGAAGGAGGGCGAAGTGCACCTTCCTTACACAGGAGACCGCAATACTCCTATTTCGATTTGAGGTACGCGAGACGATCTTGACGTGATTACCTTGGTCATAAGCGTGGTCTACGAGCAGCCCTACTTGTAGACTACAGGAATTTACCATCAACACAATTCAAGATCCCAAACTTCAATCTTCATCTCACATTCAAACAGTCATAGCTTAACACAATTCAAGATCCCAGACTTATACCTTCACCACATGCAATTCAATTACAGCCAAAAACAACGACGCAAGAACGCAACAAGGCAAGAATACACATACAAAAATCAATACAAACCCCAGAAAACATCAAACAAGCAAAGCAAGGCTCCCCCAAAAGTCCATCAAAACATAACCCCAAGCAACTGGGGATACCAAACCCCACCCAACAGCACAGGCACCACCGCTCCCACCAGCAAAGCCCACAGAACAAGGTGAACAGGCACCCACGTCGGCGCCACCAGCGACAACCCCGCAAGACACGCAGCCACCAAGCTGTCCCCCAGAAACAGAACCCCCAGCCAGCCACCAACCCACAACCCCAATTTCGGGCCCATTCCCTCGTCTGGACCCGTTGTTCCCTGGTCAGAGGGGCCCGGGCCTTGTTGCAAGTGGTCGTCGCCAAGCCCCCATCAACAATAATCATCCACCCCAGCCGCATGGTAGACATGCTCCACGCCACAGGCGGAGTACCCCCCGGCGTAGAAGGTGGTGCCTGCCGAGCGTTAGCATACCCTAACCCCACCCAGCCCAACCCCTATCCCAATCCCGGAAACAAAAGAAAAGAAAAACCCACCATCAACAGGCAAATCCCCCCTCGGCCCCCTGACGACACTCTGACTCTCCCGCTCGGGCGTCAGCCTCGCCTCGCAGCTCAGCTGCTCCGCCGCGGCGCCCACGGAGTCCCCGCCCAACCACACGTCCACATGCCACATGTGCGGCCAGTGCCGCGTGCAGCTCTCGCAGTAGTCCTCGTGGATGAGGTACTTCTGCAGGTACGGCGAGTAGATGACCTCGCACAGCTCGAACTCGCCCGGCGCGGTCGCGAAGGTCAGTGGGTCGTCGTACGTGCCCGTCCCGCCGGCGGTGCCGGTGCCGCTGCGGTGCGGGCACTCGTACGCGATGGCGGCCCCCGGCGGGTCGTTGTCCGGGTAGCCGTAGAAGGTGTAGGTTATTCCGTGCAGGGTCGTGCATTGGTCTTCCGGCGTGGTTATGGGGAGGGGTGTTAGTGGTTTGGTTGGAGGTGCTGGTTGGGGTGGGATGTTAGGGTTAGGGTTTGCTGGGTTGGGTGCTTGGATGGGTGGTGGGGAGGTGGGGGGCATGGGGAGGATGGTGTAGAGTTGGTTTGGGGGGGTGTTTGGGGGTTTCAGGTTGGTTGTGGGGTTGTTTGGGTGGGTTTGGAATGTGGTGGTTGGTGGGTTGGGAGGGATGGTGGGGATGATAGGTGTAGGAGGGGCAGGTGCAATGGTGTTGACGGGGGCAGTGGGAGAGACAGGGGTAATAGTGTTGGCAGGGGCAGTAGGGTTAACAGGCGCAGGGTTGACAGGGGCAATAGTGTTGACAGGGGCAGTGTTGACAGGTGCAGGGTTGACAGGCACAACAGGACCACCAGACTGAGGCAGCGAAGAGCCAGACGGAACGCCACGATTCGGCAGTCCCACACGAGGAACCCCATCACCGGAAGTGTAGTTCTTGTTGTGGTCGTGCTCGTACTCGTGGTTGTGGTTATCGCCAATCCCAGCCTGGTGCCCTGCGCCCTCGAGATCTGCGGTGGACTCACTGGTTCCATTACCCAGGCACATAGGCGTCGCCTTCGGGTGCTTGTTCAGCTGAGTGCCCAGACAGGCACCCAGGATGGTGATGGCGATAACCACCACAGCCAGAGGAATGGCCCAGCGCAGCCACTTCTTCTTCTTGTTCTTGTCGGTGGTCGGTGGCTTGCTGGCGCTGGTGGAGGTTGCAGGCCAGGGAAGCTGTCCGCCTCCGTAGTGTTGCATCGTCGCGGTGCTGTGGATGGGTTAGTATACGATCCTGATACTGAGTAGATGGGGGCTGGGATGAAATACTTCATGGTAGAAAAGGTGCTTGATGGTAGGAAAGGTTCTTGATGGTAGGAAAGTACTTGATAGTAGTGAGGGTGCTTGATAGTAGTGGAGGTAGTGGATGTTGAGGATGCTACTTGATGATACTGAGGTGGTGCAGGAATGGTGCGAAAGAGGTGTTGTGGATAGATTCAGCAGATGGAGAGATTCAACGGGAGAATTCAGGTAGTCAGGACGGTGACTCAGATGCATCATAGTATCAAGCATCAGGAAATGCATTTCCGGGAGACTTACCATCATTGCTATGCAATTGTGACCGTATGGGTGGTTGACTCACTCCTATAGCCATCCAAGTCTCTGAATAGCTTCAACCATGGTCTGGTTGGTTGAGACCAGTTCGAGAATCATGGTACAGCAGACACTCGTGTAGAGTATGTCATAGCTCGCCGTGGTTCTTGATGGAATCAATTCGAGCATCATCGCACAAGAGTAAACCTCTGAATAACTTCGTCGAACTCGCTATGACTCTCGATGAAGTCATGGAGTGATGCAACTACGCCGTCGAGTATCGGGCAAGTTCAGCAGGAAGAGCAAGGTGAATATGCAAACTAGTATTGTCTACGTACCCTTCACTATCATAGAGTCTATTAACATGAATGTTAGAGTATATCATTCAATACGACAGTGTCCTCTGGATAAGGTACGGCATCACCAATGTCTAACTGCGACATGCGGATCGGCGCCCAATCGGCAGCCTTTTGGCTTGATTGAAGAACCTCCACAAGAAACCGATCCCTTTCCTCGGGATACTCAGCAGCAATCCAGCTTTCGTCCCTCCGCATCTTCTGTACATCTGCCTTCAGCGCCTCAATTGCAATGCTGGCACAGACCTCGGAATTGATCATCCCTTCCATGTGTGGCCAGGCACGCAATGCTTCAATAGCTCGTACCCGCAAGCGCAGATCCGGGCATAGAGTGGCCACAATGTGCAAGCCGGGACACACCACCGGCTCCATTGTGAAGGTCGTGCTTCTCGAGATTTGGTCCATAATAGCGAGGCTGCTGGAAAGTACCGCAGCACATTCGGCAGTTATCTGACTGGTGCTGCAATCTCCGGGAAACAATACCTTCAGGGTGACGTATTGAACCAGCAGGAGATGACGAAGCACCTCCGCTCCACGTTCTTCCTTGGGAGTGAACCTGCTGCCGCGTTCCTGGCAGAAGGAATCAAGGGCCTGCGCAATATCTGCGTATCGGGCAAGAATTCTCTGTCTTTTGAGCCACAGATCGTCGTATTTTGCCAGAATCTCGGCGTGCGTTGAGCGCATCAGGTACGCGATCAGGAGAATCGAGTAATTGAGCGTTTCCGTGAAAGCTTGCCGTGCCTCGCCGACGCTATTTACAACGATAGGACATATGTTCAATACCCACTCAGGCTCATCTACTGCGTCAATGCTCTGAGTAGGTCCCTCGGCGGCATATAAGGCGGCGGTAACATTGAGGTGGTCGAAGAAGTCGACAAGGACGGGTTCTATTATCTGTCCCTGTGCCTGCGCCTCTTTAATCAGTTGCACCCCATGGTGAAGGTGCATGGCTGCTCTGCCATAATGACCCCGCAATAGCTCTCCCATCACAAACAGCAGACAGCATGTGATAACGGCCTGATACTTTTGTGGGTCGTTGGACGCGCCTCGTCTTCTCAGCAGGGCGGAGGATCGGGTGGAATGTTCCAGAGCGAAGTTCAAATGGGAGTCATCTGTTCGATTACCCGACAGTCGCATACGATTTGTCTCCGCGTCCTGGTGGATTGCACTAAGCATGATGACCGCATGGCAGACTGCAGGCTCGGCACAGCTCTGCGGAAGAATGTAGTGTTCCCAGAGAGGCGAGTCGAACAAATCCACGAGACCTGAGATCGTGTGGTATTGGAAGTATGAGAAACAGGTTTGCTCATCGGAGGTCAAAGCCGGGCCATGAAAGCGGCTGAGGTAGATGCGTGGGAGACCCATATTACGCCTGGCAGGAAGCCGATGAAAGTCATACTCGCATTTCCGACCGGTAGAGGTACAGTTGTTACATGCCCCTGGGAACTCATCGCATCGCACACGGCGCACACTGGAGGGGTCAGCCATGAGTCCGGGTACTGCCGTGTTATACCTACCGACAGGTGCGACAACCCGTTTTCGATCTCGAGCGAAACGCCTTCTGACGCTTGGACGGTATGACCGTCTTCTCAGTCATGATACCTGCACTGGATTGCGACCAAGGCGCCCCTGAAAGAGTCTGGGGAACGTACGTGAGGCTGAAATGGAGTGCAGCCAGGAGCCAATTTATTAGCTCAGCTAGTGTTGGCACTAAGATCAGGCGCGCTACCAGGCTAACAAGATAACAAGCAGTCACTTTGCCAGCCTTCCACTACACCAGGCTTGACCGATGGTAGTGCGGACTTAATAGGGGCTGATATCGCCGCCATCATGAGCCCCAAGCAGGCTGACAGGCTGGCGCGGATGTCCGAGTTGTTCTTTGTTGTTCTTCGCCTCTTGCCCGAATCAACTTGCAAGGCTCGCGGTCGCAGCGGTCGCAGCGGTCGCAGCTGAATAAGCATTGCCTTGATGCCACAGAAATTCGACGGATCTCTTTTTCGGGGTCGTTGCTCAAAACAGATGGTTATGCAAGTCCAGAGATGGACCCGGGACTCATAATCAATCTTTCCAAGTCATTGCAAATTCTCAAGCATTCGAGGACAAAACATATGGAAGGCCTTCGTTCTGGATCGGCTCTTGCGGTGCGAGGTCGAGAGGCCCGCTTGAACGGGAAGATGCTGCAGCCTTCGACTAGATTGAGCAATCTTTCAGCACAAAGAGTTGAAGAGTAGACATATCCAGCATATTGCGAAGTTACTAATAATAATGGACGTTAATGGACGTAATCTTCAGCGGGAAACGAGGGTGGAAAGGAAGATGGCAGCGGAAATGCAGCAGGAAAGACGCGGAATGGAATTGCCGGGGATAAGCGGAGACGGAGTGAATTCCGCAGGTGGGGCGCTCAACCCCGCGATTCATCCGTCGCATGAAGACATAACATACTTCTTGCTTGCTCGTCTGCCTTCCATCTTTTCTCCAGTCATCATCTCTCTCTCCTCTTCCACCTTTCAGTATCCTCTCAGCCTTTCCCTCCATCACACAACATGGCTTCGTGGTTACAAATCCCCAAGAACTCGCCCTTTTCGTTGGCGAACATCCCCTTCGGAATCATCTCCACAGCCAAAGCTGCCTCGCGGGTCCCTGCCATTGCGATCGGCGACTACGCCTTGAACCTGAATGCCTTCGCCTCGTCGGGCGGGTTCGCCCAGCTGCCCTCTTTCGAGCCCCACCTCAATGTCTTCGACCAACCCACGCTGAACGCATTCGCAGCATTGGGACGGCCAGTGCATCGCCAGGTTCGCGAGTACATCCAGTCGATCTTCCGCGCCGACACCCCCTTCCCCCAGATCCTCAAAGACAATGCGTCGCTGCAGCAGGAGGCCCTGCTGCCCCTGTCAGAAGTGACCAACCACCTGCCGATGCAGATCGGCGACTACACGGACTTCTACGCGGGTCTGAACCACGCCTACACGCTGGGAGTGCTCCTGCGGGGACCCGACAACGCGCTGCAGCCCAACTACAAGCACCTGCCCGTGGCGTACCACGGCCGCGCCTCCTCCATCGTGCCCTCGGGCACCCCGATCCACCGCCCCAACGGCCAGATCCTGGCCAACCCCACCGCGGTGCCCAAGGTGCCGACGTTCACCACCTGCAAGCGGCTGGACATCGAGCTGGAGCTGGCCGCGTTCGTCAGCCGGCCCAACGAGCTGGGCCAGCCGGTCTCCGTACAGGAAGCCGAGGACCACATCTTCGGGGTGGTGCTGATGAACGACTGGTCGGCGCGGGACATCCAGGCGTGGGAGTACGTGCCGCTGGGGCCGTTCAACGCCAAGAACTGGGCGACGACCATCTCGCCGTGGGTGGTGCTGCTGGACGCGCTGGAGCCCTTCCGCACCGCCAGCCTGGAGCCCGAGAACAACCAGAACGTGCTGCCGTACCTGCGCGAGAAGCGCGCGGACAACGTCTTCGACATCCCGCTGGAGTTCGAGCTTACCAACGAGGGGGGCAAGCCGACGACCATCTCGCGCAGCAACGCCAAGAACCTCATCTTCTCCTTCCCGCAGATGCTGGCGCACCACACGATCACGGGCTGCAACCTGCGGACGGGCGATCTGCTGGGCAGCGGCACCATCTCCGGCCCGGAGCCCGGCATGGAGGGCAGTCTGATCGAGCAGACGAAGGGGAAGAACCCGATCCAGCTGGCGGATGGCTCGGACCGGATCTTCTTGGAGGACGGCGACACGGTGGTTCTGCGCGGGAAAGCAGGCACGGAGGGGAATTATGTTGGGTTTGGCGATTGCGTAGGCAAGATCCTTGCTGCGCCTCAGTTGAACTTTGATTAGCTTCTTTTCCCGAGTAACCTAGCAGCCTAGGTAGTTTTATTTGCGTACCGTACAGATAAAATTGAAACAATGTGCCCTACCCTCCAGCAAACCAAACAATCGACCCCCAACGTAGATACACAACCAAACAATCTACTCCACCCGCAAGTCCGCAGGTGTATCCCCCTGCCTGGCCCAATGCGCCCTCCTCACCGCATCCAACCCCTCCAACCTCTCCACCACCCCGGCCACCACCGGAAACGCCCCGGCAACATCAACACCCACCCTCTCCGCGCCCCAAACCGCCGGCACCAAACACACATCCGCAACCGTCACCTCATCGCCCACACTATACGCCCCACCCACCCCCTCCTCCTTGATAATGGTCTCATACGCCCTCAGCCCATCCACAATCACCCCCCTCGACCACTCCGCGCGATCCACCCCCAACGGCGCCACGCGCTTCAACACCTTCAGATTCGTAACGGGCTGCACATCGCACGCGATAATCTGGGCCAGGGTGCGGGCCAGTGCCCGTTTGGCGGGGTCGCGCGGGAGCAGGGGGTAGGTATCTGGGAAGGCCTCGTCGAGGTATTCCAGCGCGGCGAGGGATTGGGTGATCTTGATAGTGTCCTGGGGGGGATCGTCCGCGGGGGCGGAACCCGGGGACGGGGCGATGAGGAGGGTGGGCACGGTGCCGGACGGGTTGCGGGCGAGGTTGTCCGGGGATCGCTGGGCGCCGTCGAGCAGGTTGAGGTAGACGGGCGTGTAGGGGAGGGATTTGAGGTGCAGGGCGATGCGCAGGCGGGCGGAGCAGGAGGAGCGGAAGTAGGTGTACAGGGTTATTTCGGGCATTTCTTTCGGGTCTGTGGTATGGTATTGATGGGTGGTGTGTGTGGTTTTGAGGGTTGGAGTAGAGTACATTGAAGGGTTTGAGATGTGTGCAGTGGGTATTCTGATGTGTGTGGTGGAAGGGCGGGGGGCTGCTGTACCCCGTATATGGCTCGTATATATATCTACGGTTCCAGGAGATTGCAATAGAGGGTAGGCGCGGAGATGCGGGATTACTTTGACTCAAATCGTCACACGACCGAGCAGGAAAGGTTTGACTGGGTTCTCAATAGTGTATACTGTATAAGGGTAAGGTTCCAAGTTCATCTGGAACAATGTCCCGCTAGGTATAGATTACTTGTCTCGCTGCATTCACATCCTTCTCATCCGCAGCATTCTTACTTCCTGCAAGTCATCGGAACTCATCGCGATGGTGGTCGCACACCTTGTGAAGCGGCTTCCATTACAGATCCTTACAAGTAAGGTGCAGATGTATGCCTTCCCTAGTTATACTACCCTATGTCATCACGGCCGAATGCTGGGCTGCCGCACACGGACCGCTGGGCTGTGCGGGGACGGAAGGGTTCCGCGGCGCCACTTCCGAAATCTCCCCCGCCCGCCAATTTCCGCTGCTTTCCATGCCGGGTACTAAACTACAAACTACCGATCTGCGCTGCTCGTATACGGAGTAGCTCTGGACCTGTCTTTGTCCTACCTCGAGCCCGATTGACGCGCCGCTTTACTATTACCCTCGATTGTGAAGTCCTCTCGATTGCTTCGTTGCTGGTTCTCGCGGGATATCTTAAACGGGATCTAGCGACATGCTTTTCTAATAGGCTTTCATGCCATGGCCATCGTGTCAACTCTTTTGGAGAACATGTGAGATATTCTATCTGCATAAAGGCATCGCTGAAAAATGGAGCTTGAGGTTAAAAAGAGATTACGGATTAAATCTTCAAATCATATCTAGTCTATGGTCATAACGAAGGTCCCCCAAATGTGTTCCCCTCCGGTGAATCCCACCAAGATTCGATGTCGTTGAGCGAGGGCAGGGCGGTGTCCTCGGCATACAAGTTTGTGTTCCCAAGGGGTGGAAAACCGTCCTCGCCAAGATTGTCAGAAAGCAGCTGCAGGTCCGAATCGCGGATCCAGTCGAAATCCCCTGGTTGAACCGCGATGGATTGCTGGGCAGGATCCACTGGTGGCTGATGCTGGGCTGCCCGAGTCATAACCTGCGGTTTGCCGAATGGCAAACCGGCAGCGGTGAGTGAATGCGCTGTTGGCAGCGAGAGAGGCATGGCGGCCTGGTTCCGAGCCGCCGTGGTCCGCGATTTCTTCCTCGACACGTCCGCTTCCCTTGTTCGTCCCATAGGTTTCTGCGACGGTGTTCGGTGGCTCATCTGCCGCTTGACGGCAGACCCCGAGCGACGCATATGTGCTTGCCAACGCCGCTGAAGACTGACGAGAAAGTCCCTCGTGCGCTTCGCGTTCTCAAACGACTGACCGATTTCATCGAGGGCACGGAAGCAAAGATTCAGGTAGGCGACCATTTCGGCATTGTTGCCGTTGTCGCTACCTTGTCGGGAATTCGAGATGGTAACGTAGAGAAGAATCAGCGCAGCGCTGAATATCATAGCCACAACCTGGCTATTCATGCGACGAAAGGTATAGTATTTCTCATAGATGTGGAGAAGTTGTGCGATGGCCGTAGAAGACTCGATGCACATTCGTCGCGCATGATGGTAGCCGGGCCCCTGGCGGGGGCTACGCGGCTGAATGTAGCTTTTCGACACCCAGGGGCGGTGGGTAAAGATGACTATTTGGTGATATTGCATGCTGCGCAGAAAGATTTAGTACCTGTTCAACTTGAAGCGAGCAAGAAGAAAAGCTCTTACTGTAATACCAGGAGATGGGGCAATTTGGGGATGGCATCATTTGCGATGTCGATATCTAAGTTGGAAGGTAGATTTGCCTTCCAGGCGAATAGATCATCTGTGACACGGTGGCACAGTCTCTGGAGGTCATGGCGGGATATATGTGAGCATCCATATCTAGCCCGAGTCAGTGACTTGTGCAATCGTACGGTACCGGCAGCTTACAAAATGTGGCCAACCGGGGAGATGATCTCCCACAGCACAGCGAACTGGCGGCTGATCAACTCGTTGGGATTCTTCAGCCCACCCTCAAGTGCTTCTGACTTGTTTGAAAGACCATAAGGATACCACATAGCTTCCTTCTCAGCACCCAAGTCGGAGGCGGGCTTGGGAACTGTGATATCTCCGGTACTCATGCGGAATGGTCTTCCGAGGTAAAATCCCCAGAAGCTGCCAAGAATGTTAGACCAGTACCTCGACTCGAGGATCAGAATCACTTACTGGTCTGCAGTGTAGCTTCCCCAGAACGCTACCTTACGGACATCGGCTTCGTGGACACTGATGTCGCCTTTCTCCACGTAGGGTGTCATGTCGAGATGCAATCCAAGGTCAAAGGCAAGCCTCATCGACATTCCTACTTATGTCAGACTGGTGTTCTTTCTTCTCGTGCGGTCAACATACCACTGTAAAGCCAACCTCTAGCATCACGGTTCGATGAGCCCTCGTGGGAACTCAGTATAACAAGGGCCTGAACCGTAGCAACGCAGGGAGAATCCAGTTCGATCTCCAGGAGAGCTTTCGCCCTGTCTGCGAAGAACTCCGAGAGCGACTTCGGAAATGTGATGAAGGTGGGGTGGTATCGGGCTTCGAAGGCACTTCCGATCGCGCACCTAGTATAATCAGCAATACGTCGCGACGGCAACCCAAAGAGCAATCATACATAGCATTGGTGAGAACTTCCGAATAGAATGGTGTATCTATCAAGTCGTTTCTCCATTCCGACCGAGCGTTCAAATACATTTCCTTGTCAACCACATAGGTACTGGGATTCTGCCAGGTGAAGTAAAGCTCGACTAGATGATCCTCCAGCGCTTGACTGACAGGCTGGCCTACACGCAGATGGTTTAGAATATCTTGACCATCATGACGGACTGTACGGGCATCTGGACGTTGATGCTGTTGTGTAGCCGAAACATCAACCAGGTTGAGATTTGAGGTCGCGCCGAAGAATCGTAGGTGACCATCACCCGAAAGCTTGAGGGTCCCAATGCGGTGCGAGATCTGCTCAATGACATCCTTCTCAGCTTCATCTTCCTCGCCGCTGTTCGAATCCACATCCTTATCATTCCAACCCAGATTCAACAATACACCGGGTTGCTGAGCTATGTCTTGCGACAATTGCAGGCTTTCCGGACTCAGGCTGGTGTCTTGCGACCCGTTCGATCTGCCGTCTATGTTGGCATAGAGCGCATCCAGGCTTTCCGCTGTTGGAAGAGTAAACCCCCAATTCGATGCAGTCTTCATGTTACTGGACAGTCCCAAGTTGACATTGGACTGAGCCATGGCCTCCCGAGTGATATCGGTAACGGGTAGAGACGATTGGTGAGGAATTATGCTTTGTGAGGACGGTGAAACTGCAGGTGCACTCTCGATCTCGAGCTGGCGATTTGATGTCGACAAAGGGGAGGTTGTGGATTGAGCAGGGGAATCAGTAGTATTCGGTAGAGTCGACGCGCTCTGCGCATTGACTGCGAGTGAATTGCCGGTCTTCGTAGACGCGCGAGGGATTTGAAGAGTGTCGAGGACTCTGTTCATACCCGACTCATCCTCCTCCTTCATCGGGGGAGGCTCGAGACCGTGATCGTGAATGAACTGGCATAGTTGATCAATCCTGGCAGAGAAAAGCTCTGTCGCAGCACGTAAGGATACTCTGATAATAGAAATGGTCAGCTCGACCAGGCTACAGTATCGGAAGAACGATAATTCTGTGTGTCTGTCCCAGCGCTAAGAAGTGATCCATCTTTCTCTCCGCCCCCCAATATGATGGGTGCATGACATGTACCCAAGCCTTGTGATGTGAACGAAGTGTGATGAGCGCCTGAGGAGGACATACTTGCGTTTGTCATCTCCATGCTGATATTTGCATTCCTTCCCTTTCCTTTGGCAATTTTGGCAATGCGGAGTAGAGCCGTCACACTAACCAGCAAATCGTCAGCGCATGCGTAATTGAACCTAGGAGTTTCGTTTTTTTGAGACGGTGTCGGAATCACTGACTCTGATTTTACTCTCTCGACAAGCGACACAGGCCGTGGTGACGTGCTTTCGAGGGGCTCTCTTAGGCTTCTCCAGCTGGTGAGGCTGCATGGTGGTAGAATCTGCCGGTCGGGTTTGCGCAGAATTTATGGAGGGAGGAACGGCGGGGTCGCTTTGGATTCTGCGTTCTAGTAGTAGTGTGGCGATTAAGAATGATGCCGGGAGTGAAATATTTGATCACCCAGTGTCCGGTGTAGACTTGGTGAGAGCGCGCATGATTCTCTTAAGGGCACCGAATGTGTTGTAATGGAGCAGAAAACGAATGACGAAGGAACAGCGAACAGGAATTGGTGGAGACGATGGATGGCAGTCACACACCGCACTGACTAGCGAGGAGCGATTCACTAGTGTCGTTATAGGCTTGTCTGGGCTGGGGGATTGTTCTGGGGAAGTGATGGAGAATGTCTGATAGGCAGGCTTTGATCTCGAGGCGGGGAGAAGCTGTTCCACTCCAAGCCACCGCGGCCAATGAGTGCCTCGGCAATCCTCCGAGAACCGAAAGGGAACGATTTCCCGCTGGGCCACAGCCCGTGAAAGAGGATGATGCCTCAGGGACCAGGCATTACTAATCCTGTACTCCGTAAAGTGGAAAGACTGTCTGATAACTCCGGTATCCTCATCAATTCTCCAGCTCGGTTCTTTTGAACAAAGAAGTGTGTGGAGCATGTCTCCAGGCTCCGGCTGATACGAGGACTTCCCCGCAAGGGTCGAGGTGCACCCGTGCAAGCACGCCATCACATGACCCCCCATGCAAACACTGCAAACACTGCAAACACTGCGCTGGTCTGTCTTTGACGGTCGCCGCCCTCGATCATGCCAATCCATGTCTTATCGGTGTCTCTTAATGGTTGATTGTCTGCCAACTAATCGGACAACTGACGCCTCATATTGTCACCCCATACATGGACTTCTCTCGTTTCAAATAGGGCACTGCATCAGTCGGCCCTTACTCGAGCTTTCTAGGTAAGTATCGCCAATCCAGCTATTCAACCTGTGTAACGCCGCTCACCCTTGCTTTATCATCAGGGTGGCTCTCGCAGCAGACTATATACTCGACCCGATCCTTCTCTCCAAGACCTCCTGCTCTCCGTCATATCATCGGTGTAACATGTACGGATAAGATGTCGGCTACGCTATTCCTTGACAAGCCACTCCTCAAAGTTAGTCGGCCGGTCGCTGCTTGCTCACGATGTCGAACCGCCAAGATCAAGTGCGACGGGAAGCTTCCTGCCTGCTCCGCATGTGAAAGGGTGGGCAAGTCCGACACCTGCTCCGGCGCAAGCGACGAGTTTGCTCGAGGCAAAGAAAGAAGTTATGTTGCTTCCCTAGAGGGGTACTGCGAAAGGCTGGAGAAGAAGATCGCGGAGCTCCGCCATCTGAAGACCTCGCTGTCCGTCGACAATAGGGGGATTGCGCACCAGAACTCGATCACCTCGATAACATCGTCGGAATCGGCGGTCCAGGGTCCCAACAAAGAAGTCTCGGATATTGATGATCTGGTTGGGGATTTTGGATTCTTGTGCGTCGTCTTCCAATGCAATCCACCCACCCACTGACTAACCACCTCCTCATCGACAGGTCTGTGAACGCCACCTCCAGAGACTTCCACGGTATCACTTCGAGCACCTCCTTTGCCAACCTTCTCTTATCACTTTCCCTCGCCGACCCATTACCCAAACAATCTTCACGACCACTCCCACCGCGCCACGAGATCACCCACCTCCTTCAACATTACTTCGACACTCTCTACATTCAACTCCCATTCTTTGCCGAAACAAGCTTCTGGACCTCGGTTGATGCGGTCTATCAGTCCGGCGGTCGGTTTGCCAAACCGTTCGACCACTGGATGTTATACACAGTCCTGGCCACCTCCTCTGCCTCCTTATCATACGAGATTGGCGATGAAAGCCACCAGGACGCGCTATCATACGTCACTCAGGCGCTGCAAAGGGCGGAAGATGTCCTGCGTCCAGGATCCATCCAGGGGATCCAGGCCATTATGCTCCTCGCGCAATACTCGTTATACGACCTCAAACATTTTCGGAGTTGGTTTTTGGTCGGGATGGCTGTTCGAGTGATGGTGGATCTCGGTCTGCACCAGGATCCTCCGGTCGAAGTCCAGTCGTCGACCAAACATCTAGACCTGCGTCGTCGCATATTACACTGCCTCTACTCTTTGGACAGGTTTGTTTGAATCCCACGTACACGCACGGAGAGGTTACTGACTCCGTCGACAGAGGCGCCAGCACCGTTTTCGAACGGCCATTCTCCTTCTCCGACGAGTCCGTCAATGTCGCCCTTCCCTCCAGCACGGCAGGCTCCATGCTCAGCGAGCAGAGCCATCTCTTCCTGCGCAGCTCCGAACCCGCCTGGCATCTGGTCAAGATCCGGCAGATTCTTTCCGAAGCGTACTCAAGGAACTACTTCCACGACCACGACTCCTGCCCCCTGTACGCGAAATCCACCTGGGCCCTCGGCGCAGAAGCCTACGAATGGTTCGACGCAACCCCCAACACCACGCCCAGCCACTTCCCCGTCCTCTACAAACTGGAACTCCTTTACACCGTGGTCATCATCCTTTCGCCTAATGACGAACCCCCGGCAGCGATCGGAGAGTACCGCAACGTCGTCCTCTTCGAACGCTGCATGCAGTACCTCGGCCAGATCCAAGAAGCGCTGCGCAACCCGGCCTGGTCCCCCTTCCTGACCTTCTGGGACATGCACCGCGCGCTGCAGGCGATCCGCCGCCTGACGCGGGAATTGACCGAGAACCACGACCTGCCGCTCAGCCCCTCGGTGCCGGTCCTACCGGCGGTGCCCCCGGAGACGCCGTCGGCGCTGGTCCTCGACGGCGAGGACTGCCTCAACTTCTACGCGCGGGCGACGGCCTGCCTGTCAGATATCCACTGCATCCTGCGGTTCGGACTACGCAAATGGGGCGACGACCCCGTGTTCGAGGAGATGCAGCAGCTGTCGGAGACCATCCAGCGGCGCCTGATCTCGTCGCCGGCGCCGTACATGGCGGGGGCGGGGCCGGGGGCGTACATGCCGGGATACTCGACGATGGTCTCGGCGGGGTCGAGTTACCCGGGGTATGATATTGGGTGATTTGATGCGCGTGTTGTGCGTTATGATGTATGAACGAGTTGACGTGAACGTTGCGCCTTTTGTCGCCCAGTAAAGCATAAGTATACGGATGTTCTAATGCCACCTCACTTCCACCTATCTGACTTCAGGTGGTACCGATTGTAGTGAGTAGACTTCATTCAAAGCATCACATCTCCCCCCAACAAGCAATATCTCTTTTCTCCACAGACATGAGAATACTCATAATTCAAGCGCTCATCCAGCAAGCACTGAACCCTTCAACATAAAACGAACGTGCGAGTCTCAAACCATAACCGCTAGTCCCAAACCACTCCAACCCAGTCTATCTACATATCTACATAACACATCCAGTCAAATCTATAATCTATATGATCTACTACGTCGCCCGGAAAACCCAAAACCCCGCGAACTCCCAATACGCCTGGGTGAAATTGTGCGGATGGGTGCGCACGAAATCCACACACCGGCCGGGACAGCGGTAGAGGTCGGTGTAGAACTGCTTCTGGGCGCCGAGCTCGCCGCACAGGTCGATGTTGGCGATGATGCTCTGGTTGCGGAAGTGGGCGGCGATGTCGCAGTGGGTGCTGGGGAAGTCGGCCAGGGGGGTGCCCCACGTTGACGGGTCGGGGGCGGTGGAGGTGTTGCTGGAGGTGTTGCTGGAGGTGTTGCTGGAGGTACCGATACTGGAGGTGATGTCGTCCGGGATGGCGGCGCGGGGGAAGAACCAGGTGCGGATGCCTGCGTCGCGGAGTTCGAGGGCGTAGATCTGTTGGTATTCATTAGTTCATCTTCCTTTCTTAGGGGAAAATGAAAGGGACGGGCAGAAGGAAAGGAAGATGCAATGATGCAACAACATACCCCGCCGCCGTTCTCATTCAACTCCTGCCCGTAGGTGCTGGGCGGGCCCTGCACCCCGCACCCGGCGTTACTGTGCGTGCTGTTATCGCAGGTCACGAAATTGGATGTGCCGGTCTGCTTGCGCTTGACGTTCTTCATGTTACAGCCGCCATCCGTGTGCAGGGTGACGGCGTTGCCCTCGGTGGCGAGGTTGTTGGTCTCGACGACGTCGATCTCCCCGTTGGCGGGCCAGTTGACGGTGTCGGTCAGCCACAGGGCAGGCCACAGGCCGCAGCCGTAGGGCGAGTGCCGGATATCGAAGACGAAGAGGCCCGTGTCGTAGCTGGTGGTGGACTCGAGGCGCACGGAGCGGCGGCCGTGGCTCGCGTTGCGGTCCGCCGTGTCGACGCGCAGCACCGCCGACGCGGCGTCCGCCGTGACGTACGTCAGGTTGAGGGACTGCGCGGTGGATTTGTTGACGTACTGCACGAAGCCGTCGGTCGGGTCGACCCCCGAGTAGTAGTCGAAGCGGTCGAAGAACGAGGCCCCCGCGTAGGTGTCGACCAGTTCGTAGTCGAGGCGCGAGTAGTCCGGGTAGCTGCTCGATCTCTTCGTCCCCTCGACGGCCCCGACGACTACCGCGATGATGATGACGATGGCGATGCCGGCGGCGACGAGGAGGCGCCTGCGGGTCGACCAGCCCCGGGGGTCGTACCAGCGATGCTCCAGCACGGGCGCATTCTTGCTGCGGCGAGGCCCTTCGCCGGCGCCTGGGGGCGGTGGTGGTCCGGCGTGGTGAAGGGGTTCGTCGAAGTCGATTTTGGGAAGTTGGGTGGTTGTGGCTCCGGGGTATCGGCTTAGATCATCTCCTGATAATGAATAGTGATTACTGGCCATGGCGAGTTTAATGAGTGTGGATATTTCAGGTACAGTTTCTCATCAGAAAGGGTGGAAAGATAGTTGATGGAACAACATACAGAATACAGAATACAGAAAATCTACAGTGTTGTGACTGACAAATTCCCCAGTTAAATCGGGGGGTCAGTCAGGGAAAGAGCGAGACGAAACCGGATAACTTGTCGTCATGGTAAGACACGGACGGGACCTCGAAGAACCGATCATGCCCTGATTAAGCAATCAGGAAGCATTCAGCAAGCAATAGTTATTAATGAATGGATTATTTATCCATCGGACCATCCCTTCCCCGGTCGGACACCGCCTTGGTATGGTTTCGCCGATGGTCAGATTATGTGAGATATGATCTTCATTACTATTCACTATTGCGAAAAAGCGATTAAAAAAAGGAAGGGAAATAGAGGCTTGGTCGAGACAGCGGAGAAGAGAAAACCCTGCCTTACAGCTCAAGACAGACTCACAATTACCATGGCGGGCATATTATCCCAAGTAGTCCCGTGCAACATATATCCTTCTGATCGGGAGATAGTCGATCGATTTAGCCAAAGGATCTGGGTCACACAAAGATCTTCTTCGAAACGGACCTCACCTCTGGACCACACATCGGAATGACGCTTTCAGGCCCTCTTAACCGCAGCAATTGGCCTGCAATTTGTTCTCACTTCTGCGCTTCCCGAAGCCGTCGAATGTCTTTCGAAGAGAGCCCTCGTACGTGCTCCTGCAACCATGTCGGAAATGCCCGCACCATGCTGGCAACCGAGTAAGCCTCAGGAAGAATGACCTGCCCACTCTTGCCCGACACCACCTGGCGCGTAATCGCCGTAGCCACACGCTCCACCGTCATGACCGGCTGCTTGAACAAGTCTCCAGCGTCGGTCAGTTGCTGGATCATGGGTGTCCGGACCCAATACGGATGAATGACGCTACACGCGAGGTTGTCATTAGCCATGCGAGGGAGAATCGCGACAAACAAAAGGAGACATCAAATGAGCAAAGAAGAGCCGCATACCTCGTCTTCACACCAGGCCGCTTATACCAGTGTCGAATCTCCTGGCCCAGGCCTTCGTGGAACGCCAGCGCACTGGCCTTGGAGCAGCAGTAGTCCACCATCTCGCCGAGCGCGACGAAGCTGGCCATGCTCGCCACCGTGACAACATGCCCGTGGTTGCGCTCCAGCATGGCCGGCAGGAACTCGCGCACCGTCAGGAAGTGCGCCAGCGTGTTGACCTCGAAGGTCTGGCGGATCTTGCTCTCGGGCTCGTCGAGGATGGTCCCGTCGTGGCCCACGCCGGCGTTGTTGACGAGCACCGTCGGGTGGCCGTGGTCGGCGCGCACCTGCTCGGCGGTGGCGTGGAGCGCGTCGGTGGACGTGATGTCCGTCTTGTAGAAATGAGCAGATTTGGCTGCAGAAGAATGTTAGCCAGAGGGCAGATTCGATGAGGACTAGGGGCTCGGTACGCAGAGTATAGGTAGGTGCCTGGATGTCGAGGATGATGCACTTCACGCCCCGCTCGGCTAACTGGAGGACGACCTGCTGGCCGATGCCACTGCTGCCACCGGTGATGAGGACCAGCTCACGATCCGGGTCCCATCTGTTGGCGGAGCAGTTCCCCAGTGACCACGATGTGAGGGCGCGGTTCAGATACCGCAGGATAACAATAGCGAGCAAAGAGTTCAGGGCTAGCGGGACGACTGGATGACGGTCAAGGGCAGTCCGTACAGGCTCAGGCAGCTGAGCCCAAAACGAAAGAGACCAGGATTGGACGAGAGAGATCGACTGTTGGAAATGCATGGTAACGACGCAGGCTGTAGTGTTCCTTGATTGACGAGATCACATCCAGCGGCTACGCGCGCCCATTAAAAGAGACATCACCACCAGTTCACATGCCCTCGCAGTCGCCCAAACGGGCAACCATTGCGATTCTGGGGATCACCACCCTCGGTTGTTTGGGTTGGAGTTCCGGGGACGTGAAAGTGGTACGGACGACGATCCTGAGTCAAAATTCTCTCCGAGCTTGAGTCTTCAGACCATAGGCTAGAACTAAGCTATCCATAAATTTGGGGTGACATTCAAGGCAAGGCCTCACCAATAGATGCAGCATCTTTTATGGTGCTGATAGGTGCTTGAAGAAATGTTGCACGACACTATGAGATGGCTAAGTAGAACAACCAGTGAACATAGCTCAGGTTGAAAATCCAGAACCACCGGTTGAAACGGAGAGCGACCCCGTAAAATTGTTTGACCCGCTCAAGAGAAGGGCTCGAATTTGGTCCTCCTCCACGTTGCTTACAATAGAATAGAACTGCTTGCTTGCTTTTTGGGTCGTCGAGTGGCCTGCCGAGGCCTGATTCAGGGCTCGTCACATGACACTGCTCATTCGCATCAAGCCAAGCTCGATATCTTCCGTCACAAGCTGGTAAGTTCAAGTTATCACCATTGCGGGGTAGGCACGCACTCGCCAACTGAGCGCCGGCTAAAGTCAAATTAAACATCAAAAGTTAGTTCAAGGTATGTTATTATATTGTAGGTGCATATTATCTATTGTCATTGATCCTGTCACACAAGACAGTATGGCCGAGCGGTCTAAGGCGATAGACTAGAAATCTATTCTCTTCGGAGGCGTCGGTTCAAATCCGACTGCTGTCGTTTTTTGCTTTTTCTGCTTCGGCTTCATCTTTCAACCTCCCCTTGGCCGCTTGGCCTTTCTTTGACCCTAGAGCTCAGAGCATATTCTCCCATCTACAACTCCCGTTTACAACTATTCTCTGCAACCCTAGATTCACGTACCATCAGATCCGATAGACGATCTTATACCCCGAAATCTTCCCATCCCGATACTCCTGGAACCCATCCGGCACAGCCTCCAGTCCTCCCAGCACCTTCGGCCGACTCGGTTTAATCTTTCCCGACGCCAGTAGATCCGGCACAAGGTCGAAGAACTCACTGGCCAGCTCATGGTCCTCCTGGGATGCCTGCCGTCCCCAAAGCGACAAAGTATCAGTCTATCGATCCACAAACAACAGCCCCCTCAAACCCATTCTCCCCTGCCGCAACCACACAGAACAAGCAGACTCACCGGCCACTTATACGGCCCATACGAATGGTCCTTCAGGAACGCCATGAACACCAACACACTCGTCACCTGGACCCCCGGCGCGACATTCTCACTGTAGGTCTTGCCCGGCCGCACGGTGCAGACATTGCCGCCGGCCTGGACCGCCCGCGAGGCGATCACGGACGAGGTTTCGTTGCCGATCGTGTCGAAGACGTAGTGCAGGGAGGGCGCCACCGCGCGGATCTTGTCGACGACGTCCGCGTCCCGGTAGTCGAAGACGTGCGCGGCGCCGGACGCGCGGACCAGATCGGCGTGACGCGGGCTGCACGTGGTCACTACCTCGAGGCCGTACAGGGAGGCGAGTTGGACGGTGTATAGACCGACGCTCGCTACCCATGGTCGTCAGTCCACGCATCAGTAAGCACAAGGTCTCTGTCAAGATTTGCTCGCTATGAAAGAGGGAGGTCACGCACAGCTACCACCCCAGACCAGCACACTCCTCCCCTGGCACCGATCGCGATCAATATCCAGACACCCCTTGGCGAATAGAGCCAGCCATGCCGTCGCGGCGGCCAGGGGCACGGTGCTCGCTTCCTCGCGGGAGATCCCATCCCCCGGAGGCAGCTTGAAGGCGATGCGTTCGTCGGCCAGCGTGTAGTGACTGTACCCGCCGAGACCGGGAATTTCGCCTGGTTTTTGCGGATGCCCCGAATCAGCCTCCCTTGCCAGGTCTTGTGGGTCTCTCTGAAACGAGAGGGTTTGATAGAGAAGTTGACTCACCACCCCAGATCAAGGCTGCCACGACATCCCCCTTGGCAAATCGCGTCACGGCATCGCCCAACGCCACGACCTCGCCGACGAAATCGCAGCCGAGCACGGCTCCATCCCCGAAGGCTTTTCCATCGAGGGCCTGGACTGGATTTTGGTTTCAGTAGAGATACCTCTAGAGTCAAGGTATGATAGATGCGAAGGTGGGGGAAGGGAGACTACTCACTGTCGGTCGGATTCTGAGCAACGTGAGACAAACGGACGAGGACTTGGTGCGGGGCGGGCGAGGGGATGGCAATCGACTCTTGTCGGAGCTCGGACCCATGCACCACCAGCGCTAGGTTCGACATTTTGGCTTGAGAAGAGGGTAGTTTCAGGCGAATCGACTCACTATGAATGCAAGGCTTGGATTTAATGCAGACCTGGAGAATGGGCGACGATGGAGCATTCTACCATACTTATACGTCAACGGGTGCCCGTGCTGTTCATTTCTATCAACCCAGGTACAGTAACTATATGGTGATAAGCGATCCTCGTATTACCCCTCGCCGTGGCGTACATACATGTGTAATCAACCGCTTCTGAGAAGGCAGTTCAACGATGCCAGGAAGACAAAAGGGCCCACGGACCAGAGGCAATGTTGGGGGGGAGTTTGAGATATAACTACTGTCCAGTATAACCAACCATATGATTGCCAACGCCTCACCCTGAACCCCGTATATCGACATTCTTGACCCCCCTCTACATTAGGTTGCCGACTGCGAATGCAAATAAAAGATCTCGTGCCATGCGAGCGGATTCTGTCCCCGCTGCACGCATGTTACTCGGTAGCTTGATGTGAGCGGGGTGGACCCGGGCCATTGCCCCCTACGCAGTTTGTGTGTAGTAGTGCTTTTGATGGGCAGAGAATGGCAGAATGACCCTGAACCGAAGGCGGTAGGCGGTAAGGCTGTAAAAACATACATTGTGACTCCAGCACAACGATCGTCTTGCCTGGTGATAAATGAGCCCCTTTGAAAGTGACCCACACCCCTAGATTTTGTACATCTCCTGCATGCCATCAGTGCTCAATCCACCGATCCGAGAGGGGCATTTTATTGTTGTATCAATCTCCCAATACGCTTAATACCTCACAAGTTGACAATATTCGAACCGATGATATCCGAAAGAGGTTACCGAGAAACAGCATGGCCCGGAAGATATTAGGCGAAAGGGGGGAAAAGAAAGAAAGAAAGAAGCGACATAAGAAAACAAAGAAAAGAAATACAAGTCTCCCGAAATGATAAAGGCTTCTTGGAAAGCAGCATGAAAGCAAAAAACAACCGAATGGCCGTCACAACTATCAGCTAGCTCAACGCTCCCGCAGCAAAGACCAAAAAGAAGTCTAACAAAGGGCCTCAACAAAGAAGGGGGGCCGGGGATGAGGCCTAACCTAAATCCCTATGCCTTTTCCTCTCAATCAAGGTCCTTGCCCCCAAAACATGTTATGATGGCGTCTGGCGTGAGCAGTTGCTTCTTGACCTTCGATTCGAACCGCTGGCGCCTCATCTCAGCCACCTCGGCCGCGGGGAGATCCCCGGGGAGAGTCAATTGCCATTTGGCCATCTCGCAAACGATGGCACCTTTTCTGAATGGGAACAGATATTCCAGCAACTGCGTGAGGGTGAAGCTCTTGCCAAATTGCCTTTGGAGTTGCCCCAGTGTGCCAGCACAGTATGTATTGCAGAAATCGCACCGTGCCGTGCTGTGCTCGTGGTCTCCTCCAATGATCAATGTCACGGGGTCCAAGAAGAGATCCTCGCGGTGATTCCCCTCCGAGAAGTACCCTAGCCCCCGCCCGTTTTCACGCCTATCCGGCCGAACTTCGAACCTTGTTCGTGGATCCCCACCGTGTAAGAGAAGCAAGGCGAAGACGGGGAGGAGCCTCCGGAGTTCACCCAACCGTTCGCCTCGGGTTAGCGCGTCGATCAAAAATGAAGACCAATGCGACACCCGTTTGGCTCGGGGCTGAGGCAAGTTTGTCTCCCCATTCAACGGTAGGCCGTACTCCAAATACAACTCGACATGCTGAATCAATCCTACAGCGGCCTCTGGATTCCCGGCCTCAGTGATTAGCAAATTCACTAGCATGTCAAAAGGAAGGTTCTCCATGATTGTATGGACCCAGTCTCCGGTATCAGGCTTTGGGTAAGGGAGAACACCGTTGCACACGGCCAGTACCTGAGTACATAATGAAAGGTCATTGCAGACCTTCTCAATGCGTGCCGGTCGTCCAGCAAGGGGGAGAAAGAATTCAAATTTTGAGTCCGTGGTGCCGGGAACCATGTGCTGATAGATGTCAACAAAGGAGGCCAGGAATTTGTAGAACTTTGTCTCGTGTTGCCAGCGATGCTGCACAAAAGCTTGCATGAGACTCATAGTCTCTCGTATGTGATAAGGAAATCCCGAGCCGAAAAATAATGGTCCGCCTGGGGCTGGAATCACTCTCATCACAGTCCGCGAGTCGAAATTGTCGATGTCGTGTCTGTCGTGTCTTATAAATCTTAGCTCGGCCAAAAAGGCCTGGCATAAGCAATCTAGCGCCTCAAAACCCGGAGTGGGCTCTGTACGCTCGTTCTCAGCACGCGCAAAGTATTCATATAACGACCGATGAGCCATGACTACGACATCGTCGCCCGGCGCTTTACCCAAAGAAGGACGTACTTCGATCAATCCCTGACAGTCGTGTATCAACGCGTTGACGGCCGCCCTTCGCTCAGCAACGTTGTCCTTACTCTCATATGGGAGGTCGCGATCGGCAAAATTCCGGTTGTTGAGATAGTCCGGCAGAAAGGACAAGCGCAACAAAGGCCATGGTTTTGGCGAGTATGCGACCACCCGAATCAGTGCAAGTGGCACAACACACCCCTCCGCGACCATATTAGAAACAACTTTAGTAAAAAGGTTGTCTAAGTCTTTGGGGAGCGCCGCAATCTGTCTCTGGGCGCCTTGCAGGTCATATCCATATTCGATGTTCCGGAGAAATCCTTCAACGGCGAGCTTCGACCACAGGAAAATACCCTCAGACTCGCGTGCAATGCGCTTTTCAATTGCTTTCCTTTGATACAACGCTGCCTTCTGAATATAAATATCTTTCATCCTTAGTGTATCCCGTACAAAGCTCAAGATTCCATGATGATTGTGATTTTGGAGTGTGATTCGGGGGTAAGCTTGGGAATCCCGCCCAACATCGCTGGGTTCACGACTTGAAACACAAATCTTGAGATCGTGTGGCCTCAAAGAAGCCCAGACCTCCAGTTCTTTGATCAACTGTTCACGGTCCGTTCGAGTGCCACACTCATCTAGCGCATCGATAAAAATGGCGATTCTGTGGTCGGCGTATATGTTGTCGAGTGTCATTAGTCGGCCGAAGGCATAGTCGAAGTCAAGAACGTCTTCGCCATGAGCGGAGCCAAAAAGCAACGGTTCTAGCTCGGGCGACTGGGTGAGGATCGAGTAAAGAATCGCCCGAATGAAACCAAGACGACTCTTCTGGGTACGACTTCCCTCGTTCCAGAAGAAAAATTTTCCACGTATTAGTTTCTTCCCTGCGGGATCCCCCGCGGGTGTCCCTTTGCACCAAGCACTCAGATGAGTTTGGGTATCCGGATGTTCACAGATAAATTTCATCAAAGTCGACTTTCCCGAGCCTAGCTTTCCAGAGATATGAAAGATTTTAGTCCCAGTCTCTAGCCAACGAATAAACCCCTCTCTCTCTTGTAGTAAGGACTCTCGTTGCTCCGGCTGGCCGGTTGAGCTACTCTCAGGGTCTGAACCATCGTCAGTAGAACCTGTGCCCAAGAGCCAGCTGAAGGTCCCCTCGTGTGCGTTATTCAACGAATTATACCTCTCTCCAACTTCTTGGGACCGCAAAAGTTCAAGAATAGACTTGGTACGGATGAGGGTGGCAGTCTGCTCCAACCTCTCTAGAGTTTCCAAGATCTGTTTCTGAAGAGGATCCTTGTCCGTTATGAGAGTTGACGTCTCGCTCAGAGAACTGATCTGTGCCGCCAAACCCTCGAGTGACAATGTCGTATCGTGCCCGTTTTTAACGAGCTGCTCAATCTTCTCGTCGAGTTCCAAGTCGTGCTTCCTGGTCGCCGAGGCCTCTTAGCAATGGCTCCGGGCTTATAAAGTAGCAATAAAATCTTGACTAGTCACTCACCTGTTCAACATTTGAAGACACTGAGTTAGAGCATTACGATGCGCAGACATCATATGACCCCTCTTGCCCCGACGGTAAGAGAACAATGGACCTTTCAAAACGAGGTAAAACCTAGCTTTAGTTGTCCATTTACCGTCCTTGGGTCTTATCCTGTGCAGTATCTTTTCCGTCTCTTCTGCAGCCTCGTAGCAAAGGTCAAATAGTCCTAATAAGTTGTCGGCTTCCGAGCCGACCTTCACATTCTCCCTGCCTTCGTCCAGTGTTTCCTTCAAGACGGCATTTATCTGCCAAAGCTCATCAAGCTCCTTCCTTGTCGGCCAAAGTCGGGAACCTTTTACGAGCACTTTGCCTAAGCCAACGGCGACTCTGAGACCCAGTGCCACCCCACTGATTATCGTTAACTCCAACGTTGTAGGCAAGACCTTGTGATACCGAGGACGGGAATCACTGAGGCTGGTTGGAGTTAGAGACAGATGAAGGTTTGGGCCAGATTAGAACGATCGGATGGAAGGTAGGAAGTGATGTGGCTGATCTAGATAAGGCGTAAAGTGATAGCGATGGTGATGATGGTGGTGATTATGGTGGTGATGATGGTGGTGATGATGATGATGATGATGATGATGATGATGATGATGATGATGATGATGATGATGATGATGATGATGATGATGATGATGATGATGATGATGATG